AGTACTACTACTTGGTACTGAGTACTGAGTGTTTGTTGGATTGACGCTGGAATTGCGGCTGGCAGCTGCGGAGAAAGCCAGAAACCAGACCAGACCAGGACCGGACAAGCCCAGCCAGAAATCAGCCAGGAATAGCAGTTCCCGGAAGACACACTAGAAAAAGAGGGGATATCCCGAATAAATGTCTCTGATCTCCGCTGCACTCTGCTAGGCCAAGAATGTGTGAAGGGAAATGAAGGGTCTTGCTTGGCTTGCTTATTTTTAAAAATAAAAATGCAGGACGTAATTATTCTTCAGGTTGAAGAGTGAATGGGGGGAATTGGAGAGTAGAGTAGATAATTAAAGAGAGAGAGAGAGAATGGGAAAGAGGAGTAGAAGGAGGGTGAGAGAGTCCATCCGTGAGAGTCAAGAGCGGGAGGGTGAGGAAATGATGCCCATGCGGCCTTCTCTCGTATTTTGCTTGCTGCTGCATGGATTCTGGCGGAATCACCAGGGCGATTGCATCGAGTTACGCAGGGGAAATGGAAACTGCAATTTCCATCCACTCATCTTCATCTGTAAAATATTTATCGTTACCTTACTTCTTGTTCCTCTTACTTACTCTTCTTTTTACCCTTCATTTTCTCTATCGACGGGGATTCCATTCCTGTCTGCTTTCTTCCCCCCTCTCCCTCTCGGTAGAAATTAGACAGCTGCATGCACGTTCTCCATCCGAGATTACTATATTACTATATTGAATCACATAGTGGTTGCCTCCCAGGCAATAGTCTAGTTCCCTCCATCCTTTTTCCCCTCTCATCAATCTCACCTCACCCCTACAGGTCGGATCAGGGACCCTGACAACTACTGCTTCTTCTCCGACCGCCGGTGGAACGAGACCATTTGATACGTCGGACTTTCGGTGTTTTGGGCACGGATGGGCATGATCACCTGGCCGAGGGACTCATCATCATCATCATCATCATCAATTCTGGGTCCTGACAATTTCAACCTGCTGGACGGTCCAAATTAAGTTGGTCGGATGAGCCCAGATTTATCTGCCAAGCACGTTCGGTCGCAGAAGTGGACATCTGATGCCCTCGTTCTGTTTTCGGATGCTGATGTTGGATCTGTCATCCGCCCCCGTGGCCATCACTCTCAATCTCGCGGTTAATCCGAGAACAGCCAGACTAGTAACTTGGTTAGTACGTAGTACCCCCGTAGCACTAACAACATATATTGTTGGGGGTCTCTTCAAATACTACTATTAATGAATTGTCCAGCTGAACAAAACCAACACACGTAGCCTGAAATCATATCATCTCTCCCAGATCAGTTGACACATCTCATGATATTCACAACAGTGAAGGAATAAAGTGTGATATACATAAACATTAAATCCGGCCAGGTGCTTAAAGGTACTTACTTTTGAGGTACTGCTGCAAGTTACTGTTTCCAGCCACATAGAAACGTGGCGGTGCACACACGCCTTTTCCATGTCCGCCTTGTCACATGTCTTCCGCCCGCGGCCTCTTGTCATGCACCGTTCTTCATCATCGGTGTCTGCTTGTTTCCGCTTCCTTCCAGGTCACCATTCTAGTGCTCTTCCATTCGTTCACTCACCAGGTGGATAACCAAATATACAAGTAGTGGTAAGACCACTTCATCCACGTAGGATCTACAATACAGACACTGATGATATGTCGACGTCAGAAACAGCCATGCTGCACCCTTGAGCTGCACCTTCACCATGGCCAGTAAAAGGAGCCGCGCCGCCTTCGAGGCAGACTTGCAGGCCCGCCAGTCTCCTTACGCGTTATACGGAACCCCATTGCCCCCATTGGACGATAGCGTGCGAGACGACGGATCATATGCGCCCATCTGGAAGCAGGAGGTGACCGATGACCGGGGAAGGAAACGCCTACATGGTGCCTTCACCGGTGGATTCAGTGCCGGGTGAGCTCACGATCCATGTACAGCGTTGGACAGCACACTAAAGGCGGCCCATCTTCAGGTACTTCAACACCGTCGGGTCGAAGGAAGGATGGACTCCAGCAACCTTTGTGTCTTCGCGACAGAACCGCGCCAAGGATGTTCGACAGCAGCGACCAGAAGATTTTATGGATGAGGAGGATGTTCGGGAAGCGGAAGAGTCCAAGAGACTGCAAACCGCCGATGAGTACTCCGGCTTTGGTTCTACAGATGCCGAAATGGCGCGCCGCGGAGGGTTGATGGACCTCCTGAAAACCAGCGGAGAAACTATGGGGGTGAAACTTCTGAAGAGGATGGGATGGCGAGAAGGCCAGGGAATTGGGCCCAAGGTGCGGCGTGGAGCTGACCTCGGGGACGGTATGTTGCAACGTGATGGAGGAGCCGAACAAACATACCTCTTCGCGCCCGAAAACCCGCCAATGGTTGCTTTCATCCATAAGACCGATCATAAGGGCCTTGGATTTGAAGGAGAGGCCCGCCTAGACGCTCGGCAAACCAAAGCGAACGAGTCCGACGATGAGGATAACGATTCGTTCTTCGGAAAGCGGCTAATGGCTCCGGGGAAGCCGAAGCAGTCCAAGGCGAAAGATCCCCGACGCGGGGCGTTTGGCGTCGGTGTGCTGAATGATACTGGCTCGGATGATGAGGATCCCTATTCCTTAGGCCCACAGATATCTTACAACCGAGTGATTGGAGGGGACAAAAAGAAGAAAAAGAAAGTAAAACCTGCCGAGGATGCGCGACTACTCTCCAGTTCGTCCAACCCGCTTATTGGCAGCAAGCCCGTATACATACCGAAAAGGGTCATTGCCGCCAAGGGCGCCGCCGGTTTTCGAAAGTGTTCTGATGGGCGTTTGCCTTTGGAAGGATTCTTGCTTGCGGATGGCATTTCAAGCCTCTCGATATCCTCGCAAGAGAAGAAGTATGCGCCACCGGAAATTCCCAAGGATTGGAAATCCAGCAAAGCACCGACACAGGAAAGGGATGTCTCAAACTACGTTTCTACGGCGGAGGCAGCTAAAGCTTCGTCAATGGATCCTACCGCAAGAGCCGCGCTCTTGGGGGAAGCACAACTTCCTGGAAAGTCCATATTCGATTGGATGACTCCCGAGGCTCGGGAAAGGATCGTGAAGCTTACGGGGAAGACCGATCTGCCGCCGGCTCTTGGTGAAAAGGCCCCTAAAGGCTACGAGCTCTCAGAGGCGGAGAAGCGCAAGGATTTGTGGGATCTCGTACCTAAATTAGATAAGCAGGTGGCCGTCCAGGCACTCACACGAGCAGCCAGTGGTTGGATGCCGTATGCAGAAGATCTAAGCAAACGGGACCGCTATCGAACATTTCTCCAAGTACGAGCTGGACTCCGTGAGAGCCTTCCGGGCCGGGTCCCCGGATCAACTACAGATGAATGGGCAGCGGAACTACACGAATTTGCGCGAGCGGCGGAGGTCTTTAAGCCCATGTCTGGACTTATGGCATCGCGATTCACCTCTGCCAGTTCTGGACCCAAAGAGTCATCCGACAAGTCTGACGGGTCTCCTTCGGCGGAGCCTCTGCTTAGCAAGCCTGCAGCCAAACCAGAGGACCCTGCAGTGGAGGCAGCGAAAATTGGCATGTTTGGCCCAATGACTCGAAGTAGCATCTCTTTCTACCCGACGCGTCTCTTGTGCAAGCGATTCAATGTTCGGCCCCCCGAGCATGTCCAAATGGATCCTGGTGCGCCATCGGGACGCGCTGAAGCCCCCGTCTCCGGGAGCCGGTTCCAATCCGCAGGTTACCAGACCGCTTCCGGGCCGAAAGAGTTAGTTTCGCGGGATGTTATGAACCAACTCATGCTTGAGGCTGGCGGTGGATCTCTGGCAGCTGCAGACCCGGCCTCGCCGACGTCATCAGGGCCAGCGGGAAGTCGGGCACCGGTGGTGGTCGAGCCAGAGCGAAACGAAGCATTAGAAGCGGAGCGGCCGGGCGAGGCGGTGTTCAAGGCGATCTTTGGCAGCGATGATGAAGATGAGGATGAGGAAATGAGCTGATTGATATATTGGGGGGGGGGGATCCTGGACCTGTACAGCTAGATGGACACCCAGTCTTCGTATTTCCTGCAGGCTAAGCCAATATTGACTTTGAAACGTAATGATCGTCTGGGGATATTTGCAAAGTCCCACTCCTTCCACGTACCCGACCGCTTAAAGTTTTCTTTGGTTGATAAAAAAAAAAAAAAAGAAAAAGGAGATCCACCTGACAGTGGATGCATAAAAAAAGAAAAAATAAATATACAGTAGATTTCTCAATCAGAGTAGAATAATTGTTTATTTCTTTTTTTTTTTTTTCTTCTCTTTTTTATTCAATTTCTTTCCCAGTGGAGGACTGGAACTGTGACATCCGATACAAGTGAAGCCGGAAGAGAAAGCCGCCTTTGCAACTTCCCTCTTCCCCCCCAAACTTCTCCCTCTCCAACTCTCAAACTCGCAAAAGAACGGTCTGGACAAGACCTGCACAGGGTGACACCGCAGGAAACGTTGCGGAACGAGTGATCGGTCGGCAATATCAACTAGGCTCCGCGCTTAAAGTTCTCTACCTTTTGCTTAAACACGAAGAAGAGGACGGCGAACCCTCCAGTCAACCTTGGGCTGATCCCCTCACGTCGGTGCGCCGTCATCGTCATATCCTCCTCTTCTTCCCCCGCCGGTTGGTTCCTTTTATTTACCTCAGCACTGGTCGATCAGCAGTACTTTTCTATTGCTTTTCTCTCCTCAATCATTGTCACCGTATTTCTCTCTTTCTTTTTTACACACTCTCTTTCTCTTTCTTCCACTCTGTGCCTCTGCATCGTGGCTGGTCAGGCCATTGCGCTGCAGCTCTCCGCATCGCCGCCACCACTCAGCAACTGGGTTTCCACCGCTTCGGGTCATACGACCGATTGCGATAACTGGATGGGAGGATCCTCCATTTATGATAGGAACGGCTCATTAGACTAGGCTGGTCTAATAAGCTCTCCCCCGCCGGCATCGTGAACCACATCTTCTAACCCCCCCTCCACCCCCCTCCTCATCTGGTCATCTCCAACTGCGTCCCTGCAGTGACTCTCACTGACCACTGACCCCCGTCGGTTCTGGCGACTGGTTGTCTTTGGCTGATGGAGCTTGAGCTTGTTTCTTCAACATGGTGAGACTTGGATCCACCCTCTTGTTCTCCTTGATTTCTCCATGTCCGCACCTTTATACATTTTCCCGATGCGGAGTCGCATGCCATCCCATCCTGCTATCCGTCATCTCAAAAGTCCATTCCCTGCAGCCAACCCTCTCTTTACTCTTTCACCTAGTCCTTGTACATGACATTCTGGGTTTCAAATTCTCACTATGGTTGAAAATTATAGGGTTGTTGCTTTTCTATATCGCGCGACAATAGCCGTCCTTCCTATGCAGCGCAGGTAGTTACCGAAGAGCGCCGTCCCGAAGACTCTCATCCCCAAGCTGCAGCAACAAGCAATGCGCTCACCTCCGGCAACTCGTCTACCAGGGCACGCGGATCCCGAATCAGGGCAGAACACTTCCCACTGAGCCAGCATTACAATGCGCCCATCCGTCGTCACGTCTGGTATAGCAAACGGCGCCTATGGACTCGCACACAACTGGACCAGGAGCGCACCGAGTTCTTCGAAACTAGGGTCACGGGTCGTTCAGAGATCTGGGCGGCTTTGTCTGCGGCCATCTCTTTGATTCGCGCCGGTGATCTCGCAACAGCGCAGAGTTTCATTGATGCAGCCGGCATCACTGTCCCCACCGGTGATCTCTGCCAAGGCTGTTACGACGAGCAAGGTGTACTATACCGGCTACCACAGTGCATTGTCAGCGACCCAGAGAATATCGTGCGATCCGACGAGGAGCCCGATGACTTCGACACGGACGACGGCAAGCTATCTTCAGACGAAGCCTCCGGGGATGAATTAATAGCCGATGACATTGAACGTCGTCGGGACGAAAAGGGCAAGACTAGCGAACGTGATTTGATCCGCATCCGTGCGCGATTGAGCGATAGAGGCGGCCCCGACATCATCCTGTCAGTTGTGAAGACGATGAACGTCGGCCTGATAGCCCGCAAAGTGCAACAAGAGGCAGGGGTACGTCGGCTGCATTTTATTCCCAAACCTCTCTTAAATGAGAATAGATGAAATACTAACACACCAGTGGTTGTATAGATCCCGCGCACTCACCGTGTGAGATTCGTCTACCTAGGCAGAATGCTCAAGGAACATGTGCCCCTAGTCGACCAGGGATGGAATTCCGCCCACGTTATCAGCGCCCTCGTTGTCCCGCGACAATCGGTGTCCTGACAGTTTCGTGGCTGCGATAGCTCACATGCAACCTAACAGCCTGCCTGCATGAACAACCTGCAGAGACCGATCCACCTAATCCACACTTTGATCTACGGTCTGATATTGCAGAAAGCAACAACACAACACGGCGCCATACAACAAACCTCACCTCACCTCGTCCGTCCGTCCGTCCGGCCGACTAACTTTTCACTTAATGATGACAATACTCCGATACCCCAACCTACCCACCGACTTATCTCACGACAGCATTGCCATCGAATTGGCATGCTTAACTTTTTCTCCCTGCACGAGCCTAACCTACTCTTCCTCTTACCCAGATGCAAAGGCATCATCACTTCGATCATGTCTGTTTTCACGTCCATGTCCTATTTGTTTGGTTCCGCACAATACCCCAATTAGTGTTCGTTTGATTGATTGACAACATGGCTTTTTCCTCCTTGATGATTGAATATTCCTTCTTGTCTAGTACTTATTACCTTAATTAACAATTACATAGTTCCTCACACTTAATAATACCTCTGAAAACTATTAGATCCCTGTGATAATAGTATATGGGAATCTTCCCATCTGTACATGATTCCTACCCTGCAGTAGTACTATCATTCTATTATTTATTATCTCGGATAATGAACTCTTCTTATACCTATCCATTAGTAGTACTTACTAGCTTCGTTGATAGCCATTGCCAATGCTTCAGCGGGATATATATATACAATCGTGCTGAGCCATCTCCCCGCTAGAGAATTCGATGCCCCACGCAAACTAGCAGCAAGCTCAACGAGATGAGGATGCTATATATGTGTATTGTCAATGGAAAGAAAGAGGCCAAAAAAAAAGAAAAAGGAAAAGAATCGAAGCAACGAAGCAGTGGAAAGCGAATAAAAGCAAAAAGAAATTTCTGTGCATCATCCGTGAATCGAACACGGGCCTCATCGATGGCAACGATGAATTCTACCACTAGACCAATGATGCTTGAGCTGCGGACCATTGCGTTATCTGATTCGCTACTTGTTTTATCTTTCCTTATTAGCGTCTATCAAGGACAGAGATAATGATGTGCTGAATTGTTGCTCACTTAATGAGGTAGCAGATATGTATAAGCAAAGGAACTGAGTATATATGCTGGTCATATGACATATGTGTGCTATATTTCATGACAAGCATAAAATATGCCGAGACAAACAGTCAGCAAAAATGCTGACAATAAAATCTAACTGTAATATCCCGCCACATGTAGATCATCCTTATCCCTTCTGGAACCCTAGAACAATTTTCCGTTCTCGGCTTCTCTTCCCTTGGGCGTCTGTCCGGATCGTCTCTTGAACACGCGGCAGACCACCCTTGCGCCCTGTACCACGCCTCTGACCAGACTAGTGGGGTTGTAGTGCTTGACCCGGAACATGTAGTACAAGGCGACTGTACCCATGATGTTGAACCCCACGTATGCCCATCCTATTCCAAAGTTCCGCCAGCGCTGGCTGTAGTCTTTAGATTCGTTAGCAGACGTGAAAGGTAAAAGGCGAATGGGAATACATGAACGTACAAATTTCACTTGTTGCAAGGTATTGATCGGCATTCTGCAGCTGACAGTATTGACATCCTTGAGTCGCTGCTGGGTTAGATAGTGTCCCCGCAGCAGTTTGCAAGTACTGAGCCATGTACTGGCCACAGGTCTGACCAGAGGGAGGATTGAATACGCTCATCTCCTCGCTGGAACATTGAATCGACCGTCCGTGTAACCCTGTTGCCGTGATACCCGCAATCAGGTAGGTCAGTGGAGAGACCCGGTACATGAAGATCCAAAAACCTGGCAGTGCTTGGGGTGGCTGCATAACACCATTGAACGTCAGAGCCATGATAAACATGAGCGTGGCGATGGAACCTCCTGTTTCGGCATCAGGCAGCGCGGAAATTACCAAAGCGGCAAACGTCGAAGTGAACATGTAGAATTGTACGACGAAGAGTAACATGAGCCCTTGTCGGTGAGATGCCTGATTGGCTCCGTAGATTGGATAGTAGTAGCACGCATAGGCAATGACTCCGGCGAGAATTTGGTAGGGTATCTCAACCAGAACGTTGGCGACAAGGAATGCTGCCCATGAATACGCTTTGGAGGGTCTTTCTCGCACTTCGTAGAGTGACCGCTGAACCACAAATTTTGGCATTATCCTGAAACCTCATTAGCCTGTTGTCGAAAGAAGTAGTACGATGTACTTACTGCTGCACCAGAGTTGAGAAAATCGAAGTGAGCATAAAGGCGCTGAATAGGACATCCTGGAACCCTTGCATGTTGTTATCAGGTTTGAAAAATGTGAAACCGATGAACAAGGAGGCAGCAGTAGCCAGAATAAGCTTGGCCCATACGTAGGAAGGTTCACGCCAATACTGCTGGAAGACACGATGGGTTACGTGCCACAGCTGATTGGGGAACGGCATGGCGTATTCTCCTTTCTGCGCATCGTCATTGCCAGTTTCAGGGGCAGAGGCTCTCTCTTGATGAATCCGATCAATTTCTTTCTGAATATCATTGGCCTGTTGGCTATCGTTCCAAACAGCTGGCCAGTCCTTGGTAGCTCTGCCAGAGGCACCGGCACCTATAATTTCCAACATATACTCGGCGGGCTTTTCATCATCAGCATAAGGCATCACACGGTCATTAGAGCACTTACATTTTCTGACGGCCCACATGGCCTTGCACCATTTGACTCAAAATATGTCAGTAAGGTTTGTGACTGCTCTCCTATATCTCCAAAGTAAACCGTCCGCCCTCCCTTTGCCAAGAAGAGGAGGCGATCGAACTGCTGAAACAATAGCGCACTGGGCTGGTGAATGGTGGAGAGCACTGCTTGGCCATGATTTGCGAGCTTCCTGAGGAAAGCACAAATAGCCCAAGAGCTTTGTGAGTCCAGTCCACTAGTTGGCTCATCAAGAAAGATCAGAAGCGCGGGTTTAGCGGCAAGCTCCACACCAATTGTTAGTAGTTTCCTCTGCTCCACATTTAAACCTTCACCAGGTGTTCCGACAATAGCACTAGCAAAGTCCTGCATATTAAGCATTTCAATAACCTCTTCAACGTGTTTATACTTCTCTTTCTTAGAAACTGACTTAGGTTGGCGTAGAAGTGCGCTGAAGCGCAGAGCTTCTCTGACAGTTGTTGTTGAAAGATGCAGATCCTGCTGTTGTACATATCCCGTCTTCCTTTGGAAGCTACTGTCAAGTGGCTTTCCGTCCACGAGCATGTCGCCTGTAACAACGCCTATCGAAACACGTTTTGCCAGGACATCAAGTAAAGTAGTTTTCCCGGCGCCTGACACCCCCATCAAAGCTGTGAGTGTTCCAGGCTTGACCCATCCTGAGACATTGTCCAGAAGACGTCGCTGGCCTCCCTTGACCGGTATATCATAGCAAACGTTTCTCCACGTAAATATACTATGCTGTTCGGGAAGAGCAGATGCATCCTTCTCTGATTCGGCGGACCTGTGGGCCACGGCAACACTACCAGCCCCGGCATCTCCCTGAGGCTTTTTGTCGAGGCCGCGCATGTGGGGAGGGACATGGCCTCGCCGGAATACAAGGAACTCAGCTTTAGACGAGGTTGCCGAGTTGAGTTCTGTTGCGATCAAGTAGACCACAGTGAAGAAGATCCAGAACCCTATGAGGATCCCGAGATTTCTCCACTCATGTGCATACGTATAGTTGTACTGGGTTTCGATGTAAGCATCTCCAGAGACAGTCCTTTCACCAGCAACACTGCCACGAATGGAGCAGATAAAAGAGTCACCAGTCAGCGTCGGATATGATGGTATGAACTGTGAGCATAAGAAGCGTCGGCCGTGAAATTCGTTGGCAATTAGAGCCTCGAAGGTATAAAAAACTGGGTTGATCCACCGAATCCAACTGAACCATGGGATAGAGGACATTTGAGGTGTAGGTATTACAAATCCGGTGTAGATGACGATGGCCAACACGATGACGCCAGCCATAGCCATTGCTTGTGCAAGTGTCTTCGTCGAGGCTGCAAGGGTTCGGAAGATGCCAGACATCGCAAGTGTGCTTAGGAAAGTAAACAGGAAGAATATAAAGAACTGGGATGGTTCGTAACGCTATCGTCATAGTCAATATTGTGCCCACGTCCACCCGAGTCATTGTATGTACTTACCAAGCCAGCTAGGAAGTAAAAGATGATGTTGAAAACCACGGCAGAGACGAATTTAACGGGTATATCGGACACAATGCCACCGAAGGATTCAGCAAAAGGATGGACAAAAGCGTATGATGCTTGTTTTTCAATGATAGGCCGTTGGTCGTAAAGCGAGTTTATCTCTGTTATGCTGATGAGAGCGTTCATCCTGAGATGCAGTTAGCTAGCATATTCTCCAATTTATCCTCTGATTGTACGATAGTCGCCGTCTGGGAGAAGAACTTATTCACGTCATGCTGGGTAACATACAGCACAGCGAAGAAAAGAGCAGCTCCTTTGCTTTGAAAGCCCACAGTGGCATTTGGTGTCCTGGATGTCTTAGTGTACGTTCGAACCGCAGAGAATGAAAAAAATCTTACCCAAAATACATTGAGCCAATGATGAGAGACATGGCTATTCTTCCAATGACGTTTGTCAGTGTGGAAGGCTTATCGTTCCAGATCCTATAAGGGTCAGCAGTTCCTTCACAGACAAACGAGATGTAGCAGCAATTACCTTTGATACGCCCTAATGGTACAAAGCTTTACCTGCATGGGAATCGAAATTATATAGGGACTCTTTGACCAAACATGTCGCGCTTGTTTCAGGCGCTTCATTTCACCAAACTGTTGCTCATGCTTTCCACCTGACGGAAACTCCTTCATGTGCTGTTCGATTTCCTGCTGAAGCCTGGCATACTGAGGGCTGTTCTTCCAGTACTTTTCGAAGTCATCTGGTGTCCGAGGAACCTTGTTCTCCATTCCTTCGCGTGCTTGACGCTCTTGGGGGTTAGTGACTGATGTCAGGAAGTCACCGGTTGTCTGGCGCGGCGGGCAAAGCCACCCCATGTTCTCGAAATATTCCCTTGCCTCGTCGCATGGACCGAAGTATATCTCGCGACCCTCATACAGAACGATTGCCTTGTCAAACACATCGTATATTGCTTGGGATGCTTGATATATCGCAACTGCATGGCAGGTACCGGCTAAGTTGGCCGAAACACGTAGAGCCTTGACGAATTCCAGAGCACTTGCAGAATCGAGGCCCCTAGTACTATTATCCCATGCCCCAACAGGTGCTCCGGAGACTGTGAAGCATGTCAACTGAACCGCTAGCAATACTCTTGTAGTGGCATGGTGACTCACGCGCCATCTCAGCAATACTACATACAGGTTAGGTCAATTTGAGAAGACAGATCCGGGATAAACCATACCTAACTCGCTTTCGTTCGCCTCCTGATACACCCCTGATATAGTCATCGCCAACTGGAGGTAGCATTAGGTATACAATGAACATTCAACGGCTTGCCATTCGACAATAGAGACGCACCCTTTGTGTTATACGTATGTGACAGGCCAAAGATAGTCAGCGCGACCTGGGTAACGTATTTAGCATACTGCTGTCGAGTAACGCCTTGCACTCGGTTCTCGGGCGCTCTCGCAGCGGCGGCAAATTCCAACGTTTGACCGACAGTGAGATGCGGGAAATGCTTATCCACCTCTTGATTGTATAGCACCTCGCCTTTAAATTCTTTGTGCATCTTCTCCATGGAGATGCCATTGAACTGGATTTCAGAGCTTTTGCGGAGCTTCAGGCCATGAAGTTCCCCACACAATGACTTCAAGAAAGTTGAACAGCCACTCCCAGGGCGTCCCAGAACAATCAAAAGCTCACCACTTCTGAGGAGGCCATCGAAATCACGCAGGATATGCTTCTCCGGAGTGCGCTGCACACAAGGCAGATACTCCTGTGGCCTGAAAGGGGCGAGAAGAATTGAAGACACGTTGTTCTGGTATTGTAGGGCGGAACCTGAGCCCGAGACATTAAGATGTTGGAAGACGACACCAGTCGAAGGAGGTCGAGGGATTCCCTCCCTGTCCAATATCTTCAGCACCATGCGAACCCATTTGTAGTGATCGAATTGATCATTTGTGGGATCAAGGACTGGGTCGCCCATTTCCAGCCCTTCGAGGGTATCCTTTCGTTCAACCGGTCCATCGACAGTCGAATCGAGAGTGCTCTGGCGTCTTGGAAAATTGGAAGCCAAGCGGGTCAATTCAGCCTTTTGCTCAGAGTCCATATTCTCCATGAAGGAGCTTTCATTGCGCGTCAATCGCGGTGGTCTTTGAGAGTTGCTCGGCCCAGAAGCCAATTCCTCATGTTTCGAGGAGCTGGGCTGCGAGCTCTCGTCGGGCTCCTCAAGCTGCGCCATCTTTGAAGACGAGACTGTTGGCAGGCTAGAGCAGGACACAAGGGTAGAACCCACCGTCAAAACCGAAAGAAAGCAGAATACCGTGATGAAAAATTGGCCTTAAGAGCACCAAACCGGGGTGTGAAAGATTCCAGGAGGTTCAGGTGAGCAAATAGCCTGTCAGGATTTGGGGTAGCGCGTGCCTTCCTCCCATGGCCAGTTTCCCTCAATTGAAGACGGATCTTCGCTTTGCCGACATCATTCACTGACAAAGAGTTTTGGGGATGCAAATAAGATTCAGGACGCTCGACGTTTCCATTTGTGCACGTTGCAAGTGATGATGTCACCCGTAACCTTCCGTGTAACGAGGAGACCGGGGGAGCCATTGATTCCCAATGATGCTGCTTTCCGGCTCCCTTAATTCAATCAGTGGAACAAACAAGAGCAAGGGAAGAGCTGGAAGAGCTGCTAATTGGAAGTTGAGCTGTGGTTCCGTCCCTGGAGGGGCTGGGATGCGACTATCCGGATGCGGGAGATGCGTGGTTTTCTTTTTTTTTTTCCTCCACGCATTGGGTTTGCATCGGGCATACTATTTGTATTGAAAGGTTATGCGCAGGAACTGTAGCTTAAACAATATAATCCGAAAAGCCTAAGTTCCAATTGTCGGACATCAAATCCTAAGGTGCAGGATTCTCGACCACTGCAGGTCTGGGGTTGATGATCTACCAATAATCTCTAATGAAAGGCTAGATGTTACCGGAATAGGCGGGCAAGAATAATCAGAGTGGCATACAATGCGAATAATTCAAAACACTAAAAATAATGCCAGACAATTATATAACCGACCATTACGTGCCTGCAGCCCATCACCGAATGGACCAAACTACGCTTAAGTGGCCGGGTCTTAGTTTCAGCAGGTTCTTTCGAACCGGCCTACTTATCCAGAACACCGCGTAAAGGTGCCCGGCCATCGTTCTGGTGCCTCCACTATGCTGAGATAGTTTCATCGGCCTATCTAAGCTATCGACCTATCTAAAGATACAACTAGCTAAAGATACAACTATCTAAAGATACAAACTACCTAAGGATACAACTAGCTAAATATACAACTATCTAAAGATACAATCTATCTAAAGATCCAAGCTACCCAAAGATACAAGCTAGCTAAAGGGGCGAGCTATCTAAAGCTTTCAAAATCTACAGAGGCGCTTGACCACAGAATTGGCCCAAGCCTGAGCCCGGGCCAGTAGTCAGCGCCTCTGGCAATGTCGGCGTTATCAAGGACCGCCTGGGGGGCAAGGAGACGAGCGTGAGCCCAGCCCAGCCCAGTGCACCACTCTGGCACAGCAATGGCCTCGTTGCTGAGTAGTTTTGCAACCACAGTGGGATGCACTTCGCAGCAGCAAGGCTCTCCGATGCTGCGGGTCCAAATCGATATGGGTGATCACCCAGGTCGTAACTATCGTGTCGTCAGTGACTTTCTCGCTAGCAAATAGCTATAAATGGATGACCTGTAAAGCATCAGTGACTGACAGAAACGAGGAGTAGCAGATACTCAACAAGCTTGTGCCTTTGTTACCGTAGTTGTTGTTGTCGTCGTCGATGGTGACTGACGGTGGTGACGGTGACGGTGATGGCGGTAGTGATGAGGTTGTTGTTGTTATTGTCGTCGTCGTCGATGATGGTGGTGGTGGTGGTGGTGGTTCTATAGCAAGTTAGAACTATGACTTGATAACAAGACCAAGACCTCAGCTCAGTGATAATCAAGCTGTACATACCAACAGGTTAATGAAGTGTCGAGTTGAAGAGTCAAATTGAAGCGTTTAGTTGAAGAGGAAGAGGAGATGAGAAGGGAAGGGAAGGGAAGGGAAGGGAGGGAAGAAGACAAGAGAGAAGATGGGCCTTCCTCTCAGGACTGACAAATGGAAAGAGCGAATATCGATATGATACTAAGATAGGCAGGAACGCTCTTCAACTGAGCAAGAGCCATATACTCTACAAAATAAATCCTACCATCTAGATCCTCTTTATAGACACTGTATCCATCCCTTCCTCCCTCCTTTACACGCATATATACCTCATCCCAAAATCGCCATGATATCTACATAGATAGTAGATGATTTGCTAACCCGATCAACAATAGTCCTTCGCCTTCCCCACACCAGCCCCACCACAACCGGCATCCAAAAACAACCAACCAATCAAGCCACACTACTAATCAAACAATGCAAACAGAAAATATCTCCAAAAAAGAAAAAAAAAGTTACGAATAGCTTCATCAATCTCAAGGACTTTCCCAAAACCACCATTGTCCAGAGACCACCGAGGAAACCCACATTCTGAAAAGCGCAGGCACATCAATCGCCTCGCTTCCGCGAACACCACGTACCTAGAAACCAAGTCCCCCGACTTACCATACTCGAATCAATTCCGACTTGAAAAACCATCCACCATGTCCGACGTGACCAAGACTCCCTTCGTACGGGATCTCGCCTCGAGCGGTACATACCCCTCCCTCCAATCACTCCCTCCTACCCCTCCAGGAAACCAAATCTAACGAAATAAAAACCCACAGACAAAAAAATCCGCGACAAAGCCACCGACTCCCTCACACTCTTCCTCCGCAGCAAAACCGACCTCTCCCTCATCGACCTCCTTAAACTCTGGAAGGGTCTATTCTTCTGTACGCCATGCCCCATTCCCCCAACATACTCCATCCCACACCAACTAACCATCACCAAAAATCAGGCTTCTACCACTCCGACCGTCCCCTAACGCAACAAGCCCTCGCCCGCACTCTCAGCTACAGTCTCGTCCCAACCCTCCCCCGGAGCACCTTGCACCGCTTCCTCCGCGCGTTCTGGATAACCATCGGCCGGGACTTCCACTCGCTCGACCGTCTCCGTCTAGACAAGTACCTATTCCTGATCCGTTGCTACGTGGGCGTTGCATTCGAGGTGTTGCTTAAGCCCCAATCCACATCCTCCACCACATCCACAGCAAACGGGGGCAAGCGCAAAAGAGAAGAAGAGCCCACATCCTCGAAGCGGAACAAGAAGAACAACAAGAACAAGAAACAACAACAACAGCAACAATCCGAAGAGTCAACGACATCAAGCGAACCCCAAGATTGGACAGCTCTGGAATCCTACATCAACATCATCGAAGAAGGACCCCTGTGCCCATTGAACTTCGACCCGGATCAACCGCCCATGAACGAGAAGGAGGATTACGTGCCGATGCCGCACGGACCCGACGGATTGCGGTACCATGTGATGGATGTGTGGATTGATGAGTTGGAGAAGGTGTTGGAGTTTGAGGAGATTGAAGGGGCGGAGGAAGGGCAACAAACGAAAAAGGTCAAGGGCGGAGTGCCGATGGAGCTTTTGTTGAGGCCGATTGAGAAGTTGAAGAAGGAGAGTGGGTATAAGCCTGTGCGGACTCGGGCTGCGGAGACGTTGGATGATGAGCGGTTGGTTGAGTGGGGGGTCAAGGAGAGGAAGGTGGTGGAGGAGAGTAGTGATGAGGAGTGGGATGGGTTTGATTGAGGTGTTCATTCATATCTATGTGTATAAATTTTAATGGCTCTTATATTTTTTTCTGTTTGATCAAAAAGTGTATAGAATTGTGAATTGGACGGCAGCGTGCGTATGCTGTTCATATGAATGAAACAATGTATATTTATATGACTCTATGGGCTATGCAACCATCTTGGTTGCATTGCTGTCTAGTATACAGAAAGCATGACCCAATTGAAACGAGAGTAAGCAAGCAAGCAAGCCAAAACAAAAAGTCTTGCGCCAGGGTATCACTAGAGTGCGAAGACCAGAATGAAGAGAAAAGAAACGATGACATCCAAAGTACCACCCGCTACTTTTACCGCTTTTATCATCCCCAACATTCAAGGTTTGGGTCCTTCGGCTTCGTAAAGGTGTCCCGATCTCGACAGCACAGTGCCCAAGCCCTTGTGGATTTCTACTTGGAAAGCTTCGAAAGGAATGCTTTCTCCGTCAATGCTGATGTAGCCTTTCTTTTCGTGGGGGACAAGCCGATACGCAAGAGCCTTGCGGATTTTGACGTCGGGCATATCAAAGAATGAGCCTTCGGGGATGGCGGTCATCATTTTGAGCGTGGTCAGACGACTGAGAGTCCCGTCGATGGTGACGATATCCATCAGACCATCGTTGGGCAAAGAGGCGGGAAAGAAGTTCGTATCCTTGGACACGATGGCCATTTTGCCCGCGTAGAAGTTACCGAGATTCTCAGCTGGAATGACTTCCCAGTCCTTGGGCAGCTCGTCCAGCACGGTGCCGTACGCGAGCTCGGGAAGCCCGTTTGGCTGTTCTGCAGTACCCTCGTCCGGACGACTAGGAGGCTGGCTCTGCGCGTAAGCACTGTAGTGATCTTTGATCGCTTGTTTATCATCCATCACGGTCTTGATTGCCAGATCGCACGGATACACTGCGCGGCGCATGATGCGCTTGAGAAATCCGTAGGTGAAACGGTGAGCGCCCATCCATCGGATATCATCCGTGCCGAGGTCGGATTCCGCGATGATACCGAAGGATTGTGACAGGAAGGAAAGCGTGCGAGTCTGCCCCTGCGTAATTGAAACCAGATCCATAGGCGTCCGAACACCCTTTACAATGGCCAAAGCCGCCACTGAGACACTGCCCGTTCCGCAAAGATTCCAGGCCATTGCGTTTCCGGACCCACAAGGCACCATTGCAACGGCAACTTTAGCTAGAGCTTCGGCGGCATTAGGTTTCTTTGCAAGACCGTTGAAGACCTCGTACGGCAAACCATCTCCGGAGCAGCAAATGATGGCATCATATGCATTGATATCCAATTGCTCCACAATTTCGACGGCGTGGCCTCCATGCGTTGTTTCCTGCACGTCCACTTGGCAGCGGGCTGCAGCAAAGACGGGAGCTGCATACGAGGTGTACAATTTGACCGCGTGGCCTTGACCACCGAACGGGTTGACCAAAACCTTAAGTCTCTTGTACCGTTTGGCGGTGCCATACGCAACGGACAAGAGTTTGTTCGTCCAGGATTCTACCGCAGCCTTTTCTTCGGGTGCGAACGGGTAGCGCAGGGCGGACACCGAGACATCCTCTTTGGAGGCCGGCTCCGCATAAGTGATAGTGAGGCCCTCGGGCGACAGGTCGGCGTCCAAGACATTGTAGAGTGCAATGGAGTGCGTGGGTTTGGCTGTTTTGCTGGCGATGCCGCAACACCCACGCTCGGATTTGCGCATGGAACGTTCATCTGCGCGAATGCCGGTGTTTCGTTAACACGGAAATTTGGTAAAAGGACTTGAAAGAAGCAATTGCGCACCGAGACCTACCGACAATCAAAAGAGAGTCGCCTCCAATAGTAAGAGAGACCGAGTTGGAGACTATCAGAGTCGCATCATGTTCAAGCAGCTGATCCCGAGTTTCCGGGTGATCCGCGTTGTTAAACGACGGGTGAGGAGGCCCGTTGGAGGTGGTCATAGTGCCCGGCGGAGGGCACAGCGTAAATGAGAAGAGCCGACCGTACTTAAAGATGAGAAAAGATAGATGCGTAGAAGTGAATGTGGTCAGTAAGAATAACCATAAGAATAATAATAAGAGAAAGACGAAGGAAACGAAAGAGTTTGAGACGAGGAGAAGGAAGGTGTTGGGGGAATGAAACGGGCAAGTCTCAGGATGGAGCGGAGAAAGACCGGAGACTCGGAGAACCACTGAACCATCCATTCACATTATTCGATAATCAATTATCGGCAGTCCAACTTTTATGGCGGGCTCCACTTCTTTTCCACTCCACTTGTCTGCCCTGTAAAATTGATAGGCTCTCAGGACAATGACTTGCACCTCATCATGCCATGACAGGAACACCTTTTCTTTTTGAGTCAAACCCATACATGATGCATGCCTGGATCTGGTGGGTTTCCGGTCATTCTTAGAGAACCTGCCACTGCATGCCCTGCGGAGATCGCCGCAAGCATCCATCCTTATCTAAGGCACGCACCCAGTCCCTTCCGCGCCCATATTTACAACTAATTTGGGGTCTGATTTGATCCTCGAAGGACTCTCGCCACTCTTATACATTCGTCTAAATAAAGCCGATGTTGCTCGGAATAATGGCCTCCGTGACATCCGGAGTCGGACAGTTGCAGCAACAGTTCCGAGGCATCACCTGCGGGGTGTGCGGGGATGGGATGCATCGTGCTTAATCAATCAACGTGGTACAGGTGAGCTTGGGCAAGTCTATGACGGCTTCCAAGAAACATCCTCCCTCCTACTGTAAACATAGCTGGCCATGGTGGTACATACATACACACATACATACAATAAAAATAAAATAAGAGTCGTTCAAATGGGGCATTCCATTGAGAGATGAATAAAGTCTTTTCTCATCCAGAATAAACAGAGTAAAAGGTGCATATAGTCAACAAATTCGTCCATTAAGAAGAACACAGAAGAGTTAGAATAAAGGAGAAAAAAACGCAGTCGAAAATCGAACAGAAGAGTCATGTAGTAGGTAACAAGGGTAGTGGCTATTCAAATACGGCTCAAAGGGGGTTTCTCTATTCATGCTGTAGACGCCTTCAGGCCCTTCAAAGACCCCAGGCTCAAGGCCAGACCCTGAGAACGGCTTCTTATCCGTACAAAGCCGGTGATCGGCCCGTCCTCTCCCTCCTTCTCGATGCTCAAGTTCGCAAGGGCATCCTCACCTGTGAAAGTCATGTTAGCGGCTATCCAATAGGCAGTTGTGGACCGAATGTCGCGGTATGGAGATCTAGTACTTACCAAATACGCTCCGGGCATATAGATTGGCACTCAGGAATCGACAGTCGCCCTTGAGAGACGCCTCAGGCGTCAGGCATGCCATGTTGGTGCTCTCCATTAGCTGCTTGAGGAACTCGCGGAGGTTCTTCGCCTTGGAGTTGATGTTAACCTTGTTCTCCCATTCAAACTCGGTCCACATGGTCCGGAACTGCGTCTCAGTGCAGTGTGCCGGTTGGATGTAGTCCATGATGTCGGCATGGATGTCATTCAGGATAACAACATGCGACTCCGTCGAGCTCGCCCCGTCGTACACAATGTTACCGAAGATCACACCCGTGTCCGTCGACGACACCTTGACTGTAGCCTGCACATTCAAGAAATCGCGAGGTCCAAGGTTGTGCGTCGTGGGCCGCTCCACCACCTTAAGGTCTCCGAGAGTCGCAAATTCAACGCTCAGGTTCTGTAGGGTCTCAAGGGTCTGGTTGACCAGAAGGACATCCAGAACGATATCGAACTGGTGAACCGTGACATAAGCCTCGGCGTATACCGGGTCCGAGAAACCAGTGAGTTGCACAACACGGCTCAGCTTCGAGGACACCGTCTCCACAGTTGAGTCACCGCCAGTGGCCTTGGCCAGATCCAGCTCAATCTCCTCAGCACCTTCAAGAGCTGCCTTCTTGGTGAATTGCCGGATGGGAATGGCATCGTCAACCTGGACGGCAGTCTTAGCCTTCTCAACGGCCTCCTTAGCGGCCCTCTTCTTGTCTTCGACCTGAACCATGGCGCGGAAGGCTTTCCGGGTGTCTTCCAGGAAGGTAGTCTCCAATTCCTTCTTCTGAGAGAACTCTGCAAGCGAGCGCACACAGCACATGACGCGATCCACAGAGTCTTCATCGATGGGGGCCTTGACGAAGTGCGACTGGCCAACACGGATGATGGAGATCATGATGAGCATAGCCTCTGCACGCAAGGCGTTGGTCCGAGCAACATCTTCGGAAACCTCCGAATGGCGCATCACCAACTTAGTGAGGGTGGACGAAAGGACAGTAGCAAGGTAGTAGTCGCCATCCAAGATCAGTTGACGAAGAGGGGGCTTCTGGGCGGCCTTGACAGCCTCAAGCCGAGCAGCCGCAGCAGACTGGCTGGTCAGAGCACTCTCGGTGGCATAGGTGCCATCGGCCAGCACCTTCCGTGATCCGGTCGGGGCTGACGGCTTGGAGTGGCCGTTGACCTGCTCCTTGAGCGCCGCGTCCTCAGGTACTTCATCAAGAAGTCGTTGTTCGGAGGCGAGGATGGGAATTTCGCCGAGACTGGCCCTGATCCGCTTCCAGGCTTCGCGGATATCTCTCTCCTCCAGAGAGTATTCTCCGACAACCCACAGGACACCCCGGTAGACTTTGCCGGCACGGACTTCACTCAAAGTAGAAACCAGGCGATCAACAATAGAAGTTCTGAGCGCGGGGAACTTCTCCACGACCTCCTTGACAAACGAGATCACATCGACGGCGGAGTTGTTGTTGAAATCAGCGATGAAGTCCATCAGAAGATCGACAACGCTAGCTGCGATCTCCGAGAACTTAATGGCGCAGTTATGTATCGACTGGATCAACAATTGACGGTATTCGCTGTTCTACAAGGTTGTTAGTATTCCTGTGTATCACCAGCAGAACGTGCAGCCTACCTTTTCATATTGTTCATCAACAGTCTTGGCCAGTTCCTTCTTGAGCAGCATGACAATTTCTTCGACATTCTTGCTCGAGACCATCTCCAAGGCAATGCTGAGGGCTTTCCGACGAACATCGATATCCGGGGAAGAAAGGACGCGGAGAATCTCCATAGTAAGGTCATCAAGAACACCCTCGTTGCGGATGCGTAGCTGGTCGACCCGGTCAAGGACGATCAGCTTGACATTGTTGTCAGCTTCTTTGATGCAGAGTTCGATCAACTTGCTTGCCGCGGCCTTCACGGCGACGGGGTTGCTGGTGAGTGCCGTAAGAGAGGTGGCAGCTTCGTAGATGACAGTACTCGTTGACGCATCGAGAAGGTCGAAAATCAGCCGCAGATACCGTGCCTACTGGTAATTAGCAACCGACTGCAACGGCGTTGATCTCCGGAAGCCCACCTTGTTCTGAGTGTTTTGCACAGCATCCTTTCTGATGAACTCAAGCTCAGCCAATTGGAGTAGTTCGTCCGTGTTCGGGATGCTGTCGAAGGTAGAGGCCAGGTACTCCAGGGCCTTTTGGTGGCTGATGGACATGAGGGCTGCGAATGCATTGCGCTTGCAGGTTCCGTCGGTCTCCGTATCGAGGAACGCCTGGATTAGCTCTGGAGCATCTGGGATGAGCGACTCCGAGTGCTGGAAGATAGAAGCGACAGCCCACACGGCGTTCTTCCGAACATAGGCGTGGCGGTGATCCAAGCAGGAGCGTGCGGACGAGAGGAGGGGTTCAATGAGTTCCGGTTCTCGGAGCTTGCACAAGAATCGCAGGGTGTTTCCTCGGACGTATTCGTTGGGGTGCTGAAGATCGTTACGGATACCGTTACTGCGCAAAAAGATCGTTTGTTAGAAGGCATGGCCTACAATGTCGGGATGCGCCAGGTGCCTTACCAGACCAGGATCATCTCTTGCTTCAGCTTGCCATTCGAGTCGAGTTTCGGACAGATCTCATAGTAGAAGTATAGGAGTTTCTTGAGGGGTTTGCTTTTAGACGGCATGACAAAGCGAATGATGTGCATGAGCAGTTGGGGCATAGGGTCGCCATTGAGCATGATTGTGATGATCCGCCTCATTGTCTCCATCTTGGTCTCATCGGTACCCTTCTCCAACTGCAGCTTCAGCTCCTGCAGAGAGGGCTGATCAGCAGTGTTGTCCAGGTGGACCAAGCTGTATGCATTTTCGAGGAAGGACGCCATGGTGATCGAGCGGTGCGAACGAATGGCCGGTGCAGGGAAGGGTTCAGGAGGGAGGAGAGCTGGAAGCGGTCATCAGTACAGGTGGTTGTTTGGGTCGGTCAGGGGGGAAGGATGGGAAGACGGACTGGAACGACTCTCCCCAAAAGAATTCGATAATGGTAGAGGAAATTGGTTTAGTGTAAATTGTCTCCCCTCACCTGCCTAGCATTCATCAGAGCGAATGTTGACAATCCGGGGACATTGAGTATCAACCTGGCCATTTGCGCGGCGGAGCAAGCTGTCCGGAGTGTGTGGATGACTAAGCCCCGCCTGGACCAACCCTGCAAACCAGGCAATTCCATCCAGGCACGCGCTACGAAGCGTTCATATCCAGCTTCCCTTTGTCGTGTCAAATCCCAGACGTTGTCGGTTGAGGTTTACGAAAGATGTCAACCCAAAACGAACCATTCTACCTCCGTTACTAGTAAGGATGATCTGTGTGTGGCCCAGGTTTCCTCAGCTGCTGACAGTTCCGCAGCTCAGGTCACTCTGGGCGGTTCGGACATGAGTTTCTAGGTAGGTTCCCCGCGATGGTCTACATTTCGAGCTTCCCTATTAACAGCCCTCAAAGAGTTCGACTTCCGTACCCTTGGCGATGGCCGCAGTGCTGCCGTGCGATATGCGAACAACTCCAACTACCGCAATGATTCTCTGATTCGGAAAGAAAGTGAGTGCTAGGAAAGGGCCGTCCGATTCTACATCGGTCGCTAATGGGCGATCACTACAGTGTGCGTGAGCGCGTCGATGATTCAGGAGGTGAAGCGCATTATCAAGGAGAGTGAGATCATGAAGTGAGTCAAGGAGTGGAGTTCAATGGCGACTCGAGGGGTACAAAGATGCTGATGCGACGCAGGGAGGATGACTCCAAATGGCCCCAGAAGAACAAGGATGGACGTCAGGAACTTGAGATTCGGCTTGGGAATGAGCATATCTCCTTTGAGGTATGTCTACTGCGTTATTGACATGGCTGATAGCAGATGTGAACCTGACATCTGATGTAGACTGCGAAAATCGGCTCATTGGTGGATGTGACTGAATCTGCGGACCCGGAAGGCCTGCGAGTGTTCTACTATCTCGTCCAGGACCTGAAGGCCCTCATCTTCTCGCTTATTTCGCTCCATTTCAAGGTAAATACGGCTTCGTTATTTCTTTTTACTTTGAGAGTATCGAGTCTAATTTGGTAATAGATCAAACCTATCTAAATGGTGATGGTTGTGGGAACATGAATTGGAATGGTTCACTTTCTGGGATGAATAATAGGCGTTTTCTATTTGATTGCAGCCGTGGCGGGTATACTACTAGTGCTACTTTTTTCTTTTTTTACCTTTCCTTTTCCATATTTCCCCAAAAATTTGTCTGGCAGATTTGGGTTGCTTGAAATGAGGCCCGATGGCAAAGCGACTCACCGAAGGCGATGACGCAATGGGAGCTTGCCACTGAGGCCAACGTAGCGGAAGAATTGGAATACCCAACGACGTGTGTGGATGTGGATGTGGATGTGGATGAGTGTATGTGTGTGTGTGAAGTGTTTGATGTGTAAAAAAAGCGCCGAAAACGGAAATCAAAACAGCGAGGCAGAGAGCCATTGCATAATGGGGAATATTATTGTAGCGGGCCACGTCCTTCGGGACGAGCGTCAGAAAAGAAAAAGCTGCAAGGGAGGCCGTGCCAGACGTGCAAAGGCTGCAAAATGCCAGAAATGCTCGAATAACCGCCCGAGGCGCCGTTTGCCCCATTTGCCTCCCCCGCGCTCGCATGATCAGTCGGTCGATTCCTCTTTGGGCAGTGCCTCGCCCCAGACTAATCGATCCTCTCTTCGTCCATCCTCTCTATTCTTTCCTTTGCTTGCTCCTTCATCCCCGACTTCTCCTCTTTCTCCTCTGCTTTCCTTACTTCTCTCCCTAAACTTTGCTTCTTTCCGCTGTCTGCGCCCTAACTCTCTATTTGCCACCCCGATCCCGCTGTCGTCCTCCCCCGTTCCCATCTTAGTTCGCCCACCCCCCCCCCTCCGGTCCAATAAATCACCCCTATCCTTGAGCTGCCCTTACTGTGCTTGTATCAGGCTTGTTCTGTTCCGCCTGATCTTGTTTCACTCCTCGCCCTATCGGTGGGAATTTGCAATCTTATCGATTCCGATGTCATTCCTTCCTTAATTAGCCTCCAATGCCGACTCCGAGTGATAACACCCCGCCCTTGAATGCTTCAATCGCAGAAGAAATCTCCGCTCGCTCTACCTGTCCACCGGAGGTTGATAGAGAGAGTCTACATACCAGAGAAGAAAGGCCGTATCCCTGGGTGTCGGCGTGGGAGAGGAGAAACACCAGCGATGATGCTCCCGACAACACCTTCTCGCCAACCGGTCCATCAAACCATACCGCCTTAACACCATCAGATGGAACTTCTTTCACCTCTACCGATGCGGACCCCGTGACGGGCGAGCCAGTAGCTAGAGCGCCCACGAAGGGCGTGGGGAGATCGGAAGACGAACCTGCTGCGGGGAGACTGAGCCCTGCTGCGGAGTCATCCTGCTCCTCCGGCCCGGTATCTCCAGTCACCCCTTCATCAGCTACTTCTCTGCTAAGCTATGAATTTTCTAATATTCGGGTATGATGGCCTACTTTATCCCTTCGTTCTTTAAGGTCTCCCTTGCTGACTGTAACAGCTTTTACCAAATTATTCGTCGTCTTTTCTGCGACCGGGAAGTAGATTTACTGGTACACAGCAGTCAGACAGCCATGTCTACAGCGTTGATGTGGAGATTAAGCACGTTGATATGCTTGAATCTTATCTTTGTGGATACCTCCGCATACAAGGTCCGTGAGCGCTTACACCAGCCCACCGTATCCAATTCTAACCTTTTTGCATCAGGTCTCACCGAGGATCACCCTACTTTAACAACGTTCTTTGAAGGCGAGATCATTGGGACCAAGCACACATTCAAAACTAGAAATGAAGCATGGGGCGCGACCGAAAAGACTGACATGCAACATTGGGGAAGGTTTCCCGCTTGGCGATCGCAGGCGAAACAGGCGAAGAAACCGGATTTCACATTTCGAAATTTTGCCCAGCGTGAGCACCTTTTCATGCGCTGGAAGGAGTACTTCCTCGTTCCCGATCATCGCGTGAGGTCGATCTCCGGAGCTAGCTTCGAAGGCTTCTATTACATTTGCTTTAATCAGGTGGAGGGAACGGTTGCTGGGATTTACTTTCACGCCAAAAGCGAAAAGTATGTTCTGCCTTACCAGTGGTATTTGTGACAACCAAGACTGACTCTTATTGCTAGGTATCAACAACTCGAGCTCAGACATGTCAAAGACTATGGTTGTGCGCCAGCCATGGAGTTCCGTTGATCTTCTTGCAGGCTTGTCCAGTGGTCGGTTCGACCACTGCAAAAGGAATTCATTTATCATCACCTACGGTTTCGCATGCTTCTACAATTAATGGCTATTACATGGTTACGTTCACTTCTGAGCCTCCCAGCCGCGATGGCTGATCTGTTACGGTTATACTGTCGGAGTTACTATTACCCCGCTCTGTTTTGACTGATGTCTCTTGACGAATTTTCTTCCGACTTGTCTTCTTCTTTCTTCTATCGGCGCAGGCTTGGTTGATACGATATGGTATGGAACGGAACACTATTGGCCAATTATATCCTCGCACTTCTTCATCTCTTTCAATATGACGCAGCGCAGCACACAACACAATGTAACGTCTTCTCCCTTGACAGGGAAGACTACTAGTTGATAAACTAGGCAGCGGTATCGGGACGACTTCACTCCTTGATGTCTGCTTTTTGTTCCCTTGTGAATCAGTTGTTGCTTCTTCTCTCAATTATGACCGGTTCTTCTTTATATCTGATAGCGGTAGCGTTGGTCCCCTTTTTGTCCAAGGGACGATTTTTTCTTTTCTTGCCTGTCTGAGTGAGGAATATATATTACTATCTATTCATCTATTCAATGATTTACTATTCCACTATTACGTTCCAAGTATAAGTGTTCTTGGCTGTGCTACGCATTCTGCGTTTCTAGTTAACGCGGACAGGATGCTCTGTCACTGAAGACTTAAAAACAACTCCAGCAAGTAGGTCCTAGAATACAGCAGTAATCATGATCGTATCATTGATACTCCCTCCGTAATAGACTTCCTGATGAACAACTTAAAAATCCCACACTACCATGATACTAATTACTCTACTAATTAAAGAGCACTGAGCATAACATAACATAAAGAGGACGACACCGTTAAGTAATACTAGATAAAATACTCTTTCGTTTTCCCGAGCACTAACTACTATCATAATGGCAACTGAAAAATGTAAAACTAAGCCCATCCCGAAAAACAGCAGCACACAGCACGTATCGCATATCACATGGCTATATTGATGGAAACCTCCCAAGGTAGAGGAGTACAATAAAAGCGGAACAGAAATAAAGAAATTTGAACATGACAAAACACTAGTTATGACATGACATGTAAGACACGGCGACAGTGGATGGGATGAATGAATGAATGTAAAGTTTGGCGGCGGGGTATCAAATGCAAATTTTTATGCGTGTATGAATGTAAAAGGGCTGAGATAGATGAATTGCGAACAAAGATTTAAAGGTTTAGTGTGAACAAGTGGGATGAAAGGACAATATGCGGACATCATGTTGGGTTGGGTTGGTTGTTTAAGAGGTTAAACGAAGAACGTAGATCAATTCGCTGGAAGGGGATCAGGATGATCATAGATACGCAGAGTTCTGGCGACTGCCTGAGTGCGAGCTACCGCCGCTGTTGTCGCTGCCAGGCGTGGCTGGCTCGAGGACGACTTGCTGACGGATGGAGACGATCCATTCGTGCTGGAGTAGCTCTGCTGCAGTAGAACGTTTATTGGGGTCACACTCGAAGCACCGTCGGAGGAAGTCAATACCCAGGTCGCTGAGCTGGTCGCGGGATGGCAATTGCGGCTGGTTGCCCTGGGCAATGTTGTACATGATGGCCCATTCGTTATCCAGAGTGGACCAAGGGCGACGACCTGTGGCCATTTCCAAGATCACACATCCTAATGACCAGATGTCGACGGCTCCTTGGCGGTGGATAAGTTTAGTGGTATCGCCGCGGATTACCTCGGGCGACATGTACATCGGAGTGCCGGTCATCGTTTTCTGGTTCTTGCCCCAATTGTTGTGGGCCAGCTGGGCGTCCTTGGGCACTATAGCGTCCTTGTGACCGGCGCCGGCGAAGGCATCCATAGGGACAACGGTCCTGCCCTGACGAGCGATGATCTTCGCAGCACCGAAATCAACGTATTTGATGATACCATTATGGTCAAGCAGGATATTTTCAGGCTTGATATCGCGATGGATAATGCCAGCCTGGTGCAGGTACGCCAATCCCTCCAGCAACTGAAGAGCATAGACCATAATGACGGTTTCATCCTCGACACGTCCGTGCTCAAGCAAGCTGGCAAGGGACCCCCCGGAACAGTATTCCATAAAGATGTAGACCTTATCGCGGTGCACTTCGATACCGTGGTAAGAGACGATGTTAGGATGATCCAAGACTTCCAATACACCCATTTCATCGCGGATTTGCTGGGCGATTTTGGGGATAAGTTGGGGGTCTTGCAAACGAATCTCCTTGACAGCCATGAGGTAGTTACTGTCAAGGTTGATTCCAGCGTAAACGGACCCAAAGGTTCCTCCACCAATGAACTGGCCCTGTTGCCATCGCAGAGTAACGTTCGTAGCCGAGGATGAAAGCACTGTAAGAGACCTGTCTGCTTCGTTTGAGCCCTCTAGAACCCTTCCCAATGCTTGGCGTTTAGCATCTTCGTCAACGCGTCTTTCCTCGATTTCGGTAAGGTGAGCCACACGCTGCTCCCGAACAAGCTTGGCTGCCTCTTCGTCTGTAAGGACCCGCCCTGCGCCCATTCGCCTCGAACCGCCGCGCTCTTCCAAGCGTTGCTTCTCTGCCTGAGCTGCACGAGACGATCGAGCACCCATGATATCAAAGTGAGATATAAGAAGGGACATGCATCCGGCAACCTTTTGCCTCAGACGACTATACTGAGCATCATCCATAGACAGGAGGTGTCTGCTGGAGGTGATAGCCATTGCGAATTCCAAAGCAGCGACGGCCCACTTGAAGGTCTTTCTGTCAGCAGCATCGCAATCATCACAGATGAACGAAACCCAGTCGAGGGATAACTCGACGAGTCTATTGCTGTTCATTGCGCGTCTATTGGGATCAACGTTTGAAGAACGCTTGCCGAACTCGGTAGCAAACGCATAGCATGCTTGAACCAGATCATGATTTTCCACGTCTTTCTCCTTTAGTTGCTCCCGTATACGGGCAACACTATCCATGATAGTCATTGACAGCTTAAACGAAATCTTCTTGATCTTGTTAAGCTCCACGTTGACCCGGCCAAGATTAGCACGCTGCTCGATGGCCATATCGAGTTGAATACCAGTGAGATGTGTCAGCTCATGTCTGGCATTAGACAGTCGCTGCTGCGTCCCTTCGACCACAAGTCGCAATTTTCCCAATCGCAAGTCCGTGGGCTGTTCCATGATGCCCAGCTGCATTTCCTTGCCAGCCCAAGCAAGAGGCTTTTCCGGACGAACCACGAGGATATATGGCGCATGCGGCGTATCCTTGCTGGTGTCATCCTCACGAAATGATGTGCCGAGGATAGCTTGGATATCGGCAGGGCGATCCCACAATGCGGGGTGCGCAAAGAGATAGACACCTTTTTGACCCACAGAGACGTTTGATTTAATCATGAAATGATCCGACACAAGCAGCGACTCCAAAAAGTCGTATGCAATGTCAGCCGGCAAATTATATTCGGTTGCATTTTCGAACAGCTGGCGCAAGAATCGGGAAAATCGGTAAAGCTTCCGTTGCCGGATCCGGGTTGAGTCCAAAACGCTTTTATAACGCTTGTCCATGTCGGCCGGATCCTCGTCATGGCGAGGCTGCAACTCCCGCTCGAAGTGGTGCATCAAGCGCTGGATTGACTTGGCAGTCAGTGCACTAGCTCGGGTTAGCCATGTAAATTTATTGTATAGTCTGAGAATTGTTCGTACCTGAACTGCTCCGCGACCTCGATATCTCCGCCCTCAAGTTGTCGGCCGACCTCATTGGAGAATTCCCAATCCTGCTCTAGAATTTCCGCTTCTTTGAACGTATTCTTATTTGCAGTCAGCTTCCAGTTCAGCAGCCGGAAGTAATACTTCATCGCATCCAAGACGACTGCGTCAAAACCTTCATCAATGCAAGGAGGCAGGTCCCAGCCAGGCTCGGGTCTGGCGATATCCAGATAATGCCGTTTGATATCAACCGCCACCTTCATCAGAATCTGGAACTGCGATATCATTTGGTCGACTAAGATGGCGGACTGCGAAGCTGGGTCTTTCATATTCTTAGCGTAAGATAGTCGAACCCGTATAATCTCCTGGATGAGACGAGAGGGGAAATTGATTAAAGTAAGGAGTTCTTCGATATAGGGAGGTAAGTGGCGTTTTGCGAAGGAACCCGCATTCTCAATCAATGTATTCTTTGCTTTTTGGATGACTTCTCCGATGCCGTGGAGCATGTTATGTTTCCCTTGGAGGGTTTTGAAGCCATCCTCCTTCATGATGCGATCAAGGAAGGATGTTTCGTCGGAAAGGTCGCTATTGATTGATTTCGTTCTCGACTTGTTGAAATCCAACTCATCGTTTCCAACCCATTTCTGCAGGATAGCCAGCTCGGTGTTAATCAGGATAGTCGTGTTGTGCCAAGCTAGAACAGCGTCGCGACTCGAGTGAAACTCCTCCGAAGCCACTCGGGGGTGGGCAGTTTCCAACTCCTTGTGAGTAGAATAAAGGCTCTCGCATCGTTCTATTTGTGCGACAATATCCTCAACCTGCTTGATGGGTGGCTTTCCGATCTCTGTTTCACCCTTGATCTCGAATTTGATGATTTCTTCGATGACGGGGCCAAGGCCAGCCCTCGCTTCTTCAATGAGCTTCCTCTGCAGTGCAACACTCCTTCCACATGTCCTGGCTCTGACACCCAACCATATTGCGTTGTTCTGAGCCGACGATCGTTTCGATTCTGTAGACCCGAGCAACCGCTGCTTCTCTTGCTTCACAACGTCTCCCTTCAACACCGATGAAAGCATAGAATGCCATTCCAGCCTCTCTTGATTCCGTGGATTCTTGAGTTCCTCGATCGTTGGCTGATTGTCGTCGGTCAGGAAGAGCTGAATGTCCGGATCGTAGGCATCGTCTTCGAAAGGCACCTCGGATGATGGTGAGGGTTCTTCGAGATCGGAGTCCCCCACCGTCATGCTCATGTTTTGAGCCTCATCGAAATGACTGTACCAGGCCTGAGGATCCGCACGAATGCGCTGGACATACGCCTTCTCCTGAGCTCGATACTGCGCATTGGGATCGCGTCTAGAAGTTCGTTTTGTGGAGGAGCTCCGTTGGCGGTCATTTTGGAAGCTGATATACTGAGGCGGGCGTCGTTGGGGCGCGTAGGTATTGGAGGGCGTTCGAGCGGGGCCGGACGGACGTTGCGGCCGTAATTCACGATCGGTCACCGGATGACCATCCATAGGCGGGGCTTTCTCGAGAGCAGCAGAAGCACCTATACTGGCCCCGCGCGGGCGTGTGGGCGTGCCAGTTGCCCATGATGGCAGGGCAGATGGAATGGATGGCGGAGGGGACGAGGAAATAGTCGTCGCCGGGGTTTGGACCTGGCTGTCGAAATTCTCCGGGAAACTGGAGCTGGTTCTTACAGCATATGGCTGCTGCAGAAGCTCATCGGAGGACCCGGAGCCATCCGAATCATGGTTATTTAAATCAGGATGCTCCATGATCGGAAACCCGCGGTCCTGCTGAGATTCCATGTTGCATGTCCGACGTTCAGGAAGCGGGTTGGAAGGGAAGCCTCAAGCGGATAGATAGGGGGGTGTGGCGGTGCACGTCTGTGCTACGTATCGGTTCCGGACCGGGGCTGATATCGCGCAGGCGTACCAGTTGCATCCAAGGACTTTGAAGTGCGAAGGTAAATATAATGAAAAGATATTACAAGCGAGACGACTCCTCTGCCATTCAAAAGTGCAAACCGCGAAGCATCTGAGGTTGAATCCGAGTGGTATGCTCCAGATTTGACAGGGCGGAGCTTCAGCCGGAGGTGGATTATTCCTGCCACACCTATACCGGATCGGGAGGCGGTAGGCCCCATCATGCCACAATCACGAAATGAACGATGCCTCAGGCGGAAGGCACATGCTTTTCTACAAAATACCAGACAGTGTTCCAGATCTCATGAATCATGTGGACATTCTTACACCGGCTTTTGTTAACGGGATATGGTAGCCCTGAATTGGTTTCTACTGTGGCGACTGGTCCCTTGCTTCTCGCAAGTATTCATACTCAGGCGTAAGAAAATGACAGCTCACATGGCTGGTGCTTGAAGAGGTAATTGAGAGGACTGAGGCATATTCACGCCTATCGATGGTCAAAAGAGGTACGTTTACGGCCTTGGTTGATACCATCCTACTCGTCTCTCACTCCTCTCTCTGAGAATGAACCATCAAGAGTTTTCAGAACTGGTAAATGCCCCAGTAGGTGGTTGCCTAGGAGTATTGAAAAGCCATAGGCCGCGTTCAGCGCTCCAAATGATACAACCCCCAAAAAGCGACATGAAAGAAGCAAAATGCAACCATCGGCATGCCTCTCAGATTGACCAAGTCGGAAAACCGAGAAGGTGATCTGAAACTCTACTCCTTATAGTTCAGACGGAGACTTGTCGGGTTAGCATGCGTTCTCCTTTTCGGGCGTCTGTAAATGTCCGCTCAGTGCGGCCTCATGCATCTTCTCGAAAGTCCCGCCTGATCCTTGGATAAAAAGTTGGACGACGATCAATTGACATCTTGACGATCGCCCTGAGGCGTGAATAGTGGCATGCGTCTGATGGTTGATCAGTGGAACCCATTGTCCTGAATTGGGGCTGCGGGTCTCTTGGAGATCCATTTTGGAAATTCCGGGGAAGCTTAAGCAGGTAGTACTGATGTCTGGTGGACAGTAAACTATGGGAACAGTTGATCCGACCGCCAAGTAGAATGTTACTTTGATTATGACATCATGCTAGCAGCATGAAAATATCCAGGTCAGGCTGTGGTGTTGTGGTCCAACTCCTTGAGAGATAATATATTTTATATGGCGATGAGCTGTATCAGTCTTCCAGAAGATAGTACTACTGGGTAATTCTAGTGGGACAGAGATTAATCACACATAGCATCTATTATCTACTCTTTTGTGCTTGTTCGACATTCTGCTCTGAATTGGACAGAAACAGCGGAGATAGATTGAACGGTATGATTATCAAATTCATGTTAATCAAATCCTCAGATGATCTCGCATTGATGATTGATGAAGACTGAAAGAACCCCCCAAAAGGTGCCAAGACCGCTAGTCCGAGCCAGTCGGGATGCCGAATTGCCCTAGCCAATGGGGACTGGTGAGCTTATCTCTACCTACGGGAGACGCAGCTGGGAGGACTGAGTGGTTTTTGGTCAATATGGGAAACTTCCGTGTAGAGGTACAGAGGAAATAGTTCCAAGTTGCTGACAGATATAGCGGGCTACTACCTAGCGAACTATTATAGTGTTACTTGGTGCTACCGTTGATCCAGGGATATCGATTGCTGATGTGGCTCCGTGGAGTTGTTGGTTCATCCCAGTCAAGCAGCCCTATGATCCGTGCTGGAAACACGATTGCTTGATCTGGACTTGGCCATCCCATACAAGTTTATTCGTTCACGTTCATTCCGAGATATGTTTTGAATTATTGATGAGATATTTAGATTTCTGTCAAGCTTCCATATTACAGTATTGCCGTAGGAAGTTACTCAGAAGTCAGCTGGTAACATAGTAGGTATCTCCAAGGAGTACGGAGTAACCTTCCTGCTATGAAGGAACAACGCAGATACCGTCCGACAAGGATGATGAGACGGAGGTCTTGGCTTCATCAAAGCTCTACTTACTCATGGGATATCAACATTGCAACCGACAGTAATGGCCAGGAGTAACAGGAACCCACGGGGTTTGTTTTGGAAGAGGAAATCAGGAGGCCTGATAAGCCATCCCGGCCGACTGCTGATTGGACGGCCGAAGCCTGAAGATAAGCACAGCGAGACCGGGCTGGGCTGAAGGAATTCACGACGCGACCATGAATTTACCATGGATTGATTCATACGAACTACTAGTAACTAAGGGAGTCACTGACTACCTCGTGGTCCTTGTCAACTGGGGTACAGAATTCTAGTTGGAGTACCAGTGACTCCTCAAACCATGGAAGTTCGAGAACGATGGGTGAAGCCACAAACTCAATCCGCAGCCTTGTCTCTGATAGATAGGGGTGTAAGTTAGTAGTAATTGATAGATAACCATTTCAGCTGCGAGTCCGGAGTAGTAAGCTCAGGTAATGCCATTGTTTTTGATTGGCCGATTGAATGCTATCTCCCACCAGTCGCGAGAAGCTGTCCGAGAAATTAACGAAAACTAAAAGAGTCCTTCGGAAGTTTCCTGCTCCTTTTGGGTCTTATCCGCCTTGCATCGAGTCCAATGACGCTGTTACTATCCATTATTTCTCCCGATCTGTCATTGAAATCTTCAATCTCAGGGTCTCTATCGGTAGTCACATAGTATTCAGTAGTAGTATAGTAGTACTACAGTACTAGGTTAGTAGTAGTCGGTCACATTATCATCTTCGACCCCTATCCATAGTAAGTAGTAGTAGCAGGAGTAGAGTACGACATAGAGGGAATTCTCAGCTTCTTGCCTGTCACCGATGCAGCATGGCGCGGTTAGGCTGCCATGCACCCAGCCAGTGTCACCCACACACACCTAACTTGGCTTTTCCGTCCACGTTCTCGTCTGATTTCCTCCCAGCTAGCGGGAAACGAACGTACTACTACAAGCAGACATTATTACAGGATGATGGCTGGATCCCGCTGCAGGTCAAGTGGAATATCCCAACGGGAAGCCGCGCATTGGCCCGCCCATCCCATCCATTCATCCATCCTTCCTTCCTCCGGAGTCTCCACGCTCTTATCCGCCGCCATGGCTTTTTCGCTGCTTGCTGATATCTATCTATCGGTCGTATTGATTGCGACTAACCATGGCCCAGGGTTGCGCCTAGTGCCCGAATGGGTGGATCCGGCCATGAATCGATGCAAGTGAGACCATGGCGTTTCATTCTGACTGGTATCATCGCCCTGCTCCGACTATTTCCAGTACTATTTATCACTCCTGCATTCCCTCCTCCTTCCCCCTGCAGTGGCTTGTTTTGCTTTTTGAATTAGACTCCCCCGTCGTCTTCTATTTTCCTTCCTCCCATAATTCCTTTTTTTTCACTCTCGATCGCTAGTGTCTAGAAGCCCTCCCCCCCCCGACTTGTTGCCCATCTCTCGCTGCCTTAACCCATTAAAGGCCTCTGGGTCTACACGTCGACCCCCATCTCGCGCCCTCTATAGTCTACAGGGCTCCTGGTCTTAGTGTGCAAGGCTTAGGAGTCACATAGACACTTTCATACACAGTTCTGGGCCTTCCTTTGTCAGAAAGCTCGGTGTGATTCACAATGTCGGAATACCCTGTCGCCTACAATGGCACAGACAATGGGACCGGTGGTAACTCCCTGACAGAAGATCTTAACATCTACTACAGCGTATGTCTTCCCCAGATATGTGATGCAAGCTATGACTGGGGTCATCCCCACTAACTGATTTCAGTCTGGAGATATCGCTTGGGTTATCACCTCTACGGCTTTGGTGTTGTTGATGATTCCTGGTGTTGGGTATGATTACCACCTGTCCATCTAGCCATTGAGCCCCTCCAACTGACAACAACAGCTTCTTCTACTCAGGTCTCGCCCGACGCAAATCAGCATTGTCGCTAATATGGCTTTCAATAATGTCTGTCGGGGTGGTATCATTCCAATGGTTCTTCTGGGGATACTCGTTGGCCTTTTCTCACACCGCTGGAAAGTACATTGGTGACCTGAACAATTTTGGAATGAAGGGTGTTTTGGCAGCTCCTTCCGTTGGTAGTACCAAGGTCCCGGATCTTCTCTTCGCTGTCTTCCAGGGCATGTTCGCTGCTATTACGTGAGTGTTCCCAGACGACGGAGCAACTTACATGGCTGATGACTGATAACGGAGATAGGGTTGCCCTTGCTGTTGGTGCAGTCGCGGAACGTGGTCGCATGCTGCCTTGCATGGTCTTTAGCTTCGTTTGGTCCACCATTATCTACGATCCGATCGCCTGTTGGACATGGAACTCGTCCGGCTGGGTATACAAACTGGGAGGACTTGACTTCGCAGGTGGTACTCCCGTCCACATTGCTTCCGGCACGGCTGCACTGGCATACTCCTTGATGCTCGGCAAGCGCCGCGGACATGGCACCCACGAGCTCAACTACCGTCCCCACAACGTCACCCACGTCGTCATTGGTACTGTCTTCCTCTGGGTTGGATGGTTCGGATTCAACGCCGGCTCTGCCTTGAGCGCCAACTTGCGTGCTGTTATGGCAGCCGTGGTCACGAACTTGGCTGCCTCCGTGGGTGGTGTCACCTGGTGCATCATGGACTACAGACTGGAGAGGAAGTGGTCCACTGTCGGTTTCTGCTCCGGTGTCATTGCAGGTCTTGTGGCCATTACCCCGGGCTCTGGTTTCGTGACACCTTGGGCTGCCTTCATCTTTGGCGTTGTCGGTGCTGCTGCTTGCAACTACGCCACCAAGCTCAAGTACGTGCTTCGTGTGGACGACGCGCTGGATATCTTTGCTGTGCACGCCATTGGAGGTCTCGTTGGCAACCTCTTGACTGGTCTATTTGCTGCGTAAGGCCCTCTGATTCTTAACAAAAGAACTTTATACCGGTGGGCACTCAACTAACGCTTGCTCTCTGGTAATAGTGACTACATCGCCCATCTCGATGGTTCCACGGTCATTGACGGAGGCTGGATCAACCACAACTACATCCAGCTCGGCTACCAATTGGCGGACTCCATCTCCGGTATGGCCTACTCGTTCTTCGGAAGCTGCATCATCCTCTTCATCATCAACCTGATCCCCGGTCTACACCTGCGCATCCCTGAAGAGGAAGAAATCCTTGGTGTGGACGATGCCGAGATTGGTGAATTTGCCGTAAGTGCTTCCCCATTGCATGGAAACAATCGACCTCCTATTCTAACAATAGCTTTAGTACGACTACGTCGAAATCACCCGCGATGTCATTGGCGGCACCAGCCCCGAGAACGGCGACGTGTCTTCCAAGCGCACCATGACTCCTCCCAACGGCAACGAGGAGACTGTGGAGACCAAGGCCTGAAGTACAGTAGGAGTTATATTGAGGATGATTGGCCATTCATCTTCAATTCCTCCTAACTTCGAGTCATGAACGAACACAATGACTTCTACACTTTTATTTGGATTTAATTTTTACCCTTGATACCTATTTCGTTTCTGGTCATTATGTCATTCTTTGGATACCTTCAGATGTACATATTATTTACTTTTCATTTGTCCATCCGTCCTTTCTATCAACATATGTTTCTCACATATAACCCAAAATTCATCATATACTTTTTTTTTTATCTCCAATGACCTGTGAAGAAGCAACCAAGACATCGCAGTGCCACTACTACTACTACTAGCATAATATAATAACCAAATTTGCCATTTTCTTTCCCCCATATTATCAATTTCATAGTACCCCTCCCAGCGAAATCCTTCGTTTACGTACGATCGTCCTTCCCCAAGCTACTGCATACACACACACACAAAACAAACAAAAAAGGCACATACCACACAATACATTGGGATACTAGAAACATTCAGCTTGCTTCTCCACTGATGTACGCACTACTCATCAAAAGCACTTGAAAACCAACGAGGGCTTTACTAAATCGTAGCTCATAAGTATAATCTTAGAATGCGTGAAGTATAGAGTCAGCAGTGGAAGTATGGAATGCGGGGTTACCACCTATCGAAGAACAATGGGCAGTGTACCTTATCACATGAATGGAATGAGGATCATGTACAAAGTATGCATACCGATATGGTATGGTACAGTATTTATCGATGGCCTAATTTATTAAATACCTAACATCTACATTCATCAAGACTAAAAAGATTGTACCAAACTGCTTTTAAAACTATGTGCGATTGGGTTTAATAAGTCCAGGCTTTGGCTAGCCTAAGTAATTAAAAACAGGAAGGGAAATTAAGAGCGCTCAAACAGAAGAATTCACTGACCAAGACCTCGGAAGGCCTTGGTCGAAGAGAATGTAGGCTTATCGGGGTATTACAGAGCAGATCTCAATTCGCGTAACTGTCGACTTGAGACATTTACTCCTCAGCCTCAAGGGGCTCCTCCTCGACGCTGTAGCATTGGTTAGACCTGTAACAGGAAAAAAAAAATAGGTTCTTGGGTGAACTTACTATTCCTCCTCACCCTCGGAGATCGAGGCGTCCTGGTACTGCTGGTACTCGGAGACCAGGTCGTTCATGTTGCTCTCAGCCTCAGTGAACTCCATCTCGTCCATACCCTCACCAGTGTACCAGTGCAAGAAAGCCTTGCGACGGAACATAGCAGTGAACTGATCACCGACACGCTTGAAGAGCTCCTGGATGGAGGTGGAGTTACCGATGAAGGTAGAGGACATCTTGAGACCACGGGGAGGAATGGAGCACAGGGCGGTCTGGATGTTGTTGGGGATCCACTCGACGAAGTAGGTCTGGTTCTTGCTCTGGATGTTGCGCATCTGGTCCTCAACCTCCTTCATGGAGACACGTCCACGGCTAAATATTTGTTAGCTGGCGTAATGCAATCAATGCAGGAAGAAAACTCACAAGATGGCGGAGCAGGTGAGGTAGCGGCCGTTGCGGAAGTCAGAGGCAGCCATCATGTTCTTGGGGTCGAACATCTGCTGGGTCAACTCGGGAACGGTGACGGCACGGAAGGAGTAGGCGCCGCGGCTGGTCAGAGGAGCGAAGCCGACCATGAAGAAGTGGAGACGAGGGAAGGGAACCATGTTGACAGCCAGCTTGCGGAGGTCGGAGTTGAGCTGACCAGGGAAACGGAGGCAAGTGGTCACACCGGACATGACGGCAGAGACCAGGTGGTTCAGGTCACCGTAAGAGGGGTTGGAGAGCTTGAGGGTGCGCATGCAGATGTCGTACAGAGCCTGGATTGGTCAATTCGTTAGTTCTCGAGCACCAATCTTGTTTCGATATGTGCTAGGGACAAAAGCGTACCTCGTTGTCGATACAGAAGGTCTCGTCGGAGTGCTCAACGAGCTGGTGGACGGAGAGAGTGGCGTTGTAAGGCTCAACAACGGTGTCGGAGACCTTGGGGGAGGGGACAACGGAGAAGGTGGCCATCATACGGTCGGGGAACTCCTCACGGATCTTGGAGATCAGGAGGGTACCCATACCGGCACCGGTACCACCACCGAGGGAGTGGGTGATCTGGAAACCCTGGAGGCAGTCGCAAGCCTCGGCCTCACGGCGGACAACGTCGACAACCTGGTCGACCAACTCGGCACCCTCAGTGTAGTGACCCTTGGCCCAGTTGTTACCAGCACCGGACTGGCCGAAGACGAAGTTGTCGGGGCGGAAGAGCTGGCCGAAGGGACCGGCACGGACGGCGTCCATGGTACCGGGCTCGAGATCGACGAGGACGGCACGGGGGACATACTTGTTACCGCTAGCCTGCTGAAGTGGTCAGGACATTGATGATATTGTCGTGAAAAAAACTCAGGGACGGTGTGATCTAACCTCGTTGAAGTAGACGTTCATGCGCTCCAGCTGGAGGTCGGAGGTGCCATTGTAACTATCCTGCGCGTCAGGAAACCCAATCCTTTCCACATTGTTGACCAATTGAGAGGTGTGAAAAAGTTGTACTTACACACCGGAGCCGTCAAGGCCGTGCTCGCCAGAGATGGTCTGCCTGTTGAGTTGTTAGACGTGTTCTTAACCCGATAGCTATATACCCGATGGATAACATCTGAACTCAAGTTAAGATAGCTTGAGAGATGATGTTCCATCCCCAATCCAGTGGCAGTGAATACGTACCAGAAAGCAGCACCAATTTGGTTACCCTAACCACCATCATTTGTTGTTTAGTCCACCGAACACCAATCAAGAACCCCGGAGGGCAATCATTCGAAGAACATATTGGCACTTACACACTGGCCGGTTTGGAGGTGAACCTATGAAGCGACAAAGACATGCAGTTAGCACAAGATTGAGTTGGTTGAAGAACCGGTGGGGTCCCGATCAGAAGAGATGCCAACCAACGACGCGTCTCCTGACCGAAGAGGGACGGGGAGGGAAAACATACGATCTCACGCATTGTGCCGGGGATATTGAAGGGGTTAAAGGTATTAGAAAGGGTCGAAGGGGAGTGAGAGACGGCGAGGCCGGAGGAAGTGGATGAACGGGAAGTTGTTGGGAGGAGACTGGGGAAAGACAGTCGACTAAAGGAGGAGAAGGGGGGAGGGAGGAGGGAGGAGAAAACGAGGAATGGGAGGGAAGTTAGTTTGGCCTTAGTGGAGAGTTGGGTAGAAGGAGAGCGGTGAAGGGGGAACGTTGTGCGGGCAATAATAGTAATACCAGTACGGAGCAGGTAAGCAATTCCCAAGCCTAATAAATTCGGGGATCAACAACAAAGCCAAAAAAAAAAAAACGCCAACAAAACACCCGATCTTTTGGGCAGGTAAATAGGGGCTGTCCCCCAATTCGGTTTGGCGTCGTCACGGGATGGCCTTGCGGGCCAGTGACAGTCAACCTTCGTAACTTGGCTTGTCCACACGCGAACCAGACTTGATCATGGCCTGACCGGCCTTACCATGGATTCATGGCCCTTTTCGTGTAAACAAATGGAAAAGGATAGTGATAATAACAACAACAACCCGAACGCTATTATAAGTACATACAAGTCTACAATCCCGCAGGTCGTCTAAAGTGACCAGCCAGCCTGAAAAGCGATTACGCCCATCCCATCCAGTTCCAGATCCCCCTGATAATGATTACATCCGAGAAAACATCATCACCATCACCATCACCATCACCATCACCATCACTATCACTTGGCCGTGTTCTCGACCGTATGAGAGCTTTCCAACCACGTGCCAAACTCATCCAATCGCTGCTCCTCCTCTTCGTCGGATGCATCCAATCCTTTCTCCGCCAGATCTTCCAGTGCCGCACGCTTCTCATTGGTCTTCTTAAATTTCTCACTGCCATCCGCGATATAGGCATCGACCCGGGTGCCAGCGAAGAACCGCCCATCCATCATCTAAAAGTAACAGTATCATTAGCACATGTTCTTGTCTTGACGGTATTGACCATCGCCATCCCGTGATCAAGCTTACCTTGACACAACTCCTGGCTGCCTCGGGATCGGAAAAGCGAACGCTCACCACTCCCTCGGGTTCCTTATCGTAGAGTACAACGTTGGTCACATCCCCCAGCTTCGAGCACTCCTCCCGGATATCTTCCTTGATATCAAGAATAGCCGCAGGATCCTCCTACACCAGACATTAGTTTTAACTTAACCATTAGCCCGAGCCCAGGAAGTATACTCCATACCTCCAATTCCTTCAATGTGAACATATGTTTCAAGATCACGAGCTTATCAAAGCGGGAAGTCGTGTCCGGCAAAGCAGACGGATCGTCATCGTCCCAATCAGCAAGTTTGCTAGACACCTGTATCAGCAAAGCCCAGCCCAATCATCGTAGGTAAACTGTAGTTGTCCCCATACCTATTCAGCTTCTGTGTCCGGCGCATAATCTTCTTCTTATCCCTCATACTAGTCTTCGTAGGCGCCTCCTGCTGACTCTTGAACGAGAAATCCGCATGCTGCACCCGCATAGGCCCCTGCGGACCGGGTACCCCGATCCTAAAGTTCGAATCATCCAGCATCTGTATCGCGAGGTTGACAGACTCCGGTCGGAAGTACACAACGAGAGCTTCACCCTTGAACTTCCCACTCTCATCAGTGTACATCTTAATGCGCGGTCGGCCGCTATCGATCTCCTCAGCGATAACACCACACTTGGAGAAGACATCACGGATTTCGTCGAACTCAGCATCCAGAGGAATCGAAGTCACATAGACGGCGGTATTGACGCGCTGTTTCTTAGGCTTCTGTTGCCCATTGCCCTACGCGATTACACATATCCTCTTTAGTATAAGGCCCATCTCGATGCCATTGGGGCCAACTCAAGGAAAGCATCATCATAAGCTGCTGGGACTAACCTCTTCCGTAGAAGCCTGTTGCTTGCGCTTCTTCCTCAACTGCGCCGCAGTAATTTGTTCCTCCTCATCAACACCCTGGACCTTATATGCTTCTTGCTGTTGTTGTAGCAAGTCTTCATCGACCTGGAGGCAACCCGGACGGGCGCAAAGCGGCGCCAACCAAGCAATCAGTTTCACGAACCAATCAAACAATCCCTGCAAGAATAGACATCGTGTATATCGGTCTATTTGCAACAAGAGAGGAAGGTTCCATAACCAGTTGAAACAAAAAGGGGGGAAGGCGGGGAGGGATAGAAATAGTAGAAACAAATAAATGAAGGAAGTAGCAGCAGGTTCAACAGCTACATAACAATCACACCACCCAGCTGGAGAAAGAGCGCGCACACACCGTCGGAATCCATCTCTTTAGCACCGTATCATATTCAAATTCCTGTCCGTCCTCCGTTTCCAAGATGAACTTGTCGTCGAGCTTCGAGAACGAGATGCGCGGGTCGCTGTCGAATTCCGAAGGATCCTGGGGGAAGTTGCTTAGCGGAGGAGAACGGCCGTCGTCGTTCGGGGTAGGCGACGCCATTATTGTTGTACACGATAGACGATATAAATGCGACGGCGATCAAATATCGAAGTAGTAACAAAAGAGTTTATTATCTGGGTTAAGGCAAGGTTGGCTTGATGATGATGATAGGATTTAATTTGAGCTGACTTTCGGATTTGCGGGGAGAGAAAAATCGCTTTATGTAAGCTGCGACGGCTATTCACGTCATGGAGGGCGCGCTTAGCTTAGGCTGACGATTTTGGAAGCTTTACTTTGCTTAGACTACTTTATCCTAGTAAATACAATGTAGTGAATATTCTGTCTTTCATAGGTGCGTTCGACGCGCTTACGGCCTTAGCGTTATTGTGCGGGGAAAGGAATGGGGTTTCTGTTCATATTATCTGCATTTGTAGCTTCGATCCATTTGTGAATACGGGGGGTTTCTCTTATTGAAACAAAGGTGAGCACTCAAGCGCAGGATTCTTCACAGTGAGGATATTCTATCTCAGATAGAAGCGCTAATTTAGAATGAATACAGAAGAATGCTTCGCTCAAATAGAGATCATTGCGAAAGTTTCGGCTATTAGAATGATGCATAAATCGTGTTTTTTTGGGAAATATCCGAGCTTCAGTGTGGATGGACCACGATTGATTATGACGGTAATCCAGCACACCATGGAAAAATAGAACGACACAATCACTACAATGCGAGGGTACTAGCAAACATGAGCGAATGAAGCAAATATTGGCCCAAGACTTCCCAGGACAGTGCAAGGACAAAGTTGTTGACATTTGTGGGAGGCTCAGGAGGATTCAAAGTGCATAAACTATCTTCGATAGTTGCTCGTAGATCATCGGCTGCGGCAGATTACGCTCCGCTAAGTAGATTAGCATTTAGCAGCGCAGTATGCGCTTTATAAAATCGACACAACTTCTTCCAACGCGCATTTTAATTGAGTGAGGCCAGCTCCGCGCAAAGCTCAGTGGAAAGGGCACTGGCCCCGTCGTGTGGTTTCCAACTCCTTCATAATGTCCTCCATACCCTGACGGCCCTTACCTTCGAAATACTTGGGGCCTACATCGAGATTATCATACCCCTTTGGATAATACTTGTCCCCTTCGTCTCCCGGCAAAGGCCGACCAAGCACCCAAGTCAACCACGCAACCGGACCCCAGCGGTTCCGGAGACTCGGCTCCACATAGTAAGGGGCAGCATCCCAGTTGGTCATGTAGATGCGGCCGTTCTTGTTGTAATCATCGGTGTAACTAACATACCGCAGAAAATAAGGGCGGGGTAGCGCGAGATACCGCAATGCAAACCGACGAGCGGAAAACAGTAACGAGAACAGCTTAGCATCAAAATCCGGAGGGGGGTCAATCCTGGAAAGAGAATCAATAAGCGGTTTGTTCGAGCCCCTGGAAACATTACACAAGACTTACAGCATGGCTTTCCGCAAGCGATCGTCCATCATGAACGAGACAAATCTCATCCCAATGAACTGCAGTGACTGGGGAAGCATGTACAGCAGCACTGCGATGGTCTGTCCGGCCACTACACGGTTGTTGACATGAGGTACCATGCAACGAACCTCATAGTCGTCGCTCCAGGCCATCATTTCCTCCAGCCAATGAAGACCATCGCGAAATCCGGTTTTACCTGACGGGAGGGCATCATAGCTGATATTCAAGCTGTCACCCAGACTTTTCCAAAAGGTACCGATGGCACTTTTCTCAAGGTCGCTCAGGTCCCGCCATTCATACATTTTCACAAATCTGACTGGCTGGATGGCAAAGAGGCCGAGTGTGTACAGCATATCATCTTCCAGGATCTTGCCGGAAGCGCGATAGCTGCTGTGGATCCAACGGGTGCGTGCAATAGAAGTGCAAGCACGACGAGAGGTTGGCGCATGGCCTACCATTTCCTGAACTAGTGCTACTGTATCAGCGTAGCGTTTCAGGGAAGTTTCGGGCTTTGAGAATTGGGCTGTATTTGTGAGCACTGTCGAGATGGTCGGGATACCATACGTCTGGTGCAGTAGTTAGTCGGCAGGATAGGAAAAGAAAAGAATAAGCATAAAGTAGCCGGGGTTTCACACACCCTGAAGAGAGCAAATTGGAGTGATTTGAGGTAAAGAAAGGGGAACTCCAGCTGAACCAAGCCTTTTTGTATCTCGCAGGCTTCATCATCGGTCATGCGAGAGAAAGACTCTCGCGTCGTATAGGGGTATTTTTGATATAGTCGCTGGAGGTATCGAAATCGTAGCTGCGAAACCAGAAACGCGTAGGCTGGAAGCAGCAAGCAAACACAAGTGACCAATTGCTGGAATCCCAAACCCGCCACCCGAGGGTCCGTGTTGGGGACAAACCCCAGGAATTTGCCCGGAGTGAGCTGTGTGTTGTTATTCATTGGTCGCCTAAGATTACTGATTTTGCTCAGTGGTCCATGCGTCGATGTACAGATAGTATATAGATAAACTCGATGACGGGCGAAGGGGACTGTAAAAGCATTTTTGAGTCTCTCAAAGTCAGTCACAACTGAAATGAAATGATCTGCATCGGGCATTAGTCATAAGTTGTGAGGGGCACAGATGACCGCTGTGAACAAATAAATTCCAGCATACCAAGATTGAAGATCGACAATGTACAGGGGAGTTAGGCACTTGATCAGTGATGGATAATATGAATAGTATGCTCGAAAGAGTTACTTTGGACTTACAGGGAGGGTGGGTGGGTCTGATGATGGTGATAATGATGATCCCCCGGGGTTTCATAACTAAGATCTGACTTAACAGTGAGTTTTAAGGTGTGGTTACCCCACCGCTCTCCCTTCTCCTACCGTGGTTCACTGACCATATCGATTTCCAGGGACTAATTATCTACACAGTACCTATATAGTACGCTACCAAGTTTCGTCTCATCTCTTTCTGCAATTATTAAGGTCCTTTCTAATAACCATAAACCTCAAGCAGATTGTGACTGCCTGCCACGACATCCTATGCCCGCGCAGAAACCCGTCCATACCCATTACTAATATTGAACAAGTGATTGGCTTCAATGTTATTGGATACTGAGTATGATAAAGCTGCACTAAAAGCAGCCTTGCTTTGTGAACTGGAAAGTACACATATCTTTTGGTATAAGTACATGCAGCCTCGGCGTGATTCGCCGAGTTCTACCTAAACCTAGTACTCGTTCTGGTGGTCGGCGCATCAATGGGCGACTCGGTGGTACAGACTGATGCTAGAAACCCAGAATGTTAGTTCCCACTGAACTACTAGTTGTACACGTGGACTGCCGGTGTCAGCGCCGCGCCCATGTTGGAGTACTCGTATGGTTGGTGGATCTTATTTTTGTAATATTCAGACTTCATGTGTTTGATGTGCCGGGTAATGATGATAGCATAGAAGCCATCCTACAGGCATCTAAAGAGACGGATAGATAACCCTAGTGAGTTTGGATCCGACAGGTGCGGTGAACTAGTCAGTCAATTTGCGATCTCAGCTCAGATTGAATACTATCTGCAATGTAGCAGCAGCGCTGTATGACACCTGTAAGGCCATGATAGGGCTACCTGTTACTTCAGTAAGGGATGCTTGCAGGCTCTCTCCGTCATAAGAGCGCTCATGCACTTTAGGGGATACGATTTGAAACCTGGATCAGTCGTTTTTCCTTCCTTGGAGACAAAGACAACAAGCACTTCTAAGATTGTCGTCCTCAAAACTTACACACGCAATCTCCCCTGCCGGCTAAGCCATGTTTGCGACTATACGATTTGGCAAGACACAAGACTCGCTATATGTCGAGAGTCAATCAAATCATCGGGGACGAATCTGCAAACCTTCCGGTCATTTGAGGTCCGCCTGTAATGCGTGTCGAGAAAAAAAGGTACCAAAGGTGTTCTAATGCCGAACCAATGCAACCACAGCTAATTCAAGATTTTACCAATAGATGAAATGTACAAGCCACAAGGAAGGCTGTGATCGATGTCGATCCAAGAAAATTGTCTGCTCTTATCTACCACCCAGACCAGATCAGTTGAAGCGGCGCGGGTCACGACGCCCTTCTAGCATCAGTAGCACGATCTCTTCAGCTGCCGACCCCCGAAGGAGGGCCGCAGAACGCAGAGCGAAGCGCATGGTGACTGATTCCACAATGAAGCCACTTGAAACGGACAATGGCTCTCCAGAAAATCTACTGCAAACCGATTACCTGGGTCTCGATGACACCCAGAACAATGTGCTAGCACACCTGGAAGGATGGCCTCAAGATCGGCAGGAAGACCAACTCACCATCCTAGAGCCGAATAGTCAGCTATTCTTTGGGTCAAAGAATGATTCATTCATGCTCAGCGACTCATCTGATTGCTATGTGGATCTTGCCACTTGAGGTGTGGATGAAGTGCCGCACTATTGGAGCCATCAATTCCAGTGTACAGCTTTGGGAAAGAAGAAGAAGGATGGGTCCATTCATTAACAGCGACGCGCGTCAGAGCAAAGGGCCAGGAATATGGGCAAGTGGATACATGTAGAGGCTATAGATCCAAGTCGAAAGACAATAGTACACTGTCTGGACGGGATAAGTTTTGGTCGAGATCCATGACTATGAGGATTGGACCTTACCAATACTGCCATGATTGTGGAAGTGTAACACACCTTCTTGTCTGCATTGAACTCCGCCTTGACTGATGTATCTCTTGATCCGCTCAGATGACCCAATCGTATGTTACTTTTCTTCTTCCTTCGCTTGAATGGCCAGTAGTTAGCCCTTTACCCAGTCTTTGTAATAATGTCCTTGCTTGATGTATGGAATCTTCTTTTTCGGTTATTTTGGAAAACTACTCAAGGTCAATGCCTTAAAATCTAAATATGTGTTATAGATCTCCGTCGCTGATGCTATACCCAGGCTGGTCCAGGTTTGTTCAACAGACCATGTCGGCTAAATGTAGCAAATCCCTGCCACGCCAAGGTCTGTATATTTTCCTACGTAGACACGCTCATCACGCGAGTTCTTCGGACGGACTCTCCATTAGCCCCCAGATAACGACCGCTTGTGAAGCTGCACAATTCATCAGAGAATCACAATCCCCGAGTCGTCATGATATGCTCAAACTTACCTCCAGTGGAGATTCCCCGGCGCCAAATTGCGACAGACGTCTACAAAATTGAGGACTTGTCGATCAACCTCTTCACCCCAGATTGGCATGTTTGCTAATGCACTGTACCAGCGCCTGCAACAATCTTTTATGATGTCACCAATTTTGTCTACAGCTTCTTGCAACGACAAGTCCTGCCTGTAGCAGCCTGACCAGGTTCTGATCGACTCCTAGTTTTTGCTTGAATTAGGCCACTGAGGCGCTTTATTGGGCGACATGAAGAAGTCAACTCACTAAGTCTCTCTCGTATGATAGAACATCATTGACCCGAAAAACTGTGCCAGTAAGACTTTGGATTCTTGATGTCAACAGAAAGTAGCCACTGATAGGAGTATCAGGTCTGTCGTGACAGTCATGAACTCCTGTATACAGGGGTGTTCGACAACGCTACTGGGGAGCTCAACACCAACGGCACATCTAGACCGGGCAGTTAGCATGGACTCCGGGCGGCACTGAATCGGATCCTTACTCGCAGAGTACAATGGCCGGCAATGCCCCAACTATTAATCTTTGCATATCTGTAAATTCTTGCACATCTCGGGCGAGACTACGATTCTCCTGTTGAACCCGAACTTGGCCCAGGAGACCATAGAAATAACACCGGTGTGCCTTCTTCCAACGAGCTTGCAGGTCTACAGTTCTCAGTATCAACTCCCTAAGTAGAAAGGTTGAAGATATCAACGATAGCAGAAATTCACCTACAGTGGACCTCTAGTCCGCGGGACTAATGTTAGTTGTCAGCCCCGTAAATAGAGGGCTTTCCTTGCCCCTACCTTCTTCAATCGGTACCAACAAGACTGGAATACATGCTGGATCGGGTTATCTTCCATGCTAATGAGGGGCGCATCATTCTTCATGAGAGCCATAGATTGTTCAATTTACTCCTCTGCGGCTGCCAGGTCGGTGCTCAGACGACCTTCGTCGAATTCTGAATGCAGGAGCAGGATTTCATGTCAGCTTATTGACTTCTTCATTGCTAGTGGTTGAAAACAGTAGAGCATGTAAAATTCCTTGCACCCACGGTCATCGAGAAGGAAAACCTGGCCCATGAATTATATCGATTAGCAGGCCAGATTGCTGGAGACAAGATGCGCGGAGTCACCATACTAAACCAGTTAAACCAATCCACTATCATGCGAAGAGCTTCTTGATCACACTGTGGCGCACATAGGGAACCCAGATATGCCAAATCTACTCTGGAATTCCGGGAAACCCATTGCAGGCTGGCAGACATTGTTCTAGGGATGACTGCGTCAGTTCCTCCGTTGGGGCCATCTCCTCCACCGGGTCAGCGGCTACTTGACAATCCAAGCATCAGCCTCAGCTTTCACCTCTTGGGTAATGTGGATTCAAGCTGGACTTCACAGCCATTATGGAAGAAAACATAGTATCTGGCAATCGGATAAAGTGCTGTGACGCATGGTCTAGACATGTTGATGACCCAACATGAGCAGAATCGGAATCAGCAGCCACCTCCAGTTCATTGGCGAGGTTGGATGTAGACGCCGCGACAGCATTCATGGTCTGATGATGATGCAATTGAACTGGTAGTGACGTTGTTGTTTGAGAGTTGATATCTCCAAATTCAGTGCGAGAGTTGTTCTATGCATTTACATAAAAGAAAGTAGTCCCTTTTTTACATTGAATGGAGTAATAACTACTTCCTATCTAGGAAGTAGTCTACTTACCATCTGCAAACCGGCTAATTTCCTCATATGAAAACTCGGCTAATTGCCTGCCAGGGAAATACTACTTCCGATGCCCGGTTCAGAAATTCATATATTCCTCATTGGGCAATTCATCTCACCTGACCTTAGAAGATTACAGAACCATACCATCACGCATACAGACCATCTTTCTGTGCTATTCCAACCTCGCCAGGACTACATTGCATTTGCTCGGACGGTAAACACGGAATGGATGAATGTATCAATATCTAAACAGGTATATGCACGTACGTACAAAAAGTATTTAAAAATTCTTCTGCCAGGGGTTTTCTATTCACAGCAATAGCAGATGGCACCTTGGTCTAATTAACAGCATATCGGTCCGGTTACACCCGTCGCTCCTCGTGAAACCAGACAGAAAGGGCCTGGGGAAGTGTCTTCAATACCATCCAGAATGACACCGATATCTAATCAGCACTTGTATACTCAACGGCCAATAACCTTCAGCTCCAGCATTCTAAATGGCGGAAACGCAAGAGCCGCAAAGCCCAACCCCAGCCAGAGGCCCAGATCACATCCACCTGGAATCGCTCTGGAGACTGGGCCTGTATAATAGGCTTGATCCTATTAGGAGAAGAGTACCTTGGTCAGCAGTGATTTGTGCAACAAGCACATGCTAGTGGGACTACATACCATGCCAACAATGGCTCCTACCCACCCGATCAAAAAGGCAGTGCTAGCTGCCACTCCAACTGGGAGTTTAAGCCAATTGTTCCAATCAGTCCAGTCGTAACGTTTCCCTCGGTTGAAAAGTACGTCTTGTTCTACCACAATGGTGAACCAGATGATGACCCAGTATCCAATGAGTGGCATTAAATTCCCGAAGATCTCATACAAAGAGTTTCGGCCTCCGATAGCACATGATGCGTAGATCAGAGTGCTGGCAGTCGTGAAAACAGGTCGTGGAACCCTGAGCCACATCTCTCCCAGCATTTGGAAATTCAATCCCGTTGAGTATGAGCTGGGGGCATTGTTGGACACAATCGTCAAGACGTTGATGAAGGCGCATAGCTTTCCAAGAGGCCCCAACCGATCATAGCCGGCCATCAGCAGACTCCCCGGTGTGCCGTCATAAAGAGACGCCCATTTGGAGTTAATTGCAACACCGCTTCCAAGCCCGGCGCCAAGAAGAAGGGTTATGGCTATTGAGAAGCTTACACCGATCGTGGTTACTGTCCACACTTTCCATCTTCGTATTTCCGGTGAATAGTAAACCTGGTAGTCCGCGGACACGGGTATCCATGACAAGGGAATAGAGAGGCAAAGTGAGAAATATGTTAGACGCTTTGCGTTTATCTGCTCAATAGAACCGATCGACGGGCTATGGAAGTTGAATTGCGGACCAGCCGAGCCGGTGAGAATGCAAAATATCAACAATTGCGGAAACCAAGCAAACCTTTGCCAGAATAAATGGTCAGACGAGTGCTCTAAAACTTTGAAGGGTGAAGAATCCTACCGCTCATAGAACTGGAATATTTTCATCCCAAAAGTAGCCATTGCCCAGCTCACCAAGGCGACTATTACTATACCGACTATGACGGACACGACTCCTCCTGATAGCTTGGAAAGCAACTGGCCTCCTACAGTGGCACTCATCATGCCGGTTCCCAAGTTGGTAAGCACATTCAGTATACAACAAACCTTACTGGGGTAATATCCCATGAAATACCGAGACACAATCTATCAGGAGAATATAAGTTGTGAGCCGTTGTCCTTAAGTCACGAGAATGTTTATGTGCAGACGGGGAAAGCAAGAGGAGAGAACCAAGGTGTAAGTGTAGGTCTTACAAGTGTGCGGTTGCCGCTTCTGGGACCCCATGTGCTCATGTATCCAACCCCTAGGCCTCCCAAAAACGTTCCAAAGATTACACACAGCGCGGCGTCGGTGAAGCTCAGCTTCATTACCAGTGTTCCCAAAGACCCGGTCACTATATTATTGATTGCCATACCCATGCTGAACCATGTGAGCATCATTTGGAAAGGGGTTGAGCTGGTGTTCTTCAGTCGTTCTTCAAGAGACACGGGCTCGATCCCGCGAGCCTCTAAGCCTTTGATATTCCTCGCCCAACGTTCGTATCTCGATCCACATGTCGGCGGGGGAGTTCCCAGAGTATGTGAAGCCTCTAGCTGCTCTCGTGTCACACTTCGCAAGGAAGGGGATCTCTGTATTTTTTCTAGGTCAGAGTCCATGCTGGTTCGGGCGTGCCTCTCGAGGGAGCTGTCTGTGCACACTTTCGCGTTCTGCAACAACTTGAACTATAACCTGCTGGGACTCATCAAACTATAAATGGACAAAATAAGAAAAGACGGTCGCCTCACTGGGCATACAGACATTCGAAAAACCGGAGGGAGAAGATTCCAGTGGAACAACCACTGGTTACTCCGTCGTACTGCATTGACATCACTTTGTTTTCCTCAGCGTGACACCCGCGCTCCAAGACCAGAACAACATTCCACAACATCAGAACACTAAATCGGGATACCGACCCCAAACCTGGTCAAAAGTACTATGCTTGTACTGAATCGGGCTTAGCAGCACACGTCTACCTCCCCGGAGAACAAAGGGGTTGGTATCCGGATAACAGCTGGAAGGCACCCGATCCATCAGGGTGTTTGCTCCAACATCGTCATTGAGAGATATTCTTAGTGTATGCTGCCCTATTTTGTTGGCAAGGCCATACACCCTTCCGCACAGACAGTCATGTGAGTGTGTGTGTGTTCCACATACCACGCCGATGATGCCTTAATAAGCTCTGCGATACATTCCTCTGGTATGCACCAGCCACGCAAGGAGACGAAATGCTATTCAGGGAGAGAAAATCCTGATGCCTGTATCAAGAACCAGCAGGTCAAGACCATGTGCTGTTTGTGGGGTACAGAGCATAGAAGCAAGAGTGTCAGGTATGGGACGAGCTCATGAACTGCTGACCGGGACCTCGTAGCCCCGGATTTCTAAGTTGCTTCGATCCTTGTCGGGAAAGTGGTGAGCAGGGTGAGGAGAACAAGGGATCATGTCACCCATGCCTTGTGATATATTCCCCTGACGACTGCGGAAGACGAATACCATTTTGATCAGTTTCCCCGAGAGACGGTTACGTACTCAAAACCTCTTCCTAACTCCTTGATAGGGCTCTGAACACTGCCGCGTGCTCATGTATGATTGACAAGCAAGACCAACTGCCATATCGGGTGGTGACGATCCTTGATAACAGGTGATTTGATCCCGACTGAATGCCACAGGCATGGGTCTAATACCGAGGCAGGCGATATTCCTCAGAGGGACATGATTGAATGAGCATTTATGAGGGATAATGCAATGAAGAATGCAACGCGACATATATTCACCATCTTCCATAGTACCTTACTGAAAGTGACTACACTTTGCCTGTCAGTGACTAGCTCTGACCCCTCTCATCACCATAAATTCTACGCATATGGGGTTACTTTCCTCCACAAACATTCTTTTTTTCTTATCTAAACATGGTACTATCCATATCAATGTAAAAGTCTGGGCACTCATTGATCGAAAAAGCAAGATATAAACATTAAGCCAATAAGAAACAAGAATTTAAGACATTTCCAGAGGTTATGAACTACTTTATATTATCATCATTGCTAAGTACCTAGAGCTTTTAAGGTTTCATTTCCAAGACTGCATACACCTTAGAAAAGCCCCTGACATTCTATGCCAAACTTACAGAACCATCGATTTTGCGAAACCAATCAGCATCAGATTCACGAGCATCATTCACATGCAATACTTTACCATTACAACTAGCATACACACTCTCCACAGCGACCGAGGTGTACAACCAAAAGGAAGACCGTGCCTAGGGGAAGCACTGCCGGCGTTGACCTTGTCGGCTTCTCGCGCTGGCCCTCTAACCCCCAGCTTGTGGTGTATCAACTGATAATCTTGGAGAACTTCCAGAATACTGACACAGATACATTACTACGGAAACTACTTCCTTTTTGCAATAGCCTATCAAGAAATGCACCCTCTGGGAAGCATTCACGATTAATGACATTCTTCATCTTCGGGATCTCTTGAAATTATCTCATCAGCGGAAACATACTAATGTGATCTTTACACTTCAAATTTCTGATCGACGAAGTACGCCGTGACTTAGACACAGAGAGACTCCTATGTAGTCGCGGGTTCGTTCAAAACGTTATATTTGTCAACACGGCCGATGCGAACATAACCTTGTTCTGTCCATGCCATGTCCTAAACAGCCCACATAGGTATAAAAAGCTGTCGAGAAGACAGTCTATGATGGTGTTTGTCTTTGGCTCTTTCAATACTCGGAAGTAAACCTCGAGCAAGAAGTGTCAGGGAGTGTCTATAGGACCCTATATCTTTACCAAACCAGGTCAATATTTGCTCATGAGAATAAAAGCCAGAGCTCTATGTGGCAAGAAACACATAACTGAACTGCAAAGCCGCATTTCCTGCCCTCCCAGTTACATGAATCTGTCTAATCAAAACAAAAAAGAAAAAAAGAAAACAGGATATTCCTCCCATATTATATTTAACACACTCTTGAGTTGCATATGATCCCGAAATCTCAGGCTACTATGCTTTGGAGCTGGTCATCCTTTGGATGTACCCCCCTTCTTCGCGTATAGAACTTGATATTGACATGCTATGCTGAGTACTTTTAACGCAGGAAACCATTTGCAAGCACTTAGACATTGCAAGCAGTTTATCCCCGAGTGCTGAGTAGGCGGCACAACTCAGTGAAGCGGTACAAGAACTCTGTGACCTGAACACCCAGCTCCATGACGAACAGACATGGTTTCTAAGATGGGAGAGCGATGCCGCGGATTGGAAGGAAGTCTCTAGCAACGCGAAAGAACCTGAAAGTCCACAATGATGGTCAGATTATCAATGATATACAGATGCAGTGCCATTACCTGCAGGATGAGGTGGCTGACCGGTTCATTATGACTACTACTAGAAGGCACCGAGAGATCTCGTGAGCCCAGTGGCTCACAAAGCATCACACATGGCCAACCGGTGAAGCTGAACTCAGGTATTTTCTAGAAATGACTCATGAGTATCTTTTGGGGAAAAAAAATACTATCAATCTAGCATGAGGATGCATATTCTCTTCTACTTAATTGTTATCTTATTTCTGGCATCTGCATTTACACCCACAGGTTAGCATTATGCCAGAGGCATCATGGAGATTGTGTTAAAATTAACCGTCGCGATGATATGTTGTCTTTAAAAGAGGCCCATGACGGAGATGGCTATCTCTTATCTGCGTGTCCTGTGAAAGAGCATAGCATGCTAAATATATTGACTGCTATCCAGTCTACCCAGCAACGTCTAGGTGCATTTGATGGTGCTGGTTGACAGGAGGGACACAACCGGTCGATAAGGGCTAATGGTTTCTTCCTGTGATGATAGTATGATAAGCTGCAGATCAAAAGCAAACTGGTACTTCTGTTACCTGACCTGCTAGGGTAAACGTACAAATCTGAGAAGGTTTGATTAGGGAGTCCGTTAATACAGGGCTGTACCAGACAAGACTAACCCTACTCCTAGGGACATTTCTTGTGATTGACTGGTGGCATCAAGGATCTGGGCGTCTTCAACAGCGTCCTGATCAGGCCTCTGTGGTCCGGAAATCCTGTTCCTCGTCTGCTGCTCCAGGCCCTGATGACAAGACGAGAGCAAGCACTAGAAGAGTACGACCAAGCTCTATGCCTCATCTACAGTACTCCAATATGATACTCAAATAATTTCTAGAATGTACTTTCATTCTAAAAGACATATAACCAGATCGCTTTGTTCTTCTGTGCACCACAGCTTTTCAAGGTAGTGGCCCCTAAAAAAAAAGCCTAAAGATGGTAGGTTTGATGCTAGCCGACAAGGCTGAGTTTACGAAAAGAGTAGCCGAGCGATGAAAAGACATGCATAACCTTCCCCAGTAGCATAAATCAAGCCGCTAATGCCTCCTATATCAGTATTCGAAGACAGTTACTATATACCACCTCAATTTGAGCAACTCAACAGTATACGGTTATTAATGAATCTCCAATACTCAGAAGAGCTCTGAGCGAGACTCTAAGCAGAATGGACATGATAGTTTTGCCCTTTCTCTGGTGTGCTTTCCGCCTCTTGAATCGTATCCTTCCAGGTAGACCGGGCTTAAAAAAGATCTACATGTTCAAGTCACTGAATTTGAGGATAGTATTGCAAGATGTAGGGGTGAATATATGTGTTTGGTTGTTAGGTCAGAGGCCACGTAGGCAGAGGTGGCGGGGATTCAGGTTATGCCTGGCTAAGTGAATGTCCGAATATAAACATGATATTCCGGTCAAAAGCCGCATTCTCTGGGATATGGACGTTGTTGTATATAACCTACTTAGTAGAAGTGTTGAAGACCGCTTAGGGTAATGCATCGGCTTCGGCTAGCTACTGATATATACTGGCCAGTTCTGTTGGGCAGTCACCGGAAAATCAGGATGTTGCCAACAATAGTTGGATATACTTATTGCGGGAATTTCCATCTTCACTTACTCATCCTAGTTTGCTGCTTGTCATATTCACGATTAATGCACGTGATGTAAGTGGGATAAAAGTTGGTGAAGCATTTGGAGTCCCCTTCTGCTGACTGGCCATTGGTATATTGCTTTGGTCTTCTTGGTGCTATGTTGTTCTAATAAGAACCCAACTCAGCCGTAATCTATCAATGTCGCGTTAGTCTTCACCAATCTATTCGGATTTTTTCTTCCTGGTCTTGGAAGGCCGAGAGTCAAACTGCCAACCATGATGGTTGATACTTACAACGGGCCGCCTCCATATTGCAACGGTGCAGTACTGGTCATCCAGTCACACGCTCCTCCTCCTCCACTCCACAGAAGTGAAATCTTTCTGCAAGATAACCTGGATCATTCGTTCTCTCTCCTAGAATTATGTCTCAAGAACCCCCCTCTGCCAGGCTCTGATGGCCACAGTTTTGTTAATATCCAGTTGATTGAGGAACTGCAAATTGGCTTCCATAAAAGGTCCCAGGTATTTGTTGTAAGATGTGTGAATACCGATCATTCTTCAGGTCTACCGCCAGATCAGGACATGATCGCCAAGTTCTATGACCCTCTCTACCACGACCGTGACGATGGCAACCTTTTTCGGGCAGCTGACTATGATTACTCGCACGAGTGTGCCTCTTATAAGCGTTTGTCCGAGCTACAGGGCTCTGTTCTTCCCCGATTCTTCGGCTCTTACACATTCAAAACAAAGATCGATGGTCATCCTCGCCAGATTCGTTTGATTCTACTTGAACGAGTCAATGGTCTGCCCATGAGTCGCCTAGAGCCCAAGATATTCTCAACAGAGGAGCGTCAGGCTATTATGAGACAGATCATTGATGGAGAGTCTGCACTTTACGCCAAGGACGTTCGTCATGAAGACTTATGTCCACGCAATATCTTGATTGAACGGAGTGAACTGGGAAGACTAAGAGCCATCATTATTGACTTGGGAAAGTCTGTTATTGGACGATCACGCAATCCTTCGAACAGTGCAGAAGAGAGCCAAGGGTTTCCTGGCGTCCCGCATTAGTCCGCTACTTAGATGGAACATCTATAATGGATATCCTAACAGCTTTGAAGATTGGATCGACTGGCCGTGGCAGAAATGGCTTGAGGTTCAGTACAAGGAGACTGAATCTACGATCACAGACGAGCAACGGCAGAGGTGGCCAGTGTATGACTGGAGGCTGGAGATTACATCATTTTCATGATATGGTGGGAGATGTTTTGAGCCCATGTTGTGCCGATTTCTAGATCTCCCGGAGAGTCTAACACCTTAGCAAGAGATACAAGCTGTTCTGGAGTATCTTTGACGTTCCACCACTATGTTAAGACCGACGTCCATGTGATAGCAGGTCATCTCTTTCTCAAATTAGATTGCAGTGAGCCTAGGCATCTTGTGGGTCCAAATTCAGGTAGTTCCTTCCGACAAAGGAACCAAGCATAAAACTCACGAACACTCTTAGTCCGCGCCATCCTCTAAGTACCTACGGCATCTACGTAGCACTTGGACCGAGACATGCGGACCCAACCCTTGAATCTACTGTATGTTGACAAGCAAACAGACGACAATGAAAGGGAGATAGCAGCCCAAACCTACTACCTACCCAAACCAACCTTATTACTGTCTAGAAACAAAATGAAAGTTAGAAAAGCTCTCTTCCAAGCAAGCTGACGACATCCGTGTCACCCGGAGCTTGTGCTTGTGGTGGCTATGCTATGCGCATGTAACCAGTCGGCTAACGCAGAGCTTAGCATAGGCGGATTGACAAGTCAGGTTGATGATATTATTTGCTTATCCGTACGGAGTAGATACTTACCCCATAAGGGTTGGGTTTTGAAATGGGGTCCAAACAAGATATGATGAGACTGTACACCATTGTGGTAGGTGTCAGGTTTTATGAAGCTTCCCTCACGGGATAATCGTGATGGTGGTGGTGCAACGGGCAAACTGATGATGTGGAATAGGATAGGACGGAGAGCTCCGCCCGGAGAATTAATATAACATGACAATAACAATACGCGGGAAAGTGTACTGCATTGCACTGCACTATTTTACAATGATAAACATATTGATAGAGGCATGATCTGATGTCACCAGGTTTACTTGCTATGGATGTAAGTGGAAATAGGATGCGCCGGATATGAAGTCAAAATCAGTCAAGTTCCAAGTATTCACTAGACTAACTAAGAAGGAATTTTCTTCCAGACAAGGATAATAAACACATCATTATTACCCTCCGGCTAAGCTAAAGCTAACCTTACTTCCCTGTCGACTTGCTTTTTGGTAGTATGCAAACTAGACTAGTCAGGTTCCCATACGTGGATTAGATGGATGGGGCCCTTTTTTTGCACCGCCCCCTTCCTGCCAAGTCTTGTTTTCTTCTTTCTTCCTCTTGTTCCTCTCCTGGTAAAGTAGACTATTTACTGACGGAGAAAGTTAGGTTGGGGGTTCGGGCTGTTCCACAAATCTAGACTTGTTGGCGGGTTCTCTTCGTCATCTTGCGTGTTGTTGACAGGATACTGGTGATCTGTTTTAACATAACCGTTTGATAACTTTTATTTATCCGTCCTTTGACATTCATCACAGTTTCTCGGGTGGCATGTGGTACATGGAATATTCTTTCCCTGGCGAACCCGGCGGTTAGACCTGATGCGTAGCGTGCATTAGCTCGACTAGTCCAAACATTAATGCATCGTCATTAATTTGATGACTTCTTAGTAAGTTACTTAATTAGCGAGTAGAGCGATGAGTAGATAGATAGACAGATAGTAGTCTAGATAGATAACTAGTCTAGTTTATCGTTCTGCGCCGCCTATCTACTTGGTTGATAGTACGTGGTCCGAGTGGAGCCCCTTTCTTGGGGGTCAAGTTGGAACACTTTAAGAGGCAGGTCCAACATCAACACGATGGATAACCCCATCTGAGTAGTAAAAACCGAGAATAAGAAATACAGTGCGGCATTTGGTCCGTCTAAATACCACTAGCGTTCTGGGGACCATCTCGTAAACGGCATTGGTAGCATTGGAGGTAGAAAGTATCTGCCTCACTGCTGGTAAATCGGGAGAAAATTGGCTGGTGATGAGTTAAGGTACGTGGATGGAGCACGTCCTGCTTCGGGTTCCATTCCCCTTAATTCTAGCTCGACCGTTAGTCTGGAGAGCGAGGGATGTACTACCGAGGTGTGGATTTTGTCTCTTCCGTCACCACTTTTCCGTTCCCTCCTCCCTTTCTAGTAAGCAACTTATTAGTAGTACCTACTTCATAGACTCATAGTCTAGATATCACTTCGGATTATTACTCGCACTGAAAAAGACCTTCTTCCCCAAACAGTCCTGGAAACACAGAAACAGAAAAGAAAGGGAGCAGGACAATCATATCAATAATGGCGGGTAATAATAAAGGCCTGAAAATTATATGAAATGGGAATAAAATAAAATAGAATTTTCTGAAAGGGGGAAATGTGGGAAAAAATCAAATCAAAAGACTTTCGATGACGGGGTCGAGAATGAGGCAGTGCAAAAGTGAACCGACGAGTTACGTTACAGCTTTGGGCGAGTCGGAGCTCTGCAGAGGTCATTAGGCCCGTTAAACAATTCCCCCCCAAGAAACTAAACACCCCCAGCGCCCTGTTTTGGTGGCAAGGAGGTCGCCTCAATCCGTGGATGCTCCCGTTAGAGGTCAGAAAAAGGAAGAGAATGATTGAAAGGCACTCTCCCTTTATATGGATGGAGGTTTCCCTGAAGATCGATAAACCAAGTGCCCTGACGAAGCAGAAACCATCAAACATGGGGTAGATAGTCAGCCATCGGGCAATTGGCAGCTTTTCTTCTGCAAACAAACAGCTTTCGTTTCCCAAACTTACCACATCACTCGATCTGGGCCAACCGGTGGGTCCATAGTGGGGCAGCTAGCCGTAGTGATTGGTCCTTTGCAGGATAGGTGCAGGGTCTACCACCGAATCATGCTGTAGTCGGTAAGTAGGTACCTTACCTGACAGTACAACTGCGCCTACCATTCCTCTTTCTTTACTTCCATGATCTCAGTCCCTCTATCAATCGTTCTATCCACCCAACTTCATGATGTGTCGTTGTTCTGCTTGATTCCCCAATTTCTCCCTCCCCCATTCATTCTCCCTTTCTCCTCCACTTGACTTTCTCTTGCCCTTAATCCCTCTTTGTCTTCGCTTCATTCCGTAATTTACCTCCATTGGTTCTGTGCTCCTTACGCCGACACAAGTGAGGTGCGGTCGCTTGGTTGTCGGTTTCCCCCCCAATTCCCCTCAACGCAAATCGTCTGTCCATTCGCTGGCTTTCTAAGTAATACCTCGTCGCTGATAAGCCCTTCTAGCACTGGCAGTGCTTTTAATACGTTTACACTTTGCCGGGATTGGTCCCACCATCGGGTCGCGTTTCGATAATTGTCACCTCCGGATGTGCTCCTGATACGACGTTACTACGTGGTGTGGGCTCTCTGGTGCTGGCAAGCAAAGCTTGTCAACCTTCATATTCCACCGTTGTCCTTCCCTCCTTTTCGCTTCACTAGTCGCCTGTTTCCCCTCTTCTCTCGTGCTTCTCTCGAATCGCTGTTCAATCGATGTGGACGTTCCTTACTCCCACGGCCAGTTCCGCGCATTCGTCTGTTTAATCCGCAGCGCCAGTTCTTAGTGTAGCTAGAACACATGGGATATAATACTCGCACATTCCTCTTCGGTGTCCGCTATTGAGCTTAATCGGTTGCTACTTGCCTCTGGAATGATACCCACTTCTCTTGCGTCTGGATCCGACATTTTATGATACGGCGCTGTTCAATTGTTCTGCTCCTTTTGGAGCCGCATTCCTATTGACGTCTAGTATCCTAGTCCGTTGCCATCGCTCCCAAGACCCACTCATCTCCGGTTGTTTCACCCCCTGGAAATATCATGCCGGATTCCAAATCGGATGGCCATGATGCTAGGCAGTCAGGGTCGACTCCCCTGCGACGGGAGCGGGCCCCGACTATCACCATCGATACGTCGGCTGTAACGTCCTCAACCGACCAGCAAGAACCCCCGCAACAGATACTTCCTACCCCATCCCACCCCTCCTTACAAGTGTCTACCGAAAATGTTGATGCGCATGATATGAGCGCGCTCTTGAGCAGTGGGGGTGTCTCGCCATCGTCAGTCCGCTCTTTTGCGTCATCTGAGAACCGGGACTACGAGAGTCGTCCTACATCCCCGCACAATATCTCTCCCGCCTCGAAAATGACGGAGAACATGTCGAATTCGAATTACCTGGCTGTCCCCGGCACCAGGTCTCGCGGTAACTCGTTGGAATCTGAGGACTCGAATAATTCGTATACCAGCTCGTGCGGCGGAGACACCTATGTTCCCACAGCATCTCACGGCTCGCGCACCGATTTGACCCAGAACACGATAATCTCCGATGAGGATGCTCTCAAGCCGGATCCGGGGCGAGAGGCCGAGTTTGAGGTGGAAGACAACAAATTCGCATTCGCGCCTGGCCATCTGAACAAGCTATTGAACCCTAAGAGCCTGGGCGCATTTCATGCGTTGGGAGGGTTGCGTGGAATCGAAAAAGGACTTCGAACCGACGCGCGGAGTGGTCTGAGTTTGGATGAAGGAGACTTGGATGGTACAGTGAGCTTCGAAGATGCCACCAGCACGCAAACGTCCGAATCGCTGCCAAAGAACGCTTCCTTGACGCCAACGAGCCCTCCCAGAACCGACACGGGCTCGTCGAAACATGTCGAAAATGCCTTTGGGGATCGAAGCCGCGTCTATGGGAGGAACAAGCTTCCTGAAAGGAAGGCGAAGAGTTTTCTGGAGCTGGCTTGGATTGCATACAACGACAAGGTTCTGATTCTGCTTACGATAGCTGCAATCATATCTCTCGCCCTTGGAATCTATCAGTCTGTGACGGCAACGGGGAAGGAAGCACGTGTGCAATGGGTAGAGGGCGTGGCTATCATTGTTGCCATCCTAATCGTGGTCGTTGTGGGTGCCGCTAACGACTGGCAAAAGGAACGCCAGTTCGTCAAGTTGAACAAGAAAAAAGATGATCGACTGGTGAAAGTGGTCCGTTCCGGGAAAACAGCAGAGATCTCCATTCACGACATTCTCGTGGGTGACGTTATGCATCTTGAACCCGGTGATCTTATTCCAGTTGACGGTATATTTATTACTGGCCACAATGTCAAATGCGATGAATCGTCTGCGACCGGCGAGTCGGATGTGTTACGCAAGACTCCTGCTCACGATGTCTATCGGGCGATCGAGCAACACGAAAACGTCTCGAAGCAGGACCCGTTCATCGTATCTGGTGCCAAAGTCTCTGAAGGTGTAGGGACGTTCTTGGTTACAGCAGTCGGTGTTAATTCGACATACGGAAAGACCATGATGTCTCTTCAGGATGAAGGGCAGACCACCCCGCTACAATCGAAGCTAAACGTGCTCGCAGAGTACATTGCAAAGCTTGGTCTTGCTTCCGGATTACTCCTGTTCGTCGTGCTTTTCATCAAGTTCCTTGCGCAGCTGAAAGATATGGGCGGCGCATCTGAGAAAGGACAAGCTTTCCTGCAGATCTTCATTGTTGCTGTGACCGTCATCGTTGTTGCTGTCCCAGAAGGTCTTCCTCTGGCTGTCACCCTGGCGCTCGCCTTTGCAACGACCCGAATGCTCAAGGACAATAACCTTGTACGTCTGTTGAGAGCCTGTGAAACTATGGGTAATGCCACCACGATCTGCTCCGATAAAACAGGTACCCTGACGGAAAACAAAATGACCGCCGTCGCGGCTACTCTGGGAAAGAATCTAAGATTTGGAGACAAGTCCACCGAAACCTCTAGTCGTCCAGACGGCGACCGGGGTCGCGACCCTGCGACTACTCTTTCTCCCTCCGAGTTCGCATCCAGCCTTTCTGCACCGGCTAAAGACCTTTTGATCCAGTCGATTGTATATAACTCCACGGCATTCGAAGGGGAGCAAGACGGTGTAATGACTTTCATCGGTTCGAAGACGGAAACTGCCCTTCTGGGATTTGCGCGTACGTATCTCGGCCTAGGGTCACTCAGCGAGGCTCGGGACAACGCATTTCTTGCTCAGATGGTGCCATTTGACTCCGGACGCAAGTGTATGGCGGTGGTCGTCAAGATGGAAAATGGTAAATACAGAATGCTGGTCAAAGGTGCATCCGAAATTCTGGTTGCGAGATCCACTCGTATTGTTCACAACGCTACCCAGGACTTGTCAGAAGGGCCCATGTCGGATCAAGACCGGTCTAACCTGGACAATTTGATCAACCGTTATGCATCTCATTCGTTACGAACTATTGGTCTGGTGTACCGGGACTTCGATCAATGGCCACCCCGTGGGGCTCCTACTCAGGAGGAGGATCGTTCGCTCGCTGTTTTCGATGCAGTCTTCAAGGATATGATTTTGTTGGGCGTCTTTGGTATCCAGGATCCCTTGCGACCGGGTGTGACCGAGTCCGTCCACCAGTGTCAACGTGCAGGTGTCTTTGTGCGTATGGTGACTGGTGACAACATCATGACTGCGAAAGCTATCGCCCAAGAATGCGGTATCTTCACTCCTGGGGGCATTGCTATTGAGGGCCCCAAGTTTCGTCAGTTAAGCAGCCGTCAGATGACGCAAATCATCCCGCGGCTACAGGTTCTGGCCAGGTCAAGCCCCGACGACAAGAAAATTCTGGTTACTCAACTCAAAAAGCTGGGTGAAACGGTGGCTGTGACAGGCGACGGTACGAACGATGCACAGGCTCTCAAGACAGCTGATGTTGGCTTTTCTATGGGGATTTCTGGCACTGAAGTTGCTAAAGAAGCGTCCGATATCATCCTTATGGACGACAACTTCACCTCGATTATCAAGGCTATGGCTTGGGGTAGGACAGTCAATGATGCTGTCAAGAAATTCCTTCAAGTATGTTTTTGTATGATTCCGTGTTTCGCAAGCAAAGCTAACAGAGCTGTAGTTCCAACTTACTGTCAACGTTACTGCCGTGGTCCTCACTTTTGTTTCCGCAGTAGCGAGTGGAGATGAGGAATCTGTCCTGACAGCAGTTCAGCTTCTCTGGGTTAACCTTATCATGGATACTTTTGCGGCCCTTGCCTTGGCTACGGATCCCCCCTCACCTCATGTTCTCGACCGTCGACCTGATCCTAAATCGGCGCCGTTGATCAATTTGACTATGTGGAAGATGATTATTGGACAGAGTATCTATCAGTTGGTCGTCACGCTGGTTCTGAACTTCGCGGGACAATCGATCTTTCACTACAAAACGGCAGACGACCTCGACCGGCTTGAGACGATGGTGTTCAACACGTTTGTCTGGATGCAGATCTTCAACCAGTGGAACTGTCGCCGACTCGACAACAATTTCAATATCTTCGAGGGCATGTGGCGAAACTTCTGGTTCATGGGGATTCAGTTCATCATTATTGGTGGACAAATTCTTATCATCTTCGTTGGTGGACAGGCGTTCTCTGTCAAGCGACTCAACGGAGCTCAGTGGGGTGTTTCGCTGGTTCTAGGCGTAATCTCGCTGCCGGTAGCCGTGATCATCCGATTGATACCTGATGAGTTTATTAGCCGGCTCATCCCTCGGTTCTGGCAGCGCAAGAAGGGCCCCGAGCTACTGGTGTCCGACGAGGACCGGCGGTTCGAGTGGAACCCTGCGCTCGAGGAGATCCGGGATCAGTTGAAGTTCCTCAAGACGGTTCGTGGAGGTCGGCTGAGGCATCTCAAGCACAAGTTGCAACATCCAGAAGAACTCCTTCCGAGATCACGAAGCGGGTCACGATCCAGAGAAAACTCGATTCCCGGTACTCCTGTTGGCGAGCACAGCGACAGCACCCCGACACAGCCCCCTACTCCCGATTCCCGCTCTAGACGACGCACTCGGTCCCGCTCGAATTCAGCCTTCGGGCCTGCTGCTGCTATGGCCGGTGTGGTTGCGGGAAGTATTGCGGGCTGGTCTCCAATTGAGCGGGCACCAGGTGACGGAGAGGCTTTCAAGGTCCAGACGGACAGTCCTCATGGAGGCCTGGATAAGCAGAAAGGCATTGAAATCCACCCCGATACTGCGGCTGATGACCGTATTCTGGGAGATTACCAGACTACCTCGAAGACCCCTCCGAGCCAGAACCCAGGACTTCTCCCGCACTTCGAATACGCACCTCCGGAGCGTGCTCCGTCCCACCGGAGCCAGAGGTCTACGTCTCGGCTGTCGCGATCTAGCCAGAGCCAGGCGTGATCGCAAACCTCCTCTTCTTCCCAACTCCTTCCAGCCCTGTATACTTACCACCTGCTCTCTCTTTGTTCGCTCAAGTCCTTCTTGCTTGTGATTTAAGTCCTTTCATGCTAGATGTTACTGCGTTTTGTGATTTTACTTGCCGATTCGTTGCTTTTCTGGGACTCGATTAGCCTTGTGCGGAATACTGTGTTTTTAATATCCTGGGGTGGGGTTGGCGTATGTGATTCAAAAGGTGTATTCGTTCGCGGTTGCTTGCTTTCTAGACACTTCTCGCATAGGGATACGGACCTGGTCAAAAGGGGTCGGTTGCTTGCTTTACTTTATCTATTAGTCTCTCTGTACATAGCACTTCTTGCCTCGCCTGATGGCAGACTCGGGTTGAGAAAATACAGTCAATCTCGATAAATCCCTATCATAAGCATATTTGTCTATGAACTTATTCCATAACCACAACAACACGCTACCACACCGACGTAGCCCAGTAAAGCCCAGATTCGTAATTACTAGTAGTTCACCTCTTCTATAGATGATTGATAAACTATTCTGATCATGAACTAACCGAATTAGGCATGTTACTGCTTCCCGCGGAGATGGCCTATCACCATGTGACTTTTCCGCTTATCGCGGGATTCTCCGCAGCGGCGATGGAGAAGTACTTCTACTGGTACTACTGCCCTTGCTTTTTCTTTTGTTCTTCCTCATCTCAATTTCTCAATTTCCTTCTTCTCTCGCAGCAATTGTTCATCATGTCTGCTGTACGTTCCATGAGAAAAGGTCTTCACCTTCTGGGCTCGAGCTCGCTCGCTCGCCCCGCCTCTGTCGCTGTCAATGGCGCATCTCTCCTCCCGCGGCAGCTGGCAGCTTCTCCGCGCGCTCTCCGCCCCGCGGCCAGCTCTATTGCTGCTCGTCCCCTTCCCCGAGTGACTTCGCTGTCTGCTCAAGGAGGTGTTCGATATGCCTCGTCGGCTGCTCCTTCAGGCCCAGTGAAGAAAACTCAGCTGTATGACCTTCACTTGGCCCGGGGTGCCAAAATGGTCCCCTTTGCGGGGTACTCCATGCCCTTGCAGTATTCCGACCTCAGTCATGTCGAGAGCCACAAGTGGACTCGGGAAAAGGCCAGTCTCTTCGATGTGAGCCATATGTGCGTATAGCTCTTTTGTCTACTGCCCAGGGCCTTCTCAATTGACCAAGTACAGGGTTCAACATCAGCTCAGCGGCCCCGGCGCTCTGGACCTCCTCATGAAGGTCACCCCCTCCTCCCTCGACAAGCTCAACCACAACCAATCCACTCTCTCTTGTCTCCTGGAGGATGGGACTGGCGGCATCGTCGATGACACTGTCATCACTCGTCGTACCGACGGCTCCTTCTACTTCGTGACCAACGCCGGTCGTCGCACAGAGGACTTGGCCTTCCTGCAAGCCGAGATCGACACCTACAAGCAAGCCCACGGCGCCGACAGCCTGAAGTGGGAGATCCTCGAGGACCGCGCCCTAGTTGCCCTCCAGGGTCCTAAGGCTGCTTCCGTCCTTCAATCCCTCGTCACCCCCGATGGCGCCACCTCCGACCTCTCCACCCTCTACTTCGGTAACTGCCGAGAGCTGCACCTCACCTTCCCCGACGGCACCACCACCCCGCAGCCCCTCCTCGTCTCCCGCACCGGCTACACCGGCGAAGACGGCTTCGAGATCTCCATCCCCACTGCCAGTGACGCCACCCTACCTGCTCGCGTCACCGAGCTCTTCCTCTCCAACCCCGACGAAGTCCGTCTCGCCGGTCTCGCCGCGCGCGACTCCCTCCGTCTCGAAGCCGGAATGTGTCTCTACGGAAGCGACATCTCCACCTCCCAAACCCCTCCCGGCGCCTCCCTCACCTGGCTCGTAGGCAAGGAGCGTCGTGACCCCGCCACCGCCAACTTCAACGGCGCCTCCACCATCCTCCCCCAGGTCGCCTCCCCCAAGACCCTCTCCCAGCGCCGTGTCGGATTCACCATCGAGAAGGGCTCTCCTGCCCGTGAGGGCGCCATCATCGTCGATCTGACCGACGAGTCCCGCACCCAGATCGGCGTCATTACCTCTGGCCTTCCCAGCCCTACTCTGGGCGGCACTAACATTGCCATGGGCTACATCAAGAACGGACTGCACAAGAAGGGCACTGAGGTTGGCGTCCTGGTGAGGAACAAGCTCCGCAAGGCTACGGTTACCGGTATGCCTTGGGTTGAGAGCAAGTTCTATCGTCCTAAGGCTTAGACCCTTTCCCTTTAGGTCGGTTTTATTGGCTTGGATGTGGATGGACGGGGTGATATAGGAGTGGGTGTTTGGCTTGGTTTTCAACAATAGATTCCCCCCTGATGATGATTCTTGATGGCTTGATGTTTGACGTCATTGTTTGTACATAGATTCTGATGATTCATCTTTTTCTTTTTCCTTCCTTTTTCCTTTTGGGTCTCCCTTTGGGACCAGCCATGGGTTCAACCCTGTCGTGATGGCTGCTCCGTTTGTCGGCGAATGCCAGATTGTGAGATGTGATACAATTATAAAAGTCCCAATATTCCCTATTGCACGTATTTCTATCTTGTTCATAAAAGTGTGATATGTTGGACAAATCACAAAGTACCCAATCTTACCTAATGCTAGGTATTATAAATTACGAAGTTAAATCTTCTGCTCCTAGCCCTGCAAAAAAGAAAAGGGCAACCCCCAGGTAGAATTGACAGGTAAGTAAGAAGAAAGGTACACCCGCCTCTCTGACTTAACCACCCGACGCAGTTCCTACCCATACCGTAAGAACGTTATCTCAGTGCCACAGCATCCCCTCCCCTCAACCATCCACCCCAACCACCCTCCCCGTCGACAACGACGGCGGCAAATCCCCCACCCCGGTTCCCCAATCACTCTCATTCCTCCCCAACACCAGCACCAGCTCCTTCCCCTCCGTGAAAAACTCATGACCCACATAACTCTTCGTATACGGCAGGCCATTCAGCGTCGCCGACTGAACATAGATATTCTGATAGGTGGGGTCAAAGTTGACCGTCTTCACGGTAGCCGTCTTGCCCGTCAACGGGGAGGTGATCTGGACGGTTTCAAAGAACGGCGCCGTGATAAGGTAGACGTTTTGACCGGGGTTCGGAAACAGACCTATCATGGTCATGGCGACGAAGGAGCCCATGGCTCCGGAGTCGTCGTTGCCGGGGAGGCCTGTCGGCGTGGGGTTGAAGTACCGTGGGATGTAGTAGTGGGCGCGCGCGGTGGATTTGCCCGGGCGGTTGGCGTAGTGGTATTGGAAGACGGTGAGGAAGGCCGGCTCGTTGCCGATGTAGGTGATGCCCTGGTCGTGGAGGTAGTCGAGGCGGCGGGTGAATTGGGTTGGGCCGCCGAGGAGGGTGATGAGGGTGGACATGTCGTGGGGGACGAAGCTGGTGGGATTGGTTAGTTGGTTGGTTTGGGGGGGGGGAGTGGTATATTAGAGGGTGGAGGCGTACAATTGGTATTCCCAGATGCTGGACTCGAAGGTCTCGGCTCCGTTGTTTTGTAAGGAGCAGGATCGTCCGCTTGTGTCGATGTTGGAGCATGTTAATGGGTCCTGGATGGTATACAGGTTAGTTTAGTTGGAGGGTGTAGAGGTGGATTGGAGGAGCTACTGACTTGAGATCCCCAGGTTCCGTTGAGGTACTTGGGCTGGAAGAAGCCCTGGAAGCCTGTGTCGGTGCCGTTGAGATACGAGGTTTGGTCTGCTCGGAAGAGGTTCTGCCAGTATTGCGACCTTCCCTCGTACTTTTCGGCATCGCCGGTTTTGTTCATGGCCCGAGCCATTTGGGCGATAGTGAAGTCATTGTAAGAGTATTCCAATGTGCGGGAAATGCTGCGAGTTAGGGTACCAAAGCCGATGTAATCGAAATCCTCCACAGGGATGTAGTTTAATGCCTTCCAGCTCATTAGTCCACCGCGTCCCTCATTCGACCAGTGAAAGGGTTCCTCCTCGGCGTCTTTCTGGACAGCTGCATAGCCTGCATCCCAGTCGATGCCGTCTGAGATGCCTTTGGCGTATGCGTCAGCCAGAATGACGTCGGCGTTCGAGCCACCCTGCGTGTAACCTGAGAGGGTTAGACTCAGATATTGCTGGATGGGGTAGTACATACCTTTGCAAAGCGACATACGGCAATCTGGAAGCCATCCTAGATGCCGCTGTGTATCGATTAATGAGCGGATTATGCGAGTGAGTGAAGCCGGATCGAAGATTGTTAGAAACGGCATCTGGGACCGGAACGAGTCCCACAGGCTGCAGAGATCAGCATGGAAACAGATTATTCCGGGGTCACACTACATACCAGTAGAACGAGTCAAAATAGGGCTCAGAGCTGTCCCACAGCGGGTTCTCTCCTGTATAGTCTTGTGGGTTGACCATGGTCCGGTAGATCCCGCTGTAGAAATTGGTAAGCATACTCGAGTTGATGCCATTCCGCGACACACGGATCGGAGCCATCTTCTCCGTCCACATGTTCACAGCTGCAGTTTGAGTCTTGTTGAAATCAAAGTCGGGGATTTCAGCTTCTGCATTCTGACATGCCTGGTCGCTGCTGATGAAGCTCAATCCCACCCGCGCATGGATCACATTGTCCGCGGACGAATTGAATCGGATAAAGGCACCACCCTGAGAATTGTCAATACGACATACATGTTAATCGAGGCATACGTTACGAACCGGCAGCGGGTATCCATTGATACTCCGTGATATGGTAAGGTTCTTGACATCTACGCTGGCCCGTGCATCAACGAAGATGCCATTATCTCGGATATCACCCGCACCATGGTAGTCGGCGCAGAAGTACGGCACATAGGAGCCGCTTCCAAAGCTGGGAAGAAAGCGTGCATGGCCGGTCATGCGTCCTGTTGTAGGATCTACGGAAATAGTGCCATTGTCCTGGCGAGTATCCGACAGGTCGGACAGATCTAAGAGGATCAAAGGGCTCGACGGCTTGTCGACCGGAAATTGAAAGCGAAAAAGAGCCGTATGATGAGCGGTTGTCATGTCCACATGGATACCCGAGCTCATGTTTAGCCCAAAGTACCCGGGACTGGACTTGACCGATGCAGAGTCGTAGGAGGTCGTCCGGTCCTTCTTGGGATAAGCGCAGCCATTGACATTGTCGTCTTTGCAGGTCACGTACGGGAAGAGAGGGAAAACACCCAAAGAGGGCTGCCCACCAGTCCCCGAATCATGCATGCTAGAAAATCCGGTAATACTACTGCCATCGTAGGCGAAGCCTCCCTGATTATTGACCGAGTCCGTATCGGCGACAGCCTTGGCCATGCCGTATGGGATCGTTGCGCCCGCGAAGACATTACCTGAAAACCACAGCGGTCAGAACTCGCCCTAAACATAGTTATTACGGGGGTAAACCTCGTGCATACCTCCATTGGCGCTTCCAATCAGAGGATTGATGTACTGTAGAACATCATAGTCGTCGACAGACGCGGAAGAGTTGGCGCAACCTGCAATGCAGGGGAGGGCTACGGACACAACCAAATGCCTCCAATTAATCATGTCGGCGATGATTGATTGAGTAAGGGAATGACAAATGCGAGTGACGGGCGTGGTATATGTTTACACGATTAGACTGGTATGCTGACATGGCCATCAAGGGAGACAGGAATGAGACCATGTCCCCGCGAGAAGGAGGGGGGAGGGGAGTATCATCGACATCCTTAAGCATGAAGAGCAATCTCATGCCCCTGATATAAATTATTGACAAGGGTTATCGCTGCAATGTAACCTTTGTGGCTCCGTATGACCAGTCTGAAGCACGATGATCGTGCAGGCAAGCGTTTTTAACGTCTCTCCCTGGCATGAAGCGGAAGGGTCATCTGTACAACAGAGAGGCCTGAGTCCCGCGGGAAGCTGGGTCAGTTGCTTTTTTCTATCTACATGAAGCGCTACCAAGCATGATTCTGAACCAGCATAGATATGTGATGGAGACAGCATGGTGGAGCAATCTGATCGACGAGACGAAGGAAGAGGAAGAGCAGAAGGAGAAGGCAGATAAGATGCGGAGGCGGAGTTATTGATCGGGAAGGATTGTCAGATTTACCGAATTGAAGGACAAGACCATTTAAACCCAACTTACCCCTATATTTTATAAGGGGAATCTGGAAAGTGATTTCAGTTTCTCTCGCCATCAGGACTACTGGGTACTATCCCTCCCCTGACTCTTACAATGGACAATTGAGGAAGTTGCCAAAAGTCAATTGCAGGGCCCCTTGCAAGAGCAGCCGAGGTTCCAACGCAGTGCCGCCCCGCCCGACGCCAATCAACGGAGCCTCGACCGATTTTCACGATGCGGAAATCCATGGGACTTTCTCCTGGGAAAAGAACAGGGCGAGGGCAATTTGAATATTTCTGCTGGAGCTGGTTTTGAATGGCGCCGCAAAAGCAAAGCAATATCGAGGCTCTGCTGATCTGATCGAGGGGCTCCTTTGCGCTTTACCCCCCAAGTCCATTCATTCCATTCGACTCTCCCTTTTCTGTTCTCCTATAAAAAAAAACCTAAGAAACCCTCTCGTTCCATCTCCAGTGTCAGAGAGAGAGTCCACAATCGTCGCCATGCCGCCGGTCCCAACAATGCTAGGCTCCACTACCATGGCCAGAGCTGTTGCTCATGCTCTTCCTCTGTCGCGTTTGCCTCCCACCCAATTTTCTGCTCTGTGCCGAGGCATCTCCCTATCCCAGCCTCTTGCACACAGAGTTTATTCCACTGCTTCTGCAGGTATGTATTCCCCCCTTCCTTGCACAACACTTTATGCTTTGAATAGCATTCAGACTATATAAAAGCATATATTCAGAATCAAGTGCCCTAACTAATCACAATCAAACTCACAGAGGCCGCATCCCTCCCCTCACAAACACCTCCGACTCGCTCCCGCTTTCGCCGCTTCGTCGGATTCACCACTCTAGCAGTCGTCGCCTTCACTGCTGGCTTGACCTACCAAACCTCCAAATCTGTGTCGCGCATGATGACGCTCAGTCTAGCTACCGATGAGGAGACTCTCTCCGCCTTCGTCCCTCACGATGAGTTCTCCAAGGAGGTCAACGACTATATCCGCAACCACCCTCTGGCCGTGTCCCTGCGCAACGATCCTGCTTTCACCGAGTCCCGCCCACACATGAAGATACCGGAGAAGCTGCGCGCGCGCACTCTCACAGGCGGCACACTTGCTGGACCGGACAAGATTGTGGCTCCTCCGCTAGTATTCTGTGAAGAGGGCGGAAAGAGCTTGGTCTCGATTTTCTACCTCGGACCCAACCTCTGCGGTCACCCGGGAATTGTGCACGGTGGATTGCTGGCCACATTGCTGGATGAGGCTATGGGACGCTGCTGCTTTCCTGCTCTGCCGAATAATGTGGGTGTGACCGCCAACTTGAACTTGGATTATCGCAAACCCGCCATGGCCGGCAACTATGCCGTTTTGCGGGCGGAGACTGTCAAGGTCGAGGGTCGGAAAGCCTGGGTGGAAGGTCGCATTGAGACTCTTCCCGAGGACGGAAAGGAACCGGTTGTGCTCGTGGAGGCCAAGGCCTTGTTTATTGAGCCCAAGCAGGCCGCGGTAGGTTCAGATGATCGAATCATGATGCAAGACGAGGCTAATCAGACATGCAGGCAATGTCGACTCTCTACAACATGACCAAGTAATTGGCACCCATCTGATTTCGATTTGATCTATAAATATTGGATACTTCTTGAGAGTCATTGCGACTCGAACATTTAACTGGCGTATAGATGGTTGGAAAGCTACATTTGGATTGTACATATAGATAACTCTTGTTCAGTATACTATACCTATTCTAGATTGTGAATTTTGATTTACAAACCCAGAGCACGAGAAGAAAAGGGCCACAGTAGCTGCCGTTGTGGCCTTATCATGTAGGCATTAGGCTACAGCCCAGGTTATGAAGACACCGTGGAATTGCTATGATCATTGTCGCACAGGCGTCAACCTGACTAATGCATAACTTGTTACCGAATGGATATTCAGGTCCAGAGGATTGCAGATCCATGTTTACTTCCAATAGAGTTTCACGATCTGGAGGTTGCATTTGACGTCACACTCACGCCAGCTTGTGAACATCCCCAAAACAACACCAGCTGCTCACTACGAAGTATCAACATCCAGCATCATACTACTTCGACTGGCGCAATCATCCACGATGGCTCAAGGCATCACTATTGATCCCAATGACCTCCAGCCCCCGACAAGACACCCTCCGTCGTCTGTCGACCTTCCATCGAAGCTCCCCCCAGCCAAAGAAAGCAGGATCCATCCCTCCAATCCAGGCGGAGAGAATGCGTCGATATACTTCGTCGGCACTGCCACGACGATCATGCGCGTGAATCCTTGCTAAATATAATATCAAGCTATGAACTAACAAAATGATGCAGACAATGGCACGGAATCCGCATCATGACTGATGTATGTACCACATACACCTCTACGAGGAGTCTAGACAGATGCGGGAGATATCATTAGGATGCTAACTAACTAGCTCAGCCCAACTTTCTTCACGCAGGGGACCACGTCCATCTCGGCCCTGGGGTATCCTCGGCTCGCAGGACGAATCCGGCTGTAGACCTGGAAGAGCTACCGCGGATCGACTTGGTGCTTCTATCTCATTATCACGGGTAGACATCCATCTTCACATAAGAATGGATTGGACAAGAAACAGGCTGATGAACGAAATTGTAGCGATCACTTCGATCAGAAAGTCGAAGCCTCCCTTCGTCGTGACCTTCCCATCGTTACGACACCCCATGCCAAATCCATTTTGACTTCTAAAGGAGAAGACTCGTTCACGAGAGTATCCAGCGTGGAGGTATACGAGCAGCTTACAGTCGATATCAAACACAACCAGAATGACGCACAGCGACAGCAACGGCCCAAGCTCCGGATAACCGGTATGCCAGGGAAACATATCCCGGTTGGAAAGCCGTTAGAGAAGCTGAATGAGCTGGTTGGGGCGGTACGTTGTTTCCTCCACGTACATCTTAGCTTGACAGACATTGATTAGTACAACGGGGGTAGATCCCTCCTACAAACGGATGGATGCTCGAGCTAGGCTACGGTGACAACAACGACAACGCAGACAGTTTCACCTCCGGTTATAGAATCTACATCTCAGGGGACACGCTCATGTTCGATGATCTCAAGGAGATACCCCGTCGGTATGCAGGACAACCGATCGACCTAATGCTGGTTCATCTAGGTGGCACGACAGTACCCTCGCCGTCCATGTTGCCATTAGCGATGATGGTAACCATGGACGCGAAACAGGGGGTGGAACTGATCAAGTTGATTCGACCACAGGTGACTATTCCCATTCATTACGATGACTATGACGTGTTTGCAAGCTCGTTGGATGATTTCCGGGCGCAAGTGCAGGCCGCTGGGTTGGATGGGGAGGTTGTGTATCTGGACCGGGGAGACGAGTATCAGTTTCGTGTCTCGTAGGATAAGAACAATGAATGGATGGAGGGATGGATGGCAAGAGGCAAAAAGAACTTAGTTCACATCTTAACCAGGGCTGACCACGGCATCGCACCCCGCCAATCAGCACCTCTCGATCTTAGTCGGACTCGTACATCCCGCCCAACCAGCGATATTCCCTATTTTGCCATGGTGAGATTGAATGTTACTTTTTTACTTCCATTCAATAACATCTTCTATGCGTTCATCGACCTGTCAACGTAATCACCCCAGGTACAAATATCTCAAAAATAGGACTTTGTCACACTACATCTGCAGTGAAAGACGGAAGTTTAAAACAAAGAAAAAAAAAAAAAAAAGGTACCCTTATGATGTCAGAGTGAACCGGTAGTTACCACTTAGTTACCCATTAACATCTATCAGCTGCTACATGACTTATAACTACTGAGTGAATAAAACAACCAACCATTGAATACAAAAGAAAGACGTACTTTACACAGTACTTTCTTGCTCATAAGATCCCAACTCAGCCCATATAAAGTACCTCGCATCTACCCTCTGCAGATCCTCCTCAACGTCTTAGACGTCATAGTGACTCCAATCAATCGTCTACTTACCCCAAACCGGGGCTTCGATATCTCATCTCCATCCAATCCACTGGCACTGGCTTCGTATACAAAAAGAAAATAAAGGGCGGAATACGCCGCTGATCTTCATTCCTTCACATCAGTCTTAATCCAATCTAATCTATTAAAGATCAACAACATCTTCAAACTAAGAAGACCAGATCGATAGAAGGAAAATGTCCTACAACAACAACAACACCCACCACCCCATCGCCTCAGCAGACAAAGTCCCCACTATCCACACAATCCATCCTATGAAACGCTCAACGTCCTACTCTCCCGCCGCCCAGGAGAGCGGCGACGAAGAGTACAAGCACCACCACATCAAGAAAGACAGCGCGAGCAGCACAGTAGCATGTGGCAACGACCATAAAGTGAAAGCGGCACTGACGGAGCTTCTCAACGACGACGGTGTGAGATCTAATGCGCGCGGAAGCAGATCGGTACAGAACTTGCTTATGGATACGGAGAAGGCGTTGAGGAAGCAGCGTAGGGAGTCGCTGTCGGGACGGGCTTCGATTTCGTTGGCGAAGTGAGGTGATATCGGTGTCGATATGGGGATTTATTTTTAATTATTTGGTGATGACTTGACTGTCGAATGGTGGCTGCTTTGCGCTGTATGCAGGGTGTGTATGTGGCATGGTCGTCGAGTCGAATTCCTCGTGCTGGTCTGGTCTGGTCTGGTCGGTACAAGAGGTGCGCGCTGTGTCGATGAGATGAGGGTCTTAAGCTGCTTCTGATGATTGTGATGCTATGTGAGCCGGCTGCATATGGAGCTGCTTGATTCAATATGGTTTCATGCAGGGTAGTAGGGCTGAGGGCTGGAGGTTTGAGGCACAGTTGATGCGCCGTTGCAGGAGCTCGAAACGATACATGTCTATTGGTGGCAGCACACTACACTTTACAGCCTTAAGGAGCAGTCGCATATGGCTTCTATGGCAGATATGTCAATTAATTCATCCTTGTGTTTATGCACATTTCGAACTCACTGATATTGTATTCTACAAATGTAGAAAATAGTATAAGAGGCGGCGCGGCCTATATACTACCTACTTACTAGCTTATAGTTAGTAGTAGGTGGCCTCTTCGATGCATAACACATCAACAACAGTAGTATAACCCTTAGCCATCAAGTCAGACAATAAACACCGTAATAGACGAAATGAAATAGCATTTCCTCCCTCATAGAGATAGTTATAACAACCCCAAAATCAACATGTACCAATCAAACTCACCCAACGAAGCCAACCACCGCCGCCGACCGCCTCCGAGTGACGACCGACCGACCGACCGCAATCGATCCTCACTCCGCACCAACAGCTCCAGCTCCAGTCCAACTCCAACCAACCTCCCCCCTTGACCTCTCTCTCTCCACGGCCCATCTTCCCTAACTACTTTCCCCGTCTGCACCGCCAGACCACATGCGTGGCACCCCCCTTACACCCAACTAGTTACTAATATCATATACCCCCCCCCCCGGGCCACCATGTCCAAATCCACCAAGTACCTCCTCGTCTCCTTCCCCACGTCCATCACCCCCTCCCACCACCGCGACGACGCCCTCGACGCCATCTCCGCCACCGTCTCGTCCGAAAATGGCTCCGTTGCGCCGTTTCCCATCCCCGAGTTCAAGATCGGTACGCTCGATGCTCTGGTGCAGCAGGCCGACGAGCTGGCTAAGCTCGAGGCTGGCTGCCAGGGGGTGGTGGCCAAGGTTGGCGATGCGCTGAAGAATATTCTGGAGGGGGATGAGGCGCAGATTGATAAGATGAAGACGGTTAATGATAGTATGTTTTATCACAGCATATGTTAGTGAGAAGTGACGTGTGTTTTGTGTTGACGGGGTCTTTTTCTAGAACCGGTGGATCAGTACCTGCGCACGTTCTCGTGGAATAAGGTCAAGTATAGGGCTGATAAGCCGTTGGGGGAACTGATTGATTTGCTGCAGAAGGTGGGTTATGGCAGTTATTCTGTATAAAGGATATGCTGACGGGTGAACAGGAAGCAGCGAGTATCGATAACGACATCCGCTCGAAATATACCCAGTATAATCAGGTGAAGAATACGTTGGCGACGTTGCAGCGGAAGCAGACGTAAGTTTGTTACTTTACTTTACGCTCCATGTCAGGAGGAGGATGTTGTCTGATCTGCTCTGCTATAGGGGCAACCTGTCCACCAAATCCCTCTCCTCGGTCGTCGACCCCCGCACCCTCGTCCGCGACTCCGAATACATCGAGACGCACCTTGTCGCTGTGCCCGCCCAGCAAGTCAAGGAGTTCCTGAAGATCTACGAGACCGTGGCGCCGATGGTGGTGCCGCGGTCGGCGACGCTGGTTGCCTCGGACGACGATTTCACACTGTACGCCGTCACGACGTTCAAGAAGCACAGCCTGGAGTTTGTGCACAAGTGCCGTGAGAACAAGTGGATTCCGCGCGACTTCAAGTACATCGAGGGAGGTAAAGAGGAGGAGCGGAAGGAGTTCGAGCGGGTGGGTGGTGACGAGCGCAAGCTCTGGGGAGAGACGCTCCGGCTGGGACGGACGGCGTGGAGTGAGGCCGTGATGGTCTGGATCCATGTGTATGTGCTGCGGGTGTTTGTGGAGACGGTGCTGCGGTATGGACTGCCGCTGGACTTTGTGTGCACGTTGATCCGGGTGAGTTATATCTTTACTCTTGTTGATATTATGTGTTTGTTACTAACTAGACCAGACTCCCGGAACGAAGCAGGCAGACAAAGCGAAGCGCAATCTGGACGACAAGTACTCGTACCTGGCGGGCAATGCGTTCGGGCGCGACAAGAAGGGCCGAGTGAAGCGCGACGACCCGGGCGAGATGCACGGCGAGGGCGGGCCGGAGTATACGGCATATGTGTATTATGAGTTTGAGTTCAACTAGCCAGCGGTCTTTGCTAGTTTGCACCATTGTTTTATGCTTGGATCTATTCTCTTCCTGTTTATAAGTCTAGCGTACGTACATAGAAGTACTCCACCCCCAGCCTAAGAATCTATTCAAATGTAGTAAGCAGTAAACAGTCAAGCCCAAATGATATATACAACCAACAAATCTCTATCTATCATCTATCTACTCTAAACCCCCATCCCCACCAGGGAAATACTCTACTCCTTCTTAGCAGGCAAATACCCCTGCTCATCCAAATACCGAATAATCTGCGCAACCGCCTCCTGCACCGGCACCTCATGATTCTTGACATGAACCTCAGGCTTAACCGGCGCCTCATACGGGGCACTAATCCCCGTAAACTCCTTAATCACACCCTCCCTAGCCTTCTTATACAATCCCTTAGGGTCACGCTGCTCCGCCACCTCCACAGGTACATCAACATACACCTCAACGAACGGCAGACCCGTCTCCTCTCCGGGCGTGGGCACCTCATGCAACTGTCTCGCGGTGTCGCGGTCCTTGCGGTACGGGGAGATGAAAGAAGTGATGGCGATAGCGGACGAATCGGCAAACAGCTTCGCCACTTCGGCGATCCGCCGGATATTCTCGTTCCGGTCGGCTTCGCTGAATCCCAGGTCCTTGTTGAGTCCGAACCGGATGTTGTCGCCGTCCAGGCGGTAGGCGTGAACGCCACGGTCGCGGACCAGTTGGTGCTCGAGTTCGACGGCTAGTGTGGATTTGCCCGACGCGGAGAGGCCGGTCAGCCAGATTGTGAGGCCGCGCTGGGAGCGGAGGGTGTTGCGCTCCGTGCGGGTGAGGCCGCTGGCGTGGTAGGTGATGTTGCTGTTGGGAGGGTTTGGTTAGTTGGGATTGAGGAGGGGGAATGGGAATGGGGATGGGGGACGTACGTGGCCATTTTGAGGGTATGTGTGTGGTATGAGTAATTGGGAGGAGGAGGAGGAGGAGGGTTTGGAGAGAGTGGGAAGAGGAGGGGTTGAAGTACGTAGAAAAAGGATGGGATAGAAAAGGGTGAAACAGCGGGGCGGGCGCCGATCGCGGGGTCGATTTCATTTGACGACTTGCACTTACGTACTCCTGCGTTTCCTTGGATGGGTTTCTGCCGGGAGAGGAGTCATTGGTTCGGAGCGATGGGCGACGTTACGTACCTCGCTTTAATGCCATGTGTCTAGAACGTTTATTCATCTAGGGTGATGGATTGATTGATATTATCTATCTAGGTGTTTGTATATAGGTCAATCTATTGTTTGTCGGCCAAGTCAATCACTCGCTTTGCTGCCGCTTCGAAACTGTCAAATGCCTCCAGTGGCAACCCACTCTCCGCGATCTATCCGGAACATTAATTAATTAGCTTTTGTCGATAATTAAGTGTCGGGGAAAAAGTTTAAGGAATCAAACTGACCATCTGCTGCCCACGCTCCTCGTTTGTCCCGCGCAGTCGCACCACCACGGGCACTGTCATCTCCATCTCCTGAAATGCGAGGATGATCCCTTCCGCGATCATGTCGCACCGTGTCAACCCCCCGAAGATGTTCACGAAGATCGCTTTCACGCGTCGGTCCGACGTGATGATCCGAAATGAGGACTTGACTGTCTCTGTCGTGGCTTTGCCGCCCGTGTCCAGGAAGTTCGCGCAGTGTCCGCCATGGATCGTCAGCGCGTCCACCGTGTTCATTGCCAGGCCCGCGCCGTTCACTACGAGGTCAGTGGGATGGTAACCTCGTAGATGTGGGGTTTGGGGGATATACTTACCTAGGGTTCCGATGCTTCCTTTCCCTTCCAGTCTGTGCTCGGTCAGTGTAGGTTACACAGGGATGACTGGGGTGGCTTACTTGACGTAGACAATGCCATCCTTCTCGGCTTCGACTTCCTCGGGAACCTCTTCTGCTGGATTCCTCAGTTGCTGTACGTCTTCCTGGCGTCCTGAGCTTCGAAAGGCAGCGTCATCGAACCCAAAGCGGGCATCGCGGACTTCAAAGGCACTTGTGGCGTTGGCGCGTACTTCCAGGAGGTACGCCTCCTTTTCCTTGAAAACCCGCCATAATCCCTGCAGCAGCTGTGCCAGGTTGTCGTGTGCCGTTGCGGGAAGCTGCAGGTGGGAGGCAACCGTTTCAACCAGGGGGTTTGTGCTGCCAAAGTCCGTGCCCTCGTATGCAAAAGGGAATCGGCCCGTCTGTGCTGGCTCGAAGCCAGCGGATGTGGAGGCAAGAATGCACGGCGACAAAGCTGTCCTATCAACGGTGAGGGACAAGAAGAAGTCCGACTCGGAGGGTGCAGCCTCGTTGACAGGGATTGATTCTTTTTTGAGCATATCGAGAGCCTGGAACGGCTTAACGAATAGACTTCTGGTTTGCTGGGGCTGAGAGACTTGGTAACGGTTCGGTCTGATGCGCCTCATTGTATGCAGGCCTCGCCGCTGATTCCCGCCATTGATAGACTACTCCATGTCAGTAAGCTGTCATTCTTCGCAGGTAACAGACCTACAGTAGTGCCCACGCGCCCGCGAGTTTTTAGAAGTGACTTCATTCCCTCTCCGAACTTCTCGGGATGGTTGACCATCATCACGCCGGCCCGTTCAAGCGCTTCATACTTGGCCTTCGCGCCAGGCTCCCCAATTGCTGTCCAAGCACCTGCGTGGCCCATGATCCGTCCAGGAGGAGCATGCAAGCCTCCAACGAGGGCCATTATCGGTCTGTACTTGTCAGCAATGCTTCCCATGGGAGCGAATTGGCTTTTCCACATACTTGGGGTTAGCAGTTCTCTGATTGTAGTCCTTGATCCACTCCGCTGCATCGATCTCTGCCGTACCACCAATCTCGCCAACCAGGATGATCCCCTCGGTGTCAGGGTCTTCTTCAAAGATCTTCAATGCATCGACGAAATTAGTTCCTGCTAGAACATCCCCTCCCATACTGATACAGAGACTCTGCCCCAGACCTGCCCGCGTCGTGGACGCAACAGTCTCATAGCTCAGAGTCCCTGACTTCGCGACAATGCCAATATTGCCAGGTGCGAAGCAGGGCAGAGGCTGGAATCCGATCCGGCATTTGCCAATTGCAGAGATGATTCCCGGACAGTTGGCACCGACCAATCTCGTCTTTGACTGAGTCTTCAGCATGGAGTGGATCTAAGCACCATTAGTTCAAAGCACTCAAAGACAACGCTCTCAAACCGAATCGCTTACTCGAAGAATATCATGGATAGGAACGTGTTCTGCCACTGCTACAACAAGGGGGATTTCCGCTTCTATAGCCTCTTCTATTGCCTTCGCAGTCTGGTTACCAGGCACGTAGATCGCAGATGCGTCCGGTTTCGCTCTCTCTTGGGCCTGTCTGTATAAGTAGAATGCCCGGATAAGTAGACAATCAGTCATACCGCTTTTACAGATGGGAACACCGGAAGACCGAGATGCTCTCCCTCGACGCCCGGCTTAACGCCCCCGACAATCTTCGTGCCCCATTCTAAGGACTCCTTGACATTGGCAGTGGCCTGGAATGTTAATCAAGGCATATTGCGATTACACTAGAAGCCCACTTACCTGTCTACCTAAACTTATTGTCAATGTATGATCGTAGATATTGAGAGACAGACTAACCTGTAAATCCCTGGAACAAGACCCGCGTGTGAGCTCCTATCTTCAAATTCTGTAGCGTGTCCACATAACTGCAGGTCCTGGACGAGGTCGAGAACCCCTGTGATTGTCTCACTGAAGCACGGACGAGATGCCTTTTCGCCGACGCAGACAATGAAGCCAGGCGGGACATAGTGGGTTCCGTGCTGTGGTTACTTGATGGAGATCAATGGCCGGCTATTTCAGTGTGGGGTATTATAAGAACACCAATTGCGAGAATGACAGGTTTAAATGATGGAAGTGACAACAAATCAGTGACTACCACTCACGGCCACTTTGGAAAGTAGAGCAATATCAACAGCCAGTTGCTAGACTGGTCTACAGGCCTGGAGAGAGTTGAAGGGGCGGAAGACTAACCTCGGGAAATGCTGTCTTATAAGACGGATACTCCGCCGGTCTCGGACAACCTGCCGACTGTTTCCGAGGTACTAAATAAGAGGATGTGGGCTCTCGGGACAGTCATGCATTGCTGTGATTGGTGGTCTCGGAAACGTGTTGCCGGGTAGTACTTGGGACTCGGAAAGGCAAATGCCACATGCTCCGCCGGCGGTGTTAAGAGCCACAGCTTTGGTGTAGAGGCTGAAGGAAGTGCGGACTGGCACTGAATATGTTAGTGCATGTATAGCGTGCAGATTGCCCTATTCATAATTTTCCAGTTCGTGTATGTCCTCATCTAGCTGGTGGGCATTTGTAGCTAGTGGCATGCAGCAATGCTCGGTGCAGTATACTCCTATAGAAATGATATCGCACTAGTTCCCAACACCCGGTGAGGTACATAGTCCTTTCAACTGTTCTTTGGAGGCCTGTGCTCGATGTTATCATGTCTCGGTCTGCGTTCGCAGTCATGGTGCACTAGCAGTAATGCTTCCTGTCAGCAAACATGTTCTAGATCTCTTGGGCAGCACAACATATGGAGATAGGACTTCACATGAATGAGAACCCTGCTCCCTTCGCCCACAGAAAAGGCAATCTTATCGAATTGCATCGACTAGTAAGAGATTGGTAGATGATGTCAAGTGGTCTATTTTTATGAATTCTAGGCTCTGGGAACAAGGATTGGAGATCACCCCACACTCCCAACTGCTTAGTCAGTATTTCAGTACAAAAGGCGAACAATGCAAATGTGAGAACATACTTTGGACTACAAAGTAAGTGTCCCAAATATTGAGAGATACACATCCTGAGATCAGATCACACGACTCCAGCACTCCTTGCTAGTAGCGTTACAGCCTTGAACTGGAGTATGTAGATCAATGACCCAACTTCCCATCACAATGTACACACCAGCAAGAAACTGGCCAGTCAAACAACCAATCTGTGCCATGATAAGTGACTTCCCAACGCAGATCAGCCACCACACAATGGTGGAAACGTGAACCGTTCCCTCAAACTGCAAATTCTCGCCAGAAAGACAAAAGCGATGGACCAACTCGAACTCTGGCCAGCCCCAAGCAGAGCCAATCACGGGGCCCGCCTTCCCCGAAAGGCGGGGTCGCACTGCCGGGACTGACGCCATTCATGATTTCACCTTTTCGCTTTGCTTGAAAGCGGTCGGACCACTCTGCATTGTTCTGCTACGAACCACTCCAAGATCTTCAATAATAGAATTTCATCAATTAGTAGTCGATATGGCGGCCGCACATGCCAGTTTCAATTCCAAGGGTTCGTTTCCTTCATTCCATCTTTTATTAACCATCCCTTCTCCCTCCCCAATTGTCCTGCCGCCGCAATAACTGAGCCCCTCCTCAATCATCTTCTTCCTTTCCTTCGCTATTCTTTCCTCCTTCCCCAGATCCCCCCCCATTGTTACTACTTCCTCACCCCACAGTACCCCATGGTACTCCCATAACATAATCAGCTGCAACAAACACCAACACTAACACCACCTCCAATGTCCGTTCCAGCCACACCACCAGCAACAACACCGCCAACAACATCAACATCAGCAACCTCCGAACTACAATCCTCTCTCCGCGAACTCTCCCTCGCCAATAAAAGTCCCATTAAAGATATTCCCCGACCGACTCCCCCCACCTCTGTCCCCAAACAACACCATCACACGGTGAAGAAGAAGAAAGAGCCTGCCCCCGTCGCCGACTCCTGGGAAGATGAAGTAGACTCAGCCTCCGCCTCTGACCCCGAAGGAGGAGCAGCCGACATCTCATCCACCTCCCCCGCTACCTCGTCCCGCTTCGCCAGCCCCGCATTGTCACCTTCTATCCGTTACACTGAAGGCCCCCTAGACCCCCCGCCCACGCCTATCTCACCGCAGACGTCTGCATCGCAGCTGCCGTGGCCTACGTATGGTGGACGATCAGAGGCGAGATCGCCGGCGAGGAGGCCGGAGAAGCAGACGGCTGTAGCGGGGAGGATGATTGCGGGGGCACTGGGAATTCGGGCGCCCAAGCGCACGGAGGAGCAGCGGGCGTATGACCGCGCGGTGAAGGAGCAAGAGATTAAGCGGCGGAATAAGGAAAAGGAGGAGGCGGCGAAGGCGAAGGAGGAGGAAGAGAAGGCTAAGGCGGCAGTGTGGGACATGTAATTGACACTGTTATAGCAACAGAGTATCTACTCCGTATTGCTGGGGGTGGGGTTGGTGGAGGTACATATTCTTTGCTTCTACTTTCAGCTTGGAAGGTGACGAGGTGTGCCGGGTGCTGCGTTTCTCATCTTCTTTTCGCTCCTTAATTGTCTGCTTGCGGGGTGGGTCGGTTGTCTGGTTTGCTCTTGTCGGTTTCCTGTCCTACTACATACACTCAGACTCACTGGGTCCAAACTATACAGGACTGTAATATAGTCTTTCGGTGAATCTATACCAGTTCAGACGGATGGACTTCCAGAAAAGGAAACCCCTATCTGGTTTTGCAAAAGTTGCAACCCAGCGTAGCTTGAACATAGTGCTCGAGAATCTATCCAAACGGTAGACATCTGCACACAACAGATGCTAGACGCTCATTTCTTTTCCTTTCTCAGCTCCCCAAAATCTTGCAAAACAGCGAAGATAGCAAAAGAAATGTAGAGTAACCATTCATCATATTTTCGTCGACGTCAACAACCCTCTTATTTATCACTCTGAAAAATTCCTGATCCCTACCCAGATACACATCTCATAATAGGACGCTCTCCAAATCCGGGTCCGGCTCCGGCCCATCAACCAAGTTAGAACACCATGTTGCGCCTTGTATCTGTTTGATAGAAACGGGAGAAACAGATCGGAGGATGGTCGGGAGAAGATAAAGTTGGGTAACTAAAGGTAAGAAACACAACGGGGCTGGTAATGTATTTTGAAAAGACATAATAATCATGATTCATCGAGAGAGAGATTATGCTATCTAGCCACCGATTTGTTCCTGGTGCACTTCGAGAGTGTCCCCATCGGCCATCTCGAGCTACATAATTTCAGGATAAGTTAGCCGTGTGCTTTGCGGTTCTCTAGGGTCTGTCTTCCAGAGGATATGGAAGTAGGTGTTCGTGCGGGGAAGGGTGCCGCAGAGCGTGCATATAACCACATCACAGAAGAGAAGGGTTGTCATGCTAGAACATACCGTATCGGGTGTATCTTCAGGGCGCACACGGGTGCCATCGAAAAGAAAGCGGACCGTAGACGGCTGCTTTCCTTGCCTTTCGCAGAACGCGTCCATCAACTTCTTCAACTGGGTTGTGCGCTTGATCTTGAAGAACACTTCATTGTTGTTGTCGGTCACCTTGATGTTGAGGTGCTCGACAGCCGCGGGGGCCTCTCCGGAGTCGGCCATTGTTGTAGAAGGGAATGAAGACGATGGAGGGCTTGGGAACTGGAGGAGGGCGGGTTGTCAGCTTTGGGAGGACTTCCCGTCGCAAGTTGAGTTCGTCAGACTGCCGTGGCTTACCCTGTTTGCCGCTTTGAAGGGATATGCGCTAGAGCACTGGCGGAGAGATGGACGAGGAGAAGAAGCTGGTGGACGTGAGATATGACTGAGAGAAGAAGAAAAGGGATGGGGCGTTGAACTGAGCTGGAGGCGATGAAGGCAACCCCCACCAGTTATAAATATCGGAGAATCTATTTTGCGGCGCAGGTCCAAGTTCCCGTTGCTTCGCTGCAGTGAATGAGATCAAAGGTGTTACTACTACTTCTGATACTTGATTTTCTCTTGATACATCTTTCAGTGTTGGGTCATTTTCTTTTCAGTTTTCTGATTAGGTTTTATTTTGTTTTCAGTCCTAGCCTTTGGGATCCTTCATTTGTGATTTTACTTCTGTCTTGTTGCCAGTTCTCTGGCTGAGTATAGTATATTGCGTCATGGTATGAGTGTAACCATTGACTCCCGTTTGAGTTGAGAGTAACAGATAGCAGGGCGGACTTAAGGAAGACATAGCATTTGACCCGCCTTGCCATCCACGAGCTGTAGGTCACAGATACTAGTTAGAACATTCCTTTGATGCATGACTAACAATTGCCAGTGTGCCATACAAGGTGACTACCACCATACAACATCCACGTGCAGAAACGGCACTAATCCTTGCAGCATGCCTCACGAAGAACTCATACCAGGAAGAGAAATGTCAATCCCAGATCAATGCTCTTTATGAATGTTGCAATGCCTTCTACCAGGCGCGAGGGGAGGACGCAAAGACTCCAAGTTGTCCTAAGCCCAACTTGCTGCGTCTGAAGATGAAGCAACGGGGCATGGAGCCTTAGCTTGCCTTGCAGAGAATTTCGTGTCTCATCAGAGTTCTACGGACCGTGTACATACTACCAATTATACTTTGTCGACAATAGAGTAGAGACCAATTCATCAATGCTCTTGACAACGTGTCGAGTCGTTGCCGGAAAATAGTGATAGTGATAGTCTTAGTAGACAATCCATCTCAGGTAAAACTGAGGCTGGAATGTGACAATTCCCTTGCAGTCTGAGCTCCCATTCGAGGAAAGAGCTAGGCTAGTTGTGAAAATTGCCAAATTTCTCTAAGACAATCTTGAGCACGCAGAGAGGCCGTTTGACCTGAACGAAGATTGAAGCGCTCGTTCCGAGACTCTAATGATTGCCTATAGACATTTGATGAAGAAAGAAAAAAGAAGAGGAGGGAAAGGCCGAAGTGCGCGAGTTTTTATGGTGTGTGTTGGCGCTAGTCCCCATCTGGGCTAGTGGCCCGTCGGCCCAAAACACGGCCAAAAAGAGTAAGACGAAGAAGATTGGAAGTTGCAGTTCTTCCCCGAATCCTCCTGGAAAGCTAAAGGTCCCTTCGCAAACACCCTCCATCTCTATCATCGCCCTTCCCCCGACACACCCCTTCTCTCCCGGTCAACCTCCCCGGCCTTTCCTCGCGCTCATGGCACCCTTAACCAGGGCCACGGGCTCGGGCGCCCCTGCTGGGTTCACGTCCATAAATGTGAGTTGCTTTGTTTTGGCTTTCTTGTAAGGCGGTGCGCTGACCGACCGATGTTCTACTGTTCAGCCCTCTCAACAACCAACGAACGAGTCGGATGTTATTGAAATCGATGATGATGACGATGAGCCCATGGACGAAGAGGGAGACGACATGGAGCCCAATGAGGATGAAGACATGGAAGATGATTACGTTGACGAAGACGAGGAATCAGAGGAAGAGGCCGCTGACGCGCTGAATGGGAGCGAATCACCACTGGATCTGGGGTTCGCTCCAAATGGACATAGTATGCTCCTTACGACTTCTGGTAGTGCTAGGAAGGCTGACTTTGCTAGATGGTATAGATGCAGCAACACCGGACTTGTTTACGTCGGCAGGCGCGCAGGAGGCCTTGCATCCCCTTCGCCGCACCGCAGATCGAGTCACGCGCCAGATTGAGGCCTTCGCCGAAAAACTGGATCGTTTCAAACAAAAAGGAAACCGCTCGGAGGACTTGTCGAACTACCAAGCTGCCTATAACCTGGTGAAGAGCTACCAGACCCTCGCGCAAGATGCAATCAGCGACATCACGAAACAAAACACGTTGAAACGGGCCAAGCTTGGATTGGGTGCTGCTCGAAGCAACGGATCCGCATCGTTCGATCCCAAGACTGCAGAGGAGCTCCGGCGTCTACAATTGGAAGCCGACACTTGGCGACTTCTCCTCAACCTTATCAGCAGGGACGATCCGCCCCGCAGAGCCGACTCCAAGAAGTCGCAAGAATTTGTCTTCCAGAATCTACACCGGTACTCCCCCGATCGCGACGTCTGGGACCAATTCTTGACTGCGGACCATTATGCGACGGAATGCGTTATCATCCTGAAGTGGCTCGAACGCTCGGCCAAATACAGCACGCAAGATGTGGACTATCTAATCTCTGAGTTAGAGTCACAGGCCGAAAGAGGGCAGGGATCATGGTCCCACGGATGGCTTTACACGAAGGAAACGATCAAGGGACAGAAGCGACTGCGAGCCTGGCCTCAACCCCTCGAGCCTAATGACCCGGGCATCACCGCTACGCTTCTGAGCTCGGATAAATCGGAGCCACTAGTCACCCAATTAGATCCAGACGCCGTCACACGCCAAAGGCAGAGCCTACAGAAACAGGATCAGTTCTACGAGCGCGCTACATGGATGACGTGCTGGAAGATGCTAAGACATGGGGAGAGTTGGTTCAAGATCCGCGAATGGTGTGCAGAGCGGTTGGAAACATGGCGAGCCGTCAGCATCTGTGGTACTAGCGTGGATGTTGAAACACACACAGGAAGAACACCTATTGATGATGGGCACACACGCCTGATGAACTGGCGTTCCCAAGAGTCCTGGAGGGCCGCCTGCAGTGCTTTGGCACGGAGTCCACACGCCGAAGATTTTGAGCGGGCGGTTTATGCGTTGCTCTGCGGCGAAACAGAGGCAGCCTTCAAGGTCTGTCATACCTGGGATGACTATCTCTTCGTGCACTTCAACAGCGTCCTCCTGTCTCGCTACCAGGGATTCTGCAAGCAGTTCCAGCGGAAGCTAAGCCATTCACCTACAACCCCTGTTGCCTTCGTGCCTGAGCCGGCAGGATATGCCGAATTCAACAAATTCGTGCAGTACACTAGAGGGAACGAGCGCGTTGGAAGCGAGGCACGGAACCCGTACCGCACTATCCAGGCGACAATCCTGGGCAAAGGATACGACGCATTCTTCTATTCCTTAGCCCAGGCAGTGTCCCAGGTTGCGAACAACAAATCTGATGCGTCATCCTTCGTTCCTGATGTGTCACCTACCTTTGTCGATGACAGTCTTGTCATTGCTGCAGAGGACGGCGATGCGCTCCGGATTGCCACCCATCTTTACATCGTCGCCCATTCCATTGGATACGTTCGCGCCGACACTCAATTCTACAACACTGCCTGCGTGAACGTGATTGGATATATCGCTAACCTGGAATCCCTTGGTGTTGTGGATATCATTCCGCTTTATGCTTCCCTTCTCCCGGAGGATTTGACGAGGTCTGTTCTGGCTCAGGTATTGATCGAGATTGTTGATCCACGGGAGAGAAAGAACCTGGTTCGGCTGATGGAGAAGCACGGCATCGACGTCGAGGCTGTCCTGCAGACCCAGTGGGAGTGGCTGAGCGTGAATGTCTCTGCCATCGACCACTCCAGGACGGTCAAGCGGCACCCGAAGGTTGTCAACCGCAAGGATGGCAACCTTGAATTGGTCCCGGTGAAGACGGATTTCATTGGAACCGAGATATCTGAAAGTGATGAGAATGTCATACGCAGTCTCGAATGGCTTCGCTACGTGGATGGACAGTGGGGGCGAATCTGTCAGCTCGGATCTTTGTTGTACCGCAAGTTCTATAGTATGGACATACCCTTGTTCCGTGTAGGAGATGCAAGGCTAACAATATCACAGTTTCGGGTCGACTTTCTGCAGCTCGGGAGCTGTGTCGGCGGATGAAGCTGTCCGACATCTCGCGGGAAATGTTCGGCTTTGACATTTCGGAGTTTAGCCTCGATGTGGCGGCGATGCAAGAGGTCAACTCCCCAGAACCTTCCAGTCCGACGAAGTCGAGGTTGCTCAGCTCCCCTCACAAGCGTTCTCGGTCGCGAACCAACGGAGTTGCATCGGGAAGCCAGGCGAGCATCTTACTCCAGCAATCACAGACCATGCGTGACCTGGAGGTCCTTATTCTGGCATTAGACGCTCTGGAGAGATATGCCATTATCTATGAAAAACTAGAAAAGTATGTCATGACAATCTATGAATGGGTTTGCGTTGTACTTACCACTGGCGCAGCAACAAACGGCGGCGTGATTCGGGTATGCTCAAGGACCTGAGAGAAGGGCTACAGGAAGCCCTAGATGACACTAGCGTCCAAATCGATGTCATGTTGGACGAGTGGCTGGTCAACTACGAGAATGGTAAGCAACCCTGTCTGCTTGGGGTTGAGTGTATCAATACTGACATGGTCAATATAGAAGCCGAGAAGGAGGAGTTGGAGGAGATTCGTAACACCTACATTCCCGAAGTGTTCCTCGATTACCACAACACGATGTATTTCTCGGCTCATGTGCTCAGCAGCGAGCTCTTGGTGCAGTGCATGAACTTGGCAACCCAGGTGGCCGAAGTGGAGCATCTGACGAGCAGCTTCGTTGCGGCCCGCCGCGTTGGAGAGCTGATGAACGCGTTGGCAGTGTCCAGCAAATCCATGGTGAACACACACGCGAAGCCCGGCGTCAGGCTACTGGGAGGCGAGTCGTTGGGGATCTGGGCCCCGCAGGTGTCTGACGAGGAGAATGACACGACCCAGGAGCAATGAAGCGTGTATTTGAACTAACGATGGTGGACCGGCGTGTATATTACCCTCATGTTTCTCGTTTTCTATGACTTTACCCAATTTCTTCTGGCTGGAAGGATTGTGGGCATCTTGCATGTACAAGGGTCGGAGGGATGATCATATCCGGCGCATTTCCAGGATTTACATCGATCTGAAAATAAAGAAATCTAACTGTATGGATTAATCAGAGGGGTTTAGGTCAAACTTAGCGAACTGCGTTTTTCAGTGGAGAACTAGCAGATTCGAATAAAGCGAATACTACGCCAAGTAGAGGCTGGCCTGATAAAAACGTGCGGTCTAATAGAAAGGACACAGCACGTCCTGACGAAAAAGGTGAATAAATGCTGATTTTTGCAATCATTGCACTAGATACTATGATGATAAGCATCAGGTTGTTGGGATAGTGTATATATAATTTGTGGCTCCTTCGAAGTCAACTAAATTGTCATATCCTCAAATAGACCCTGTCCAAGTGAATCCAATCTGTAGTCAATAAAAAATCGTTCAAATATTACCATAGCGGAACTTTCCCAATAAAAAGACACCATGAAACTGAATTTGTGAAGTCGTGAATTCAGATCCAGTGACGTTAGACTCAAAAATGGATGCTTCCTTCAAATTCATCCTCGTTCGGATTCTCGTTCAATTGCCAGTGTGTTATAAATAGTATTTATATAGTCTGCACATCTTATCAATTCTGATCACCTTTCAACACCCCTTCTGTTCCTATTGGATTATTTTTTCTCCCTCGGTTTATCCCATCTCCAAGTCGTTCTACCATGGATACTACTGAGACGTGGTGGGCGAACCTCACCATGGAGGAGCGGGAAGAGTATTATGAAAAAGGAAGCAGAGGAACGACGAAATCTCGTTCAAGGCAATAATAAATATCATCTATGAGAAAGGGGATAGATACCAGAGTGGTCGAGTCCACGACAGGGGCCGGCCGGCAGACTAGTCGCTGTTAATATCAAGTATTTCTATACAATACATTCCGGCGAACCGAAGCTGCAATGATGCATGCAGTATGCCCATGAGAATGGATGGCATTCTCGCACCTCGAGTACGTGCTGGGATGCTGGGATGTGGGAGACATAGATACGGTCTTGGTGAGTGATCGCGTACCTGGCCTGTCGCTTGATAAGATCTGGCATAATTTGGACGACTCGCAAAAGAAGGGGATTGAGGGTCAGTTGAGAGAGCAGGTGAGTTAAGCTAAGCTGATCGTAAAGTCTCTGGTCCAGTGTCTTGTCTTATTCTAACTTCGGGCGGTTTAAATTAAAAAAAAAAAAAAAAAAAAAAAAAAAAAAAAAAAAAAGATACTGAAGATGCGGGAACTCACTCAACCGTATATTGATTGGTCACATTGGCAATGAACCGGCGAGCGATGTCTTCGACTGTTATTGGCGTCAGAGGAGCATGGGACCCTTCGCCTCGGAAAAGTTGTTTGATGACTGGGCGTTGAAGAAAATACAGTGTCCTGTTTCGAGGGTGTTTTGGGATTGCTGCGTACCCTAAATGAGGGATGACAATATGGAGGAGGAGCCTTCACGGTTTGTCTTGACCCATGGCCATCTCGTCGCTGATAATATCACGGTAAAGCATGGCCGGATTACTGGTATTGTGGGGTGGAGATGCAGTGCATTTCTCCCTGGATATATGGAATATGCTATGGCCACGGTCATTCATCGTAAATGTACCCAGGACTGGTGGCTTCCCGTGTTGAAAAGGGTTTTGGGACCGCCGGATTACCTTCGGTGTGGGTTTGTCGCTGCGGCTCGTGTTAAGGGGTTTAAATAGTGACTATTTAGTTGTTCTTCTGGTTAACGATGGGTTATCTGGTGTACTTCGGTAAATGTAGTATCTCTTGATGTTACCCTGAGAGGACTCGCTCTAGGAATACTAGTCTGCGTAGATATCACACAATTTAGCAGTTAGGATCTGATTAACTAGAACTCCTTTCTTTTCTCGCCAGTTATAAGACTAATGTCGTTCTTGAATATAGTACTACTAATCAGTCATCCGACCAGCAGTGTATACTATATATCACTATCCTACCTTGTCAACACATCTACACAACCCCCAACAGCCCAACTTACAATACAATCTCCTCCTTCCTCCTCCGAACAGACACCTTTGCCACCGGATCCGCCTGCCATATGAACCCATACTTCCTCACCGTCGGGCTCCACCCATCAGCCACCTTGAAATCATACTCTAAAAGAACATGACACAGAATGATCTTATTCAAAGCAATCGCAAAGAAACGTCCAGGACAAGCATGCTTCCCCAACCCGAACCCCAGATGCTGAGGCGAAGTCGAAACTGCCTGCGCCGCAGTTTCAAGACCGGGTGTCTCGCGCATCTTCAGAAATCGGTATGCGTCGAATGTCTCCGGCTCTGGATAGATGGTAGGGTCCCACATGGACTCGCTGGCGAGAACTGAGATTGTGCCTTTGGGGAGGACGGTTCCGTCGGAGAGGGTCACGTCTTCTTGTGCGAAGCGTCTCATTCCCGCTGTTGTGGTTGTGTTAGGTGAATTCTCGGTTGTGTGTAAGGGTTGGTGGTGGGGAGAAAGCTTGCCTATACTGTGCGGCTTAAGCCGTTGACTCTCTTTCAACACGCTATCCATGAGCTTCAAGTCGTTGAACGTCGATTTTGTCCATCCGTCGTTTTGCAGAACTGTGATTATTTCGTTTCGTAGCGCCTTAATAACATCCTCCCGTCCAGCAAGGTAGAAGATCATCTGTGTGAGCAGGTCCGATGTAGTATGTATAGCGGCAAGTGAGAGTGCTACCTGAGCAAGAGTCGGGTCGTAAGGTCTACCCTTTGCGCATTCCTCCATCCATTGCATCGCGTCCTCGTAGTGTTCGGGCTCCTTTCCTTGACGGATGGCTTCTCGCTTGGCGGACCGTCTTTCTTCGACGACGGGAGTGATGATGCCTTCAGCTTCCTTAATTTCGTTGCGTATCTTACGGCAGAATGGTAGGATGTATGCCACATAGGGTCTGGTGCAGCGCGGGAACATTCGGAGAAATAGAGCGGACAGGAAGGTGTGAACGGCATAGTCGACTGTGACTCGATGCCAGTCCGGATTGCGATATAGTTTCTCCCCGAGGAATACCCTTGATGTCAGTCTGGAGATTAGACTAGCCACATTCGGCTTCAATTGTAAATCATGCCAATCTGGTGGTGACATGTTATTAACATCATTGTAGGGCAAGTGAATATATCGCGAATCACTGAGCTTACTGGGATCATCTGTGAACATCTCTCCTAGCGCACGACGAGTATCTTCAGACAAAGGCCGAGCCAACTTATCTACCAGACATGACGGTTAGAATGTGTTTGACTAGGTCGATTGTGTGTAGACATGATATACTCACCCAAACTCGGTGTCAGTTTCGTGCGTAGAACATCTTTCACAAGAGCCGGATCCTGGTTGAAAGGGTCAAACCCTCGGATATGAGCATGAAATTCTTCCGCAATAGCATCCAATAAGCTTAATGCGGGATGAGTACGAAAGTCATCTGCATGCTTGGGGGCTAGCACGATCTTTGGCCCGAATTCCGAGTAGAGATAAAAAGCGCTGCCCTGGTAGACAACTCATCAATACGTATGGTTCGGAAGTAGAGTTTAGAGGGGCATACCTGACTGAATCCAGTTCTGATTAAGCCATGTGCATTTTTGAAAAACCGTTTAAGGGAGCCGAGGCTTCCGATTTCGAACCGTTGCCTCTGATTAATTACAGGAAGGGGTGTCTTAAGGGACGGGGTGCTTAGAAGCCAGAAGATAATCGCTGCTAGGACGGGAGCCCAGATCCATGTTGTTGACTCCAGCTTGACTAGGAATGATATAGTATTGATAGTAAACATGGTGTGTGCTAGAGTACCAAGGGATTTGATATTGTAGAACCAGTAGGGGTGATCATGAAAATCATCTGAAGGAGCGCAGGCCGACTTGGGGTGTTATGCGTGCCTAGAATGTCATACTGGAGGCTGTATAATTCCGCTCGACTTCGAAGTAAACAGGCGAAGGTGCGGAGACTGAGACCGGGATTTGCTACGTTTTAATACCCAATATCATCTCCGATGCGTGCCATCGGACTTGTCAGACTAAGAAAGCGGGATTGACTAGTTGCAGCTGCTAATGCAAGGACTACTGCAATAGAGTACGGATGCTGGAGAATGTGGTTGGCCGACTGGCTGGCTGGCTAGTCGTACATTAGGAATGAAGGGAGAGCGGTACAGCCACGCTATAACCTACAATGCTTTGGGGCCTGCATGAGGGAAGTCTCAGCATTAAGCATGGCCAGCATTGATAAGCCTGCGGAAGGAATATGAGGATGGACGAATGAACAAATGAATTCAATAGAATGAATCGGATCTGGATGTTTCGAAAATCCACCTTTTAATGTGCCCAGCCTCTCTACTCGTGGGTGCTGAAAGGCCTATACAGCATCAGGATATTGCATCGCAGAAAACCCACCAGGTGCGGCTGAAGGGGCCCACAGTAGCCCAATCTGCAGAATCGGGATAGTGATGCTAGGATAATTATCCCATCAGCTGATGGAAGAAGTCATCTCATGATGAGTTAAGCCCGTCATAAGCATCAAGCAGCCGCCTAAGCTTGGGATGGATCAATCCAAAGCCAGCACGCTTTGCCAGAGTTAACATGGGAAGAGGAATCTAGAACAGTCAGCATCGACTGTAAGTAAAATGGATAAATCAGGTGACCTGTCCGACTCACCGCTCCACTCTAATCTGGGCCAATCAGAAACATTGAAATGACAGGGCGTGGTTTCTCTGCCTGGGGCACCCAGCATCCATGCCCGCACTAGTCGGACTATTAGTAGTCGAGCTAACAACACACTTACCAAGAAGGAAGAGGCCTTTCTCCCAATAATGATCTCCCTCCTCAGAGTGTTGCCGAGTGATCCAACGGACAGGCTCTCATCCTTTGCTTGTTACATGCAAATTCAGTGAAGGTGCATGGCAAGGTGTCACTGCCAGTATGCACTGTAGAGATGAACAACCCTCCAAAGCGTGTCTCCGCACATAGCCAGCCAACATGAGAAGACAAAGAGCATTCACCCATAGATCCAGAAATGGATGTCGCACCTGTCGGTCAGTCTTCATCACTCAATATCCTACTACTCCACTTCCGCATCTGATTACAAGCGTCAACATCAAGACTAGGCTCCTGATCCTAGGGTAAGCAGCTAATCTCCCAGTCCGTGCACGCAGGTCCCGCCATATCAAATGTGATGAAACCCCAAATGCATGCCGCAACTGCACTTCCACAGGGCGCAAATGCGACGGGTACACTCAATATCGACTACCCTCTCGTAAGGTGACACTACCAGTCTCCAAACCATCAAAGAGCCTCATCCTCTGTCTCCCTGGACTGGATTCCGATGAGCGTCGATGTCTCCAGTTCTTCGAGCACAACACCATCCCCATGCTAGTGGGGTATGCGGACTCGGAAGTATGGCAACGTCTCGTACTACAAATGTGTCATCGAGAACCCGCCGTCTGCCACGCAGTAGTCGCGCTCAGTGCCTTTCATGAAGACTACGAACGGAGCATCAAAGCTCTGAAATCAAAACCCGATCACCGCCATCACCACTTTGCATTGGAACAATACAATCGCTCCATGGCAATGTTGCGCCGGCGCATCCAATCCAATGGCCCCCAAGTCCGTGGCATCACACTCATGTGCTGTATCACCTTCATCATCCTCGAACTCCTCGAGGGGGACTACACCAACGCCTTCTCCCATCTCCAACAAGGCCTCAACATCCTGAAAACCCAATCAACCCACCACGCACTAACCACCGAGCGCATCCTCGCCAAAGCCTTCCTGCAGCTCAACACCCCGCGAGCCTACTGGAATGGCCCTGACGTCGTCGTAACCGGCCACCCTCCCAAGGGCAGCGTGCGGGAAGTAGCATACGAAGTCACGCCAATCCACAACATCGCCGAAGCAAAAGATCGTCTACGCGTACTAATGAACAACATCTTCCACCTCCAATCTCTCTGCAACCTCTTCTTCCGCGGCGAACAAGACCCAAATCTCAACACTCTAACCCTCTCCGCAAAACAAACCGCCCTCCACCACGACCTAACAGACTTCACCCTCGACCTCAAATCATTCATCTCGTCCCACGAATCCAACACTGCCTGGACGTTACGAGAAACCCGCAGCGTGGACGTCATCCTCACACACGTAGCAACCCTAACCAGCATGCTCGGCTGTTCCCTAGACACGACGGAACTAGGTTACGACAACTTCCTACCCGAGTTCAAGCGCATCAACGACCTCTGTGAACGAATCATAGCCACCTTCGTGACTGAATACGGGAGTTACGAGAACCTCCCCACCATGGTCACTGATATCGGTGTCCTACCATCGTTGTTCTGGTGCTGTGTGAGGTGTCGGGATGCAGAGACCAGAGAACGAGCGCTTCAATTGCTGAAGGTGTGGCCCCATCGCGAGGGGTTTTATGATTCGTATCTGATAGTGAATATTTGTCGAGGATTGATTGACCTTGAGGATGAGGGAAGAGATGCTAAAGGGTTTATCCCGAGAAAGTATCGTGTGTATACGCATACGATTGAAGTTGCGGAGGATCGGAGGAGTATGATTATAAGGTATGTGATGGCTGGTGGTGAAGGTGGGGAGCAGGAGAGGATGGTGGTGCTTGAGTAGTAGTTATAGATAAATAGTACATAAAAGGTACAGTTCATCGCCGCTAGTATGCTTACAGATAGTAGAGAAATAGTATATAAAAACCCCCCGTGCTGATACTATAAGAGAAACAAAATGCCCTACCCTACTACACCGGTTATCTGTTATCAAGAGTACTTAGTACTTTGTATACCGTACGTATCATTGACAGGGACAAGAACGAAGGAGGACGGAACAGGCTGCTGCTCTATTAGCAACAGTTTCACTAATGACACATTTAGTACCTAAGTCCTACTTACTAGATACTACTACCTAGACCCATGACACTTCGTCTTACCTGGTATCACAATATGCATACTACGCAGCTACTAATGTAGTATCACCCTCGCTTCATCTGTTGTCCTACCATCCATCTCCATAGTATGCTGTGTATTAGATTTACGTTGCCTGAGTAGGACGAAATTAAGAACTAATACTAGAACTAAAACTACTAGTAGTACCTAATGTGTGAGCCTTTACTACTTCGGACACACACTTACTTATAAATATATTCCTCCCAATCCAGATCCCCTTCTCATAAAATCCACCACCATAGTCACGTCATCATAGTCCGGCACCCAGCCAGTTGGAAATCACATTCTTTTTCTTCGTACACGAACAACAATAGTGGTAGTAGCATAACAATGGGTATGTCTCAAACAATAATAAAACTAATAAGCAGAAATAAAGTGTCGTCGTTCATATGGTGGAAAGAACTCGTTAAGAAATCATCATTTCCCGGTTTTTGTCTGTGGTGCCAGCCCTGGAGCTATTTCATCTCCGATTCATTTGCTCTTTGGTTTTCATCTCAGATGGTTGGTTGTATCTACAGTCCCGTGTTGGCGCAGGAGAAAGGAGTGCCGACGGTTCCTTCTCGGTAGCTGATGATGACGCTATCAATGGAGGCCTAGGGGTTCTGTTAGTTGCGGCTTCTTTTGTATCAGGGGAGAATAAGGAAGACATACATAAGTTCCTGGTCCTAAGAAAAAGAAACCAGCGAAGATAAGAGTAACATTGAGAATCGCGCCCAGCCAGCCGCGGATACCACGGTTCTTGTAGAAATTGGGTCCATAGTCTTCCCGGCGCATGCGCAGGTAGGCCGTACCCCAGAAGATGAAGCCGAAGAATGAATCGAAGAGGGAGCTCATGATCGACTCCAGGTCGGAAAAGAAGGGAATCACCTCGGCGATGATGAAGGCGAGGATCCAAAGGATGGTGAGGATGCCAGTCCAGGCGGCCCATCCGAGCACGGTGTGGTTACCCTTGTGGCGGGTGCCATCGAACAAGCGGAAGAAAATGAAACGCGCTGACACGGAGGCATACAGCACGCCGAGGAAAACCAACGTCGGAATCATGAACGAGAAGGACACTTTCTTGTATACCTCGTTACCCAGAGAGCCGAATGCCGGCGACGTGATGTACTGGTTACCGGTGTAGGCGTACACGATAGAGCCGACCAAGCTGAACACGATGATCTCGGCAATGGTGACGGCGGTGACAGACTTCCAGAAGTCCTTGGGCTCCTTCATCTCCGCAATAAAACTTGGCAGCGTGATCTGACCGATGAAGGTGTAGCTGATATTGAGAAAGGCGCTCATTCCTGAGACAAAGGTCGTTCCGGGCACAGGGATCGCTTTCACAATGGGGTCTCCCTTCTCCGGGGTATAGCCCGCGGGATGGTCCTCGATGGCGGAGAAGATGAGGGCTAACATGACGGAGATGAATGTGGTAAAAGCCGACAGGGTAGCCACCTTGGATAGGGCGCTAAAGGTGCGTGGAAGTGAGCAGATCAGCGAGATAATAGCCGTGACCAGTGAGAACACGATGGTGCAGGCTCCATGACCACTGATGGTATTGAGGTACTCGGCGCCGACCAAGCAATGCAAGCCCTAATCCAGGTCAGCGCTATAAATAACTTCTCAAGCAAAAGAAAAATACCTGAATGAATGTGTTGTTCAACAAGAACATCACCGCAGTCAGGTACCACACAACTTTGGAGTCCCAGAAGATCATTTGGCCGATGTCGCACACGTCACGGACATGTGGGTGTCGCAGACAGAACTTCCTACACGATATGAGCGGTTTTCCTCCCAAGCGATGCGACGACGGAAAACATACCAAATGACCAGCGAAGTATAAAGCACAATCATGGCGATGACGACGGTGAGGATCAATCCCGGGACCAAGCCGAGAACGGAATAGGACCATGGAAACGACATGATAGCCAGACAGATATACTCGGAGAACAGGAGGGCGGCCGTCTAATGAAACATAAGTCTGTGGTCAGTCATTGCAACTCTGCGCGCATCGCACGCGTACGCTGCTTTGAAGCGGGTTGTAGTACATACCTTCTGCCAGCTACAGGTACGGTACTTAATTGAATTCTCCGATTCCATTTCAATCTGTCGACCGATTTCCCCCTCCGTGTCTGAGCCAGAGCCCACCTGCTGTTTCTGATTTTCCAGATCCATCTGCTTCAACTTATCTGCTGCACTGGCATTGTCGGAGACAGACGACCGACGGGAAACGACGGGCTTGAAAGTGTTGGACTCCGCCATTTTATCGAGCGGACAAGCCGCAGGTGGTAGGAAGCGATGAAGCTAAAGGAAGAAGAGACACTAAATGTCTTTGGATGCATGTACTGCGCCTTAAGATGCGACAAAATAGAACGACTCCAAATCACTGAAGTAGATCGTTTAAGGATAGCTCTGGAATGATCAGAGGTGACAGATGGTAATCAGGAATTGCCTTAGCGAAGACCGGCAGCGAGTGAAGGGGAATTAACGAGGCGAGTGACGGAAGGTGAGAGAAGAGCGAACAGGAAGAACGGAGGAAGGATCTAACATCTTTTTAGCTGTCAGGTTCAGGCTAGAGAAGAATATCACTGGCGAAGGCACGTGCGGGCAACCTAGTACTTACTGGAGATAACCGTGAGGCAGATCGACACTACAAGACCGGGGGGGGTTGCGATATGCGCGACAAAGAATCACAAAATCACCCAAGGTAATAATATAGATTGAAAAATTGAAAAATGACGTGCTAAGCTTGTGAACACGAGCAGATTGAAAGAAAATGAGCGAAAAAGTACCGCTGAGGCAAAAGGGAAAAAGAAATTCAAGCAAAAGAGATTTAATCTGGATGCGCTTATTTCCTTAACCTGGACTGCCCTGGAAAGCTGGGTTCTCCCAAAGCGCGCGCCGGATGGGTTTTAGTTGCCTAGCACCGGTGATTTCTGCGCACCCCAAGACTATCTGGACAAAATGCAAACCCACCGGGAGAGGCGATTTAATTTACGATTTTATTTATTTAAACTGGGGAACAGATTACAACCAGAGCAGCGGTCGCTGATTGCGAATCGAGGGCTCGGAGATCCAATGACCGGCGTGCAATGCAGCCGGTCAGTCCGACTGTCCGGAATGGCCGATGACAACATCTACTTCGTATGACGTCCTCCAGCGGGATTGACCACCGGTGCATCTTTACTACCACTAGTAGAGTCTGGTAGGTTACTGGGACAAACCTAAGCAGAAGCAGTATTAGATTTTGGTCCAGGGACAAGATACTCGAGGTCTCTTGTGTCCCCTTCCAAGTTACTATAGTAATGAATCATTCTCCCCCATCTATCCTGACCATCATTACCTTCACTACAAAGTAGCTAATAGATAACTCACTCCACCTCCGTAAAGCTCGACTCGGCTAAGAACAGCAATGCCGCGTTCAGACCCCACCCCAATCAGTCCCCACCGCCCATTGGTCCGTTCCCGGTACAACCTTTGCCTGTTTCCCCAGCCAATCAGCAATTTGTCCAATGTCCGCGGCGGAACCGCCCGATCCAGAACTGCCCCGCATCCGTCCTGAGCTTTTTTCCTCTTTTCTCTTTTTGACGGAAAACCCCTCTTGCAGAGAATTTCCGCTCCAAGAAGTAGGAAGGAAGTGAAGGAACAAAATGGAACCATTTGTTGCTACCTTATCCCGATCCATACATTCCCCCCCCCATCAGCTTCTGAAAATTAAGTTGCACTAAGCAAACGATGTTGTGTGGCATGACCAAAGCTACGCCTCTCTCTTATGCATGAATGATAAGTACCAAGCATAAATCCCCCCCGGTCATACGACGACAACGCATGGCTTCGATAACTTTTCCATGACCCTTGTTCGAATATCGTATGGAGATCTTCTTACTGGTTTTCCCTTGTGCATGGATCCATGCATTCGCATTCCTTCGATGGCAAAAAACATGAAAAAGAAACTAAGCTAACTGAAAAGGTTCGGTTGGGAAGGAAGAAAATTCAAACAGATGAATGAAAAAAAGCCGCCACTGCCAGTAAATATCTGACACTGCTTATATTATTATTTTCTGCTTCTTTTCAAGCCTTGTCGAGCACGCTATGCGCTAGTAGATGGCGTGATAAGCCACTTCTCCACGTGCCTGGGGATTGACTGGTGGGATTACTTACTTTGTTGGGTAAGGAGCAGTAGTTAACTGAACCATGTGCCTTATGCGCGTATGCACGCTCAGCACTAGTACTGCAGGGAGATCTCACCAACATATAACCTTTTGTTCTTTTCTTTAGCCTGAGCCTTTTTTTTTTTTTGTGCTTGGTATGTAAGGTAGTGTAGTGTAGCTACTATGTAGCTTCCGCGTGCAAATTTCAATAATATTATATACGCTATAAACCTCGCTGTACTTAATAGTAAGCCTGCTTCTGTATCATCATCGCAACCAAGATAGAAGAACATGGCTATAAAATAACCCGGAAACAACCCCCCATAACACAACACGGCAACTCTGCCGAGTCGACAAAGTCTCTCTTCTCAAGGTATGCACGCCTTACACCAGACGCTAAGGCTGACACTAGTCTTACGCCTCCAGCAGTCTTGTGTCTGTCCACAATCTAGACTAGTCCTCCAATCTATCTGGGATAACGGCTGGCTTGATCTCTAGTGGCGCCGCTTTTACGCCACTTCTTACGGCGGGAGCGATTGATGGAACCTTATCGGCAGCTAGTAGCTATCAGTTATAGCTGGCTGGTTGAGGATGTAGCTCTCTATGGGATGGTTGGTTTTTATTGTGTGTAATTTGATGGTACTATTAGTATATATGTATTCTTCTTGACAATATTGCACGGCGCAAAGTCTCGGAGAATGAATCCGAGTCTTTGGACTGTCTCTATCGCTGGGTCAGGGGTTGCTGGCGCAAGGGGGATCTGGAGTGGGAATGGAATGGAATGGAAGCCATTATGGCGGCCCGTACCATATTTGCATACTACTTTATTGAGTAGTGTGTTGGTGGTATGTTTAAAGTAAGGGGTATTTATTGGGTTCTATTGCACTTTACTGTAGCTACAGTGCTGTATATACCTGGATTACGATGGAAGATAGACTCCGAACCAAGTGCATGCTTTTGTGGTATACTGCAATAGATAGCATATCAGGGTAGTAACTACAAGCTCCGAATTCACATTCCCTCGTCCTCCCCGGCCAGCAGGGCCGCATAGTCGTCCGCAGAAGCAAATGTCGGCAGGTGCTTGAGCTTGCGCCGCTTCTTCCGGTCAGACTGCTTGTCATCCTTCGGAGGCTCCTCAACCGCTGCGAGTTCCACGTCAGAGGGCAGTTCCTCGTCACTGTCAACGAAGGCCTCGTCGTCTGAAACGTCCATGTCGAATGCATCCTCGTCGTCGGATGGCTCTTCCTCCTTGGCGGCCTTGCCCTTCTTAGCCTTGGGCTTGGTGGCAGGCTGCTCCTCTTCGATGTCCTCCATCTCGTCGTCCGAGTCGAGATTGAGTTCGACTTCGCTGTCACCGCCTTCTTCGTCTTCATCGTCAGACTTGTCGTAAGCGGATTCGAGGTCGTCCATGTCGAGATCGTCGTCGTCGCTGCCTGCTTCCAGATCGGGACGGGAATCAACCAACGCCTTCCAGATCTCGGACTCGGCGCCGCTGAGTTCGGCATCCTCCTCGTCTTCGTCGACCGCATTCTTGGCCTTCTTGGACTTGTCCTTGTCTTGACCCTTTCCAATGCGGTTGAAGTATTCGTGGAAGAAGACATCTTCCGCTGCAACTTCCTCGGACTTCTTCTTCCAGAAGGCCTCCGAGTTGAGAGGCAGCTGCTGGATCGACTTGCCGCCCGCGACCAACCGATCCTTGGCCTCGCTGCCTGCCAGAGGTTGCATGATGGATGAACCACGGGTGAGCGCAGACGCCTTGGGGGTCCGGTAGACGAAGCGGTCGAGGAAGTGTGACAACGTGTGCAATGTGAGATCGGGCTGTCCGGACATTGGCTTGTGGTCGAGCAGATGAGCCGCGTTCACTGACACGGACGGGTGGAAGTGAGACTGGTAAGGCAGCTATGATACCTTATTAGCGCGTGACAGCATTTCATTAGCAGATTAAACTTACCAGTTCCCACAGACATGTCCGGTCGGCATTGCTGTGGCCGGGGTCTCTCTTGCGGGGGTCGTATTGAGTCGACGGCTTCTCCGGCTTCTGTGTGACCTCTGGCTGCTCCTGAGGCTCGTCATCCTCATCAGGAACATCGCGGAACACCTCCTCGTCATCACTGTCGTTCTCTTCCGGCTGATCGAACAAGGAAGCGAGATCGGGGAATGTCTTCTCCAATTCACGGATCAGGTAGAAGACACCACAGATGAAAGCGGGCTGATGCAACCCGAGAACCTGAACGATACGCTTCACGAACGCCTTCACACGGCGAGTGTTCAGGTCGTTCTTCAAGGCCTTGAACAGAAGGTTGAGGTAGAGCGACTGCTTAGAGGATGTAGCAACCCGAGGGTCGAGAAGAGACTCGTATAACGTGCGGTAGAAGCGATCAGCACCAACCTGGTGAGTCGAGGTTATCTGCTGGATCAGCATGAGCGCCTGGATACTGGTGTTGAAGTTGGCGGAGTGTGTGATGCGGAAGAGAGTATCGATGTGCTTGGAGAGTCTAATGACGGATTAGTGATATATAGAAAGGAAGGATATGCGAAACGTACCGTTCACTATCCGAGCTGGTAAACGGGTAGGCTCGGTTGACACCAGTCAGAACTGCAGAGGTCAGTTTATCCCGCACCTCTTCAGTCTGAGCCAGACCCTTATCAGCGTCCTCCTTCCCCTTGTTCTTGTTGTGCTTGTTGCCATACTTTCCATTCTTCTTGCCCTTTGGCTCCTTGTTAGGCCTCAAGAGAGCAACAAAGATGGAGAAATAGATGTCGAGCAACTTCCGGGCAACGGTCTCCTCCTTGACACTCAAGACCGTCTGGTTCAGCGTGATAACTGCATAGTATTTGGCGTGTTGACTCTGACCAGGACGGAAAAGAACTTCCTCGACGGCGGCGATGATGGTGGGCTTCATCAGAGGGTGCGCCTGTTCAAGTTGCAACAAGAGGTAAGATGCCCGCGAAGCAATCTTCTTCGAAGTATCTCCCAATTTGTTGACTAACAGTCGCAAAAGGTTCGTTTCCTGCTCCGGCTTCTCCTTGAGCAATTCATAAACGTAACTGACAGCTCTGGAGCGAGAGAACTCAATCTCGTCATTACACCAGACTTCAAGGATCTTAAGGACTTCAAAGAATTGATCCTTCAAGAAGTGCTCGTACGCCCAGACAATCAAGTGGCTCTTCTGAAGCCCTCCAGGGAGAGGGTCTCCTTCGGACCACTTGCTGCCTGCGCCTTGCAACGCAGCAATAAGAGACGGCTGGTTGGCAAAAGCCCGGAGTCTCCTGTCGCTAGGAAGTAGTGTTCCTTGAGCGAACATATCCTTGAGCGATCTCAAGACTTCCACGGCCTGAGCACGACTGCGCTTCTTTCCAAGGGCAATGAGGTTTTCCATTGCCTTTGTGTTGTGAAGAGGCGATTCCTGTACAGCAAGAGTCAAGGCAGAGGTCTTATCGCTAAGCGTACCGGTAGACATGATCGTGCTGTAGAACTTGTGGGATGAAGAGGCAGATGCTTGCTGCGCTTCCGCGTACATCTTGTTTTCCTTCTCGAGGAGGGAGACGGCGTAATCGTAGAACCGATCCACCACATGGCGAGGCAGAGACTTCGCTTGTGCTGTCGGTATAGAGGGCAATTCCGTCATGTACCAATCGGATCTGGGTCGAACAGACTAAGGGCTACATTAGAAGGATATATGTGGATTGGGCTGGTTATACTCACGAGTTTGGCGAACTCCTTGGGGAAGACAACTTCGGCGGTAGGTTCCTTGTTGGCTTTCTCTTTCTTGGCGGGTTCTTTGCTCTCCTTCGCGGCGGGAGCAGGAGCTGGCTCCTCATCCTCTGACGGTTCCTCATCCTCGTCATCCTCGACTTCTTCCTCGTCATCCTCTTCGCCATCATCTTCCTCGCTTGCTTCTTCCTCCTCGGCTTCCTCTTCCTCCACCTCGTCGTCCTCTAGGTCGTCAGGGACAACCTGACCGGCCGCTGCCAGAATACTCGACAGTTCCTTCCGGAGCGAAGCGTCGTCGGACTTGCCCTTGGATTTCTTCTCTGTAGCATCTTCAACTTCAGAGTCCGAGCCAACCCCGGCGATGAGATCCAAGTCTTCCTCCGTGCCTCCGAGGGCCAAAATCTCCTGCCGCAAAACATCGTCCTGGTTCTCCTTCGATGCCGGCTTCTTATCCTTCGAAACAACCTTGTCCTCCCTCGCGATCACCTCACCATTGCGGTCCCGCTTCTTGCCTTTGTTGTTCTTGTCGTTGTTGAACGCTTGCTTCGGCTGGGGCTTGGGTGCAGGTTCTTTCTTCTGTGGCGTATCACTGGGACCCGACTTTCCCTTGTTGTTCTTGGGCTTCTGCTTCGAGGCGCTCTGGTCCTTCAGTCGCTGTTCGATCTTCTGTCGCAAGCCGGCAAATGCACTTTCCTCTAGTTGTGGAAGGGCATCAGGACCGGGGGCGGAGTCGTTAACTGCGACACCACCGTCGGGGATGATATCGTTTGCTCCGGAGGAGCGCTTCCCCTTACTTTTGGCCATGACGATAGTTTTACGGCCAAATGTAGACTTGATGATGGGGATTTGCATCTACTTTTTTTCTGCCGCCAAAAAATTGAGGAGAGCCGCCAGGCCGCCGGAGAAACGGCGGGCCGAGACCCATGGGTCTGCGCACGGTCCATCCGAAGTTGTCGAGTTTCGCATGTTTGCGATCTATTTACTTGCGATTGATCTGGCTTGGTTATGGTGTCATCCATTGGTTTGGATGAACATTACTGCCAAGTACTGAGGGGCTGTCCTGATCGTCCGGCCTCATGATTTCCGGGTTTCGCCCGGTTCCGGGCCGTTATTCCGCAACATGTCGAGCATACTTTGGCATTGCTCGATTCCATAGAACATCAAAATGCGCCTTTCATGTAGATGCTCTAATTCACTCTAAACCCAGCAGTCCCACTGACTATTCTCTAGGTAGATGGGCGCAGTCGGGTGTCTAATTTCTGGATCCCGACGGGCGGTATTACCAAAAAGCCCGTCCAGGGTGAGAAAGGTATTGATTATGGCCATCCATCGCAATGTTGACCGCTTCTAATGTTGCTCAGAGGATGCCAATGACCTCTTGATCCGAGGTGGCTTTTTGCGACAGGTGAGTGTCATCCCCAATTTGATGGATATAGTTCTAACTCAAATCTAGGCTTACTCGGGAATATTCCATATGCTACCACTGGGACTGCGTGTGCAAGATAAGCTGGAGCGTCTCATTGACAAGCATATGCGAACAGTCGGTATGTATACAATAGGCCCGCAGTTATAGAGTTCTTCCTTATCATGTGGATCAATGCAGGCGCATCTAAGGTGTCATTATCATCTCTATCCGCCCAGGAACTTTGGGAGCATTCTGGGCGTCTCAAGGAGGGCTCGGAGGTATGAATTTCGCTGTGTAGTCATCGATTTTTTGCTAATATCTGTCTCAGATCTTTCGCTTTCAGGATCGGAAAGAGTCCCGCTTTCTTCTTGCCCCAACTCATGAAGAAGAAATCACCACTCTGGTAGGACATCTTACCAAATCTTATAGAGATCTGCCTGTGCGAGTGTACCAAATATGTGAGTATATCATCCACAGCTGAGAACAACAGCTTACATCAACCTAGCAAGGAAATACCGAGATGAACAACGTCCCAGACAGGGCTTACTTCGTGGGCGTGAATTCATCATGAAGGATCTCTACACTTTTGACTACAACGTTGAGAATGCCCTGAAGACGTACACGGCTGTTAAGAAGGCTTACACAGAGCTCTTTGATGAGCTCAAGATCCCTTATCTGGTTGCTGCTGCGGATTCTGGGAACATGGGCGGCAGCCTAAGTCACGAGTTCCACTTTGCTAGCAACAAGGGCGAGGACACGGTTATCAGTTGTTCCAGCTGCGATAGTGTCTACAATGAGGAGCTTGCCGACGGCAAGGCTCATAATATCGACGACCAGCAGGTCCAAGTCGGTCACGCATCCGGCTTTGACATCGGTGAAGTTTCCAACGAATCAGCGAAAGCTGTTTCTGTTGGCCTGTGGATGGCGATATCACACGACAAAAACACACTGCTGCGCTGCTGGTATCCGCAGTATACCTTGAAGGACCCTAGTGAACCGCCAGCTGAAAGGGAAGTCAACTCCCATGCCGTCAAATCTATAGCCAAGGCAGCCGGCATAGACCTCGATATCAGTATTGAGAACCCCCTGGAACAATGGGCGACTCACATTCAGTCAGAGGAGGCTTCCAGCCAGCGGCCCCGAGTGTTGGATGTGTATGACTCATACGTACGGGCATACAAGCGCCCTCCCTTGACGGACACACTGGACGGGATCAACCGTGCGGTGGAGGATATTGACTTTTCAAAACTCGATCGCTTCCCAGGAACCAACAACTATCTCAACCTTGTACGGGTGCACGAAGGCGACCAGTGCTCGAAATGTGGCCAAGGTCTGACAAAGACCCACAAAGCCACCGAACTTGGTCACACGTTCCACCTTGGCACGCGATACAGCGATGTCCTCCAGGCTTCTGTGGTGGTTGACCGCGCTCACCTCGACGCAGGCGACCGTTCATCGTCTCAAAAAGACCAGTTGGTCCCAATGCAAATGGGCTGTCACGGTATCGGAGTATCGCGCATGATCAGCGCGGTAGCAGACAACCTGGCAGATTCCAAGGGACTCAACTGGCCCCGGGCGATCGCTCCCTACGAAGTCATCGTCGTCCCTGCTAAGGGATTGGAAGAGGAAGCCGAGAAAATCTACGACGCGCTCACCTCACAGCACACCACTGCGTTGGACGTCATCCTGGATGACCGCGATAAGCAGATGGGCTGGAAGCTGGGCGACGCAGATCTTATTGGGTACCCTGTGATTGTGGTCATAGGCAAAGGCTGGAAAAAGCAGCGCACCCTGGAAGTGCAGTGTCGGCGACTTGAAGTACGTGAGGATGTTGCCTTGGAGGCTCTGCCGGAGTTTGTGGGTTCTTTGCTTGAAAAGCTGTAGGGAACTTCACTCACTCGGGCTGTGTTACGGGCAGGCAATGCAAGCTGCGCCACACTATCACATTGGTAGAATCACTGTACACTATCACTCTTAATTACTACTAGGTAACTTCCGTTAATATATACCCCTCCATTCCGTTAATTAAGCACCCGCCACTTTGCATCAGCCTAGTCTGTTAATCCCGCCTTGCAGTAGTCACTTTCAATACTGGTGAATCTATTCACACAGTATAAAGATTAGACAAGTAGACTTGATCTCGCTGCAGTATTGCAGCCTGCGCTCATCTCTCATCACCTGAACATTACCACTACTAAAACAAACTCATTCCGGTCCCATTCATTCCACATGCTCAGACACTTGCCATTCCGACCCGAACCAAACCATCAAAAAATGACCACCCACACAAATGCCCGCGTCGGTGTGGCCGTCTTCATCTTCAACGGTCACAACGAATTTATTATCGGTCAGAGAAAAGGCAGTCACGGTGCTGGTATGTACCTATCATCTTGATCACTATAATGATTACCACGAGAACATCATCGTCTAAATTAATATAAATTGGCCGCTACTACAAATTTCTATAACATACTGATATACTTCCAAATTCAGGAACCTGGGCCCTTCCAGGCGGACATCTCGAACTCAACGAGTCATTCGAGACATGTACAGAGCGGGAAATCCTCGAAGAGACAGATCTCAAGGTTCAAGACATTCGTTTCTTGACTGTCACTAACGATATCATGAAAGATGAGGGAAAGCACTACATTACTGTGGTGATGGGGTGTAAGCTTTGTGATGTTGATGCGCAGCCTGAGGTTAGCTTCTTCCTCTGCCATTTTCTTCCTTTTTCATTATTTCAAATCACATTCACGTGCTTGATGTTATTATAAATATATTGTGGTCATGTGGACTTTTTCTTCCATATTCACTATTGTCCATACAGAGGTATATACTAACAACCACCAGCTCATGGAACCGGACAAATGCAGCGGCTGGGAATGGACAACCTGGGAACAGCTACGAATGGATTATTATGCTGGAAAGGGTCGTCCTTGGGTTGAGAGGAACTCTCGGAAGTTAACCCCAGCAGCTGCCTACGATGAGGCTGTCTTTTCTGAAAAGGGAGAGATTATTCCTGAGGGTGATTCGATGGAGGTGGATGTAAGTACCGAGAATACTAATCCTCCCACTCGACAGCTCTTTCTTCCTCTGGTGAATCTGTTTGAGCAGCGGGGTGGCTTTGATCCTGTTGTGGATTATTGGATTGCAGATTAGGGAATTGGGTGTGGTTCTGTCTCCCTCTTTTTGGATGTTGAGGGGTGGTGATGTCTAGTGATGTGCTGGTGCACGGTTTATTGCGACAGGAATAAAAGAAATTGTGCTTTGTTCAAGTGTAATTTGGCAGGCTTGATGAGTACTAGTAGTTTCAAAGGGATGCTCCGATACTATGGATATTAATGCTCATGACAATGGTGGTGACAGTGCCTCAAACATCAATTCTTTGAATGACCCGTCCTTGAAGAGTGGGATGCTATCAACCTTAATTCCTCTACAATGAAAGACGTTCCTTCTTTTGGTAGAGGCAATGCAGTCCAATACTTTTTTCAGCTTGTCTTCTCACATTCACCAGAAATGCTGGACATGCCAGGGATATATTCACAAAAATGGAAATTTCCTATACAAGTTGAGAACAGGAAAGAACAAGTTCAAGCCTTTAATGTAGAACTATGCAGCATCGAAAACTGCCGCTTTGGCTTGCATATCTCGAATCTCGAGATATGAGGTTATTGAGTAAGTGCAATAACGGATATCAGCATCAAATCCCATTACTCAATGGCATTTTCCCTAACAAGCAGAGTCCATCACATGTCCACTTTATAAAGACCAGAAAGTCCCCCCTTCTCTTCTTATCTCGAAATTGAAGTTATATATTTAAGTTCAGACAACTCGGACGTCATCGGCCTAATGGCTCTCGCTATTATGTTGAAGATTAATCCCATAAACCTGGGCAGATTCCGTATCATCTATATGACCTACCTGGATCTACGAAAATCGACTCATTACCAAATCCGAACACAAACTAAGAGCTGAAACAGCCTGGGATATACCTGGAAGTACTATACAGGGCATCTCTATCCACCTTTTCATGACTATCACAATACACCTGCTGAAGTTATAAAATACCCACACCCAACTTCCCAACCAAATGTACAAAACAAGCCTACTTTCACAACCAACAGCAACACGCAATCCTTCAACATGGGAATCGAACTAACCTCACCCGAAGTCAGCCGTCCTGCATCACCCGTTCTCGAATGTACACTCACTGCAAAGGCAGAAGCGAGCCTCGCCGAGAATTGTCTCACATATAAGATCTCGCAACTTTTTCGTGACGCCCCTGGAGCCGTGTACAGCTTAGTGGTTTACGACAAGTTCGGTGTGAGGAAGTTGACTCTTGAGAAAGTCCGACGGTTTGGAGTTGTTGAGCGTCAGCTAAATTACTATCTGGAGAAGTATCCAATCGAAGATGAGGGTGAGTATATTCAATTTCACGAGTCTTTTATCGCCTCATGCATATCCCAAGCTTTTAACTGACTCTTGTAATTCTAGATGACCTCGCGGTAATGCGAAATGACTTGCAAACCATAGCCTATTCTTATGACCCGTGAGGATTCGACTTTGCACTGAAACTGCAGATTCAAGCTGTCGTTCGTGATGTACTTACTATCTATAACTTCACGACGCTTTTGTCTGACAGTGAGATGACCGTCGGTGGTGTTGCTGATTACTAGATATGTTGGGCTGCCTATGGCCCTGATTATCTATACAAATTTCTGGATATAGAGAAGAGATACAGACAAAATACAAATACACTCGTTGCTTGGTGCAGAACAATTTGCGACTGCCATTTGTAGAGCTACCTTGTAAACATTCTATAGCTTCAGTATCACATAGAATAGAGTCTCTTAGCCTGACCAACAACACACAACTCAACAATGTAAATCTCATACACTATAATATTTCTATAGCACCTCCATCATCAAACAAATGATATATACCCCGATAAAGCATCCACATAACCCTCCTCTACACTCCAGCAGTTAACCAACAAATATAGGGCTGCACCCAACCACCCGCTGACTAACCCACCCAGCACAACCCACCACTTATGCACCCTATGCACTTCCATCCCCACCATACACTCGACCTGAGACCGCGGGCCACCCTCAAAGCTCAAAGCCAGCATCACCACCACAACCACCACTACCATACAACCCAGTAAGTAAGTACAGCACAAACCCACCCACAACCTTCTCCCTCTAAACCCTAACACTACACCCCCCAATCCAACCATCTAACCACCATCCCACAGATATAAACCAAAAAAAAAAAAACCAAAAATGCCACCCCCCAACACCCCCGCATCATCCGACTCCCCCCCTCCGGGCTCAGGTACATCCTCCCCCCCCCTTCTAATAAACCCACCACCCACATACCCCCTAACAAACCACACACACTCCAGTAAACATCAACTCCCTCTCCGTCCCCCAACTCCGCGCTCTCCAAACCCGCCTATCCTCCGAACTCGAACACCTGACGACCTCGCACGCGAAGCTTCGCGCCGCACAACTCAAATTCAAAGATTGCGTGCGCTCCATCAACGAAGGTGTAATTGGGTCTCAGAAGAAGGGCACCGACGGGAAGGAGGATATCCTGGTGCCGTTGACGAGTTCGTTGTATGTGAAGGGGAAGTTGGCGGATCGGGAGAAGGTGCTGGTTGATGTTGGGACGGGGTTTTATGTTGAGAAGGTGAGATATAGATACCCTTTGTTTTGTTTAAAGCGTCTAGGTTGTTGGTTGTTGGGAAGGAGGTGTATGTGTGTGTGAGGCTAATGCGTTTGGATTGTCTAGACTGCCGCCAAAGCTATCGAGTTCTACGAAAACAAGGTCAAGGAGCTGGAGACGAATCTTACCGAGTTGGAGAAGATTGTGCAGACGAAGAGTCAGCAGCAGAGGTTGTTTGAGGATGGTAAGCATTTTCTGCCAATTGAGTGCATTGTTGGGTTTGGTTCGTGGTAAACTAATGATTGGTTTCTAGCTTTGAGACAGAAGTTGCTGGCTGAGGGTGCTGGGTCTGCTGCTACTGCGTCTGCGGGTGCCGGTTGAGTAGATCTGGACTTATAGCATAGGAGATTGCGTGGCCTTGGGACGAAGGTATAGTCGGAATGAACTACGACTAGAACTGTTACACCCTAGTAAGGATGCACTGGAACAGACCTGTCTGATGTCACCCAAGCCGCGGGTTGCAAGAGACAGGTCCGCTACGAGCACGCCAGCTCCATTGAAGGAACTCCACTGTCACCTGCAATTCAGAAGGACATAGACTTGGCTGACATTCTGGAGGTGGTAATATCAAAAACTGGCAAATTGGAGCTAAGCTATATCAATGCACAACACAATACCATAGTAACGAACCCCTCCGCCTCCATCTGCCCTTATCTCCCCCCACGCCGCCGTAGTCCTGCGTGTTGTCGACACGCCAAGGAAGTCTCGGTCTGACGCCACCTCGGACCTTGTCGCCTCAATGAGACTAGAACAAGGTTCCGAGGTCTGCATTGAGCAGTCCAGCCAGATCGGTCATGCCCATGACCGGCGACGAGTCGCTCGATCGGCCCTGAACCGTCGTGGGCTTGACGCTCATGGCAGAATTGGCCCCAAGCCGAGACTTCTCTCCAGAAGAGGTTGCGGTGGTCCGTACAGGACCCATTAGTCCCGCAACCTGCTTCACCGTGTCGACAAACGCCCAGAAACCTTGGCTTTTCTCCGAATTGCCCCCTGCCCCTCTTGCCGGGAAAAAGCTCTCCAGACTTGAGTCATACTGAGCAGCATGCCCGATAGCCAAATTGGCATGTTCACCCAAGAGATTGTCCCAGTGAGGGTCGAACAATGATGCGCCCCAGGAAGTGTTAGGCTCCGTGGTGAAAGGACCCGCATAACTGGCCGGCAGCTTGTTGGACAACGCTGACGCATTTGCACGGCTATACTCATCGTAGCGAGCAATCTCTAGGGTATAGTTGGTACCTTTGATTTTGTACCGAATGGCGGACTTCTCGATAAATCTAGCCACCGGCGCGGATTGGGAGAATTCGACCTTTCTCTCAGGCATGGCCGAGATATCGTGCATCGTAGCGGTGCTTTTGAACTTGATGGCACCTGCAAAATCTCTCAATGCAGCGTCAATCGAACTGGCCTGGTAAAATTCCAGAGACTTCAACTCGAGCTGCCAGTCAGACTTTTCGAAGTCAACGACGGCTACCTGTAGGGGTGGGCGTTTGTCGCTAGATTGGCCGTCCTGACGGGGTTTAAGCCACCTTCGCTGGGTGGTCTCGTATTCTGATGCACCGGGGCTCCTGGCGAACTCTGCCTCCAGTCGAAGCATGGAGTTGCTTTGGCCTAGGAATTCGAAATTCACTGAAAATGCAGGCTCGGCGCTGCTCAGCGATTGTGCCGTGCTTAGATATGGCTGAAGCAGATGGGTAGCCCGGTAACATCTGGCAAGAAGTTCGTCTTTATGGACCTTGAGGCTGTAGGGATGACAAATGATCAGTGACTTCGCCACAAACACAACGGAGGGGAGCTTACCCTGGTATCAAGCGTCCCTTAGTCTGCTCGTGCAGTATCATCTCTCTGAACTCTTCCAGAACATAGTATGGTTTGTCGTCCGCCGGAATGCGGTACTGGTCGAGTACAAACGAGCCGAGATTGACCCGCATACGCAAGTGCCCACGAACAACGACCACGCCCTTCAGACATCTCTCGACCATGCTCAGAAGCCGGGCATTATTCTTTGATTGGATCAGACTCGCTCGATCGGGCCACTGTTGCGCCTCTGAGCCCTGGAGTGGGGTCCCACGGAGTAATGGCTTCGCTAGGCGGGCGTCCTTCTTCACGACAATCTTACTTTTCATGGCAGTCGGAGGTTCGACGAGGTAGAGTTTGCCTTTCACAACATAGTTGGCAACAACCTCAGTCCACTTTGTTCTGAGGCGTCGGACGATCTGTCTCATGGCTTCATCGTTGTGCCCCATAGCACAGATATGATTGGGGAGATCTTTTGGAACAAAGACATGACAGTTGAACTTGACCCGTATGTGATCGAGGGCCTCGAGATGCGGACCCAGGGATTCCGTAATAGAAGGTCCTTCCTTGGGCCATAAGAAGAGCATCTACAAGGGAGTGTCAGTCAGGCGGTCGAAGAGGTATGTAAACGGGTAAGCCCATTTTACTCACGAGGTCCGAAAACTCGGAAGAGGAATCGGGTTGCTTTTGCAGTATCTGGAGCCTGGCATTGTATCTCTCCTTCAACTCCACACGAGCTTCT